CCATTTTTTACAAAAACGTTGTTTGTTTGACGCTTTTCAAAACTTTTTGGTAAAAAAATCAAAACAAAATATCAAATAAATGGTAGCAATAATATGTGTATGCCGAAAAAAGGGACACGAAAACAAAGTTTTAAAACTCGGCATATTAAATATTAGTGGAAAGAAACAACTAATACACAATATAAAAGATGTTTCCTAGTGGTTTTATTTGCTGAGTGGGTGGATAAATTGAATAATAAATGCAAACATAAAAAACTGGTAAAGATTTATCATTAGAATATTAAGTAAAATGTTCACAAGTAGTTTTTATTGCCGGGTTGATAGTTCTGCCAAAAATGCATTTTGAAAATATTATTCTTTTATACTCTAACTGGTTAAAATAATTAATAATATTATTATGAAAATTGTAGCAATAGTTTAAATTTGCCTCGAGTTGATAATTTTTATAAAACAAAAAAATGAAAATAATTATATTGATATTAACAGATTATTTAATAGTTAAATATCGGGAAATTAGGATAAAAAAGTAGCAAAAACCATTAAAAATGATGATAAAACACAACCAATAAACAAAAAAATAATAAAGTTGTAAAATAATTACTGGATAACTATATTTACTATAATTTAATGAAATATAATTTTTATCAATAGGGATTATTAATAAACAATAAAACATTTTATTTCATTATCATTAATTTAACGGGTTTAGATCATTATTGGTAAAATAATAGTTTAATCAACATTATAAAAGAACCATATGGTTAAAAAAACAACTTGTTGTCTATTTTTTTATCACGAAGATATCAATTGTGTTTGACACTAATTAATGATCTTGATTGTTTATTCAATGTCTTTACCTGAACGAGGACGTTTTTACAAATCAAACGAACAAAAAATTGAAACAAAGAAAATGATGAAACCACTTGCCTTTGACTCGACTAAAGTTCTCCCACTCCTCAAAAATAATCAAATTTTAACATCCATTTTTATTAAACTGGAGTCCGATTTAAAAACCATTTCTTTTAAAACATTTCGTGAACAGGTGGCCTTTTGTTATGAAAGCGTTTCCGAACAATGGCAAAAAGATTTTCAAAACAAAAAATGTTCCCTTATAACTTTTCTCGAAAAACGTTTTGGTACAATTGATAAACATAGCGTTCAAACTCAAATGTTAGCCATAAAACGTGAACGTATTACTGGTATTGTACCAGTTAAAGGAAGAAAGAGAGATTTAACCGACGACCAACTCAGAGAAATAGAAGGACTTGTTGTCGAAAAAAAGTAATAAAACCGGAAGAATTGGGATTTTATTTAGAAAAGAAGTATGAAATAAATTTTGAAACACAAAAGTTACACATAAAATGAGTAAAATTGAAGGTATTAAGAAGGTGATTGCCCCAAAAATGGAAGCGGAAAGGGAGAGAGTTGATTCTCTTGAAGTTAAAAAAGGGATGACAAGTTTGAAGGAAAAACTTGACGGAAAGAGAGCCGAACTCGTCTTTAACCTTGATGAAATTGGGTTTTCTGATTGGGTGGACTCTAAGTCAAAATTGGTGTATGCTTCAATACAAGCTGGTTCTGCTGTCTACAACGACGTAGAAAGATCCGACAAAAGATTTAGCATGCTTTGTTGTATTTGCCTTGATGGCACACAACTGCCACCACTTGTTGTAACAAAGAGGGTGTCAATCAGTGACACTTTGGTTGCCTCCATCAAAAGTCGAGCTTTGGTCTGTTCTCAACCAAGTGGCTTTCTTAATGCCCGTCTTTTCGAAAAGTGGGTTTACGAGATCTTAGTTCCGTCCATTAAATCGAAGAAAGAAAAATTGGGGTTAAGAATAGATACAAAGTCTTTCTTAATTATGGATGGATTTTCAGGACATTTCAGTGAAGAAGTCACTTGTTTGTTTTCACAAAATTACATTGATATTATTCCTCTTGTTCCCCACACATCTCACCTTACACAGCCTTTGGATTTGGGAATTTTTGGGACTCAAAAACGATTCCTCCAAAACAAAAACAATTTGTTGGAGCATAAATTCCAAATCAAAGAAGGGAAACCTTCTAAAAATCCAAAGAATGTTCTTTCTATTGGCAATGATGATTTTAAAAATGAATTTAAAAAATTCATGAGATTAGATGAAGAAGAAAGAATAATTAATTTGGTCCATTCATGGGAAGTTGTCGGGAATGGGGACAATATCACAAGTGCATTTGGGCAAGTTGGAATTATTATTGTTTTAAAAATAGATATCAATGAGAGCCAAAGCCCTTATGCAACCCCAGCCGACAGAATTATTAGTGTTGCATTGGTAAAAATAGAAAAGGCAAGAGAAGTTATGAAGTTTCTCGGTGAAGAAAAAACACAGACAACAGTTCTAAAAAACAAAAAGGATGTCAATTGAAATGCCCGATGTCAAGATAAACAGGGTTGAGAAAAATAAAAAAAGACAACAAAAATAATAAATTTTTGGTTGGTTATTTAGTTTAAAACTAAAAAGAAACATTAATAATAACAAAACTAAAAATAAAGTATAGTATTTAGTTAAGGGTTGAACTTTAGAGTTGGAACTTTTAATTAATAATTAGCTTAATTGAGTATTGTTCCAATTGGTGCCAAAAGTTATCAGAAAAGATGGTGTTATTTGTTGATCTGATTGTTGTATTTATGATTATGTTTAAATTGAAACCAGTTTGTTCTTCGTTTTCATTTAAGTTTAGTTTAACTTCAATAATATAAATCACAATTCGAATTGTTGACTTAGGTTACTATAACTTATCTGTAGTTGTGTATTAAACGGAAACAAGTGATTATAGGCTTGTTTCTGTAAAAATGTCTGGTGTTAACACTCGCGTTGTGTTTCTTCTGAACTATATAATGTTGTCAACTCCATTATTATTCGTTAACCTCGATCTTCAATAACTGTTTTATGACCATTGACTTTATGCCTGTCAGTTTGGGATTGCTGGAAAAGCAATTATATCAAAGAGTTTTTAACTTCTAAAATAAAATGTTGAAACCCATTCAGTACAGAACTGTTGATAATGTTTAGTTTGTTCTGAACAAATGTCCGCTTTTGAAGAAACAAAAACTATAATAAATTCCCACTTTTGGGACTTTTGACTGTGTTTGTTATTGTGTGCTCTGGAAACCATTTAGTTCTATTGAATTGTATTAGTTGTCTGTTTTAATAATGTCTAAAAAGTTATTTATAAATTTCACTCATAATATATTTTTAAAATTCTTAATTTAGAAAACAATTTTCTTTTTATTGGCTATTTCATTCTTCCAAAAAGTAATGGCAACTTTGGTATTTGGTGTGCGTTATTAATTTTTCTTTTAAAAAACAAAATAATTAAAAGAATAACATTTTACCATTAAAAACACAAAAGGTATACAAGTGGTTTTTTTCGCTGACTATAAATTACAATACTATTAGTAAAAAGTAATAATTAATGGATTTTTGAGCCACGATTAACAAAAAAATAATATAATTGTTAATTGATATTTAAATTAAATATTTTTTAATGCAAAAAACGGGAATTTTCCCAAATTATAATCCCATAAATCACTTTTGAAATGTTTTTTCAATTAAAAAAACGAAAAAAATAGTGTTACATATATTAAATAAACGGGATAATACATGTAAATTATGTTAATAATTTTATTTGTTCATTTTGATCTATTCTTATTTTACCACTCCAAAAAAGGCTGAAAATAGCGTTTTTTCTTACTATGAAATTATTGCAAATATTGGAAATACTCCTTATGGGGGTATTTGTGTTTGTGTATCATGTTTGTCCCATAAATAATTATAAATAACAATTATTAATTTTAAAAATCATAACATATGGTTTAAAACGAATATTTGGGTTTTTTCGACAAAAAAATAAGAGGCTATCCACACAAAATAATCCAATCCACAAAGATTCACCATTTCCGTGTGGATACGCCCTATCACTTTAACACTCTTTAATAATTTTTGATATAATATTATTATAATAATTTAATAATTAATTTTGTTGTTTTGAACGATTTCCCGAAATATACTGATTAAAAAAACAAAAAAAATTTTCAAACAATATTATTATAATGTTAATAACAATAACATAATAAAAACAAAATTACAATTTTAAGTTTTTATTCTTAAAAAAATGTTTTTGAGTGATGAAAATAAATTATTTATAAAGTCAGATTTTTAATTAACGATGGAAAAAATTAACTATATATTTAGTTTTTTAATTATAATAAATAGCTTTTTTTTCTTTTTTTTTTCGAAATAATAATTTTTTTGTTTTATTTTTAAAATTTTTTACTTTTTAACCACATTATACATCCAAAAAAGAAAAACAAGAAATGTGGAGTTCGTAATTTCTTCTCTGGGGAATTTCCGAGTAATATCAACACAACCGGCAGACCATTTACAACAGTTAATTACAGAAGTGCCATTATTGTGGTGTGGTCAATAGGTGAAACCGATTGATTTGAAAAGCAAAGAAAAAAATTGACAACCAGCGTTTCTTTGAGAAATGGTAAAAATTAATAAGAAATTTACTATTTATTTATGGTTTTTAATTAGCGATGGTCGATACTATATATTATAATATAAAAAAACAGATAAAGTAAATTTCCTTGTTGTATTTTTGGAATATCGTTAATTAGAAATCAGACTTTACTTATTATAATTTAAATTAAATAATAAACTAAAGTTCAAGTTCAAATAATAACTTCTATAAAAAAACTGAAAACATCATTATTATTTTGTAGAACAAAAACGAAATTACATTTTTTTGAAAAAATGCGCATTTATTTTTCATTTATATAAGAGACGAATATATTCTTTTGAATAAAAACCCACCCAAATGGATATTTTGTACTCTGATAATTATTATTTTGTTCGTATTAATAAAAATCCCGAATAATACCACATAATTCCCACACCAACTCTATTGATGAAAAAGCGAGGTATTCAGAAAAAGCAATCTCAAAAAATGCATATATGAACCAAGTTTGCAAGACGGTGTTAATAGGTGACTCAGGGTGTGGAAAAACTTCGTTAGTCCAACGTTTATCGAAAGGGACTTTTAATGAAACGCAACAAGCGACGGTGGGTGCGACTTTTGTAGATATCGAATTGTTTGTTGTTTCATATAAATAACTATTAATTAATAATTCAATGAACTAATAACAACATCGGATTCACAACACAGTAAAGATGTTGCGGGTGGGTCAAACAAACTTCGAATTTGGGATACATGTGGTCAAGAGATGTTCCGATCTGTTGTTCCAATGTATTTTCGCAACTCGTCATGTGTGTTGTTAGTATTTGACATTAACAACATGGAGTCGTTTAAAGGGATGAACTCGTGGTTGTCTGTTGCGTTATCGAGTGCTCCTGAAGAGACTCCTGTCGTTGTTTTAGGTACAAAGAGTGATTTATATCACGCTGTCCCCGACTCGATCATCAATGATTTTGTCAAGCCGCGTGGGTATTATTACTTCGAAGTCTCCTCAAAAACAAACGAAGGGGTTAAAGAGGCCTTCGATGAAATTTTTAAAGTCGCTTTAGCTCGTCAGGTTCGAATGGTAAAAAAGCAACAAGACAAAATTGATGAAGAAATCGACAAACAAAAGTGTTGTTAAGTGACTGTTCTTATACAACGGTTTGAGTTATTAAAACAATACTATACTCAACAACGGTTCAAAATGTTTAATTAGCAAAGTAGTACATAATCACAAGAGTGAACAACCCTTTTTGGTATTGTCTATCGCTGGGTTGATCTGCTCCGCCTTTTCTATAAACAACCCAACGGCAGTTTGAAACGCTTCAACGATACCTTCGTGTGTCTTCGCAGAGCATTCGGACACCCCTTGTACATCAAGTCCGTTCTTCTTAATAAACTCTTTTGCTTCGTCTAAAGTCACAGTCTTTTGTCCGGTCTCTTTCAACTTCGCCAAGATGTCTGGATTTGTTCGTAAATCAGTTTTAAGGCCGACGGAATAAATGAGTGCAGAAGGACAGTATGTGCGTAATTCGGGAATCCACTTGTCCTTCATGTTTTCTAAAGAAATAGACTGGATTGTGGAGTAACACACAATGAATAAGTCGGTACCAGGATATGAGAGAGGGCGAAGTTGTGTGTACTCCTCCTGTCCTGCAGTGTCCCACATATTCACGGAGTACCCAACGCCATTGACTTCGACAATTGCCGCCATGTTTTCGAAGACCGTCGGCACGTAGGCTTCATCAAACCTGTTTTCGATGAAACTGATGAGAAATGAAGTTTTTCCTGAAGCGTTAGTGTGCTCCTATGCATATGTGTGATTAATAAAAATGAACAACAAACCAACTGCACCATCACCAACAACCACCAATTTGAGAGTTGCCATTGTATTTGAAGTTCTTTTTTCAAAACTCTTTAAGTAAATAGAAGATTGAATAAATGGTAAATATTATTCAACTTTGCTTCTTCTTTTTTCATGAATTAAGTTTGCCTGTAAATTCTCTCATTTTATCAAAAAACAGCAAAATGCTTATTACTGTATAGTTACTTTATTTAATAAAAATTACTTTTCCATTTAGTATTATATTTTTTAAAATATTATAAATATAAGAAAGGATGAAAAACTATTTCAAATAACATTCTTAATACCAATTTTATTAGTTCTGTTTGGCAAAGTGGCTGATTTGGTGTTTTATATATTACTCGCCATTTAAACACACAGATAATGCTTACAGAACTGGGCTATTAAGGTACCAACTATAATTTGTGCAAATGTTTATTTAATAAAGGATAGTCTTATGTTCTGAAACAATGTGCGAAAAAACACAAACCACAAAAAAGGTGGGGCAAATTGAAAAGAATGTGAACAATTTGAATAATTGAATATATAATTGAGATATATCAAGAACATAAATATACATCTGCAAAATCGACTAAATATTCCCGAATTATATTCTTTTCTTGAAATACTCAATCCAATCCAATTGAATGAAATATTTCAAGTTAAACTAGTCACCAGTGATGAAACAATGCCTGTAACAACTTGATTGAAATAAGCTATAATTTTGGGATTAAAAACAAAAAAATGCTTAGGAGTTAATACGCCCCATAAAGGGGAGTTCAAATTCTATAGAATAACAAAAATAGATACGACCACCATAATGATATTGCACACTTCCTAATTTTTTAGGAGTACAATCCGCTAATTATTTTTAATAAACATTACCATTGACAATCCAATCAAAGTGAATAGAAAATCTTGTCTGTTCTTGAATGGTCTAACTCGTATTTCAATTTATTTATGTTGTCGAAGATGCCTGCGCGTGGTAATGACATCGACATTGATGATCTTTTAAGCAACCCACAACTCCCCACAGAACAAGAAGTTCAAAACCAAGTGTTACTTGAATTCTTACGAAAGGAAGAAGAAGAAAAGAAAAAACGCGAGGAAGAAGAACAAGCCAAAATGAAACGAATGTTAGAAGACCAAGAACAACTTGAAATCGAACGGAAAGGACAACTCGAAGCTCAGCGTATCATGCAGTCCAGAGAAAAAAGTATTGTTATGCAGTCTACTGTTCATTCAAGTCACTTTAGTTCAAAGTCGCACGCGTTTTTCCCAATTCCTGACGTTCTGTACTTCGATCGAAGAACACTCAAATCAAAGGAACATTTATTCAACCTGATCGACACCACTAATTTCGACTATCTAACAACAGACCCGTGGTCTTCTGTTATCGAACCATGTGAAGATTGGTCATACATCCCTTTAACTACAAAAATGTTAGACTTGGAATTGTTACAAGATGGGTTTAACGTTGAAATCAATCACAAGTCCGTGACATATCATAGAGAGTGTCGTAATGCAATTATACCGTTGTTAAATACAGAACAAGAATTTCCTTTTTATAGACAATACTTCTATCAAAAGAGTTTGTTACTCCACTTAACAGTAATATTATATTTACTATATATTTACTTAGCAATGACAAATTGTAATAAATAGAATCGGTGAGACACTTTTTAGATAAGGAAAATGCAATTCTTCTTTCGGTCGACGAGTCGAAAAAGTATAAAAAGGCGATTCTAAGAAGTGAAAGAGAATGTACCAGACTTGTCATTCCACCAGATGTCGATCCAATAAAATACCACACGATCTTCCCTAAAGGGGCTAAGGTTGTGAAATACTCAAACACCCCACTGATCGACGACGAGTTGGTTCGAATAGAAGAGAACAATGTTGTTAAGCGATTTAAAGTTGGTGTTGTCGATGTGAAACCGGACCAAACAGAAGACGAGATCTTTTCGAATGAAAGTGTCTCGAAAGGCTTTTACGAGATGATGTATTTGTTGGGAGAGAATTTTCCATTGAAAGGATTTACGGGGTATAATGGGGGGTTAGACGTGAAGTTCAACGAAACGGGCGAGTTCTCATTTTACACGAAATATATCAACAACGAAATTATGTTCCACGTCGCCCCGATGTTGCCGTCTTCAGAAAATGACCCACAAAAACTTGAAAGGAAGCGGCACATTGGAAATGATATTGTAGTCGTTGTCTTTTTGGATGAAGGAGTCAAAGAGTTCGATCCAAGAATTTTTACATCACACTTTAATCACGTCTTCATTATGGTTCAACCTATTTCAAAAGAAGAGGCGCTTAGTGTCGATAATTTCGATTTGAAAGACACCTCTTCAAGAAGCTCGATGAATTCGACAGAAAAAGAAGATGAAAGCGATCAAGATGAAAATGCTGTTGAAAGTGTGTCGAGCTCAAAACACGCTATGGGCGATAGAAGTTTGTTCCATGACAGTACTATCGAAGATAAGTTTTTGAGAGTGTGTGTGGTCACTAAACCTAACATGAATCCATTCCCTCCTTTCTTGGAATCAGCCGTATTTAAAATGGATTTCGATTTCAGAGACTTCTTGTTACAGAAAAGTTTGTTTTTCTTATTATTATATACTTGAATAGAATTATAATTATATTATTATTAATCTATTGATTGTACTTAATGTTTAGTTATCAACGCGGAAAGGACTGCAATGAAAAACCCTCCGTTCAAAACAAACGCGGAAAACACGAGAAAACAACAGATCGTTTGCTTGGCGGCAGAGTTATGATTTTGTTCTTGTATTGTTTAATTCATTATTAGTTATTTTTACAATAGAGTATTAGGTCTTTAAAATTTATAATAAAATTAGAAATATATTATTATATTTATTACAATAAAAAGTTTTCAATAATGTTTAATATAAATAGTTATTATTATACTTTACAATTTATCAAGACGAAAAAATGTACTCAAGACATTTTAATTGTTAATTGTAATTTAATAACTTTTTTATTTTCATTTTTTATGAAGTAATACAGTCAAAGGTGTCTATTTGTCGTAATTATAATTGTCGAAGTTGCTTAATTGTCGCACAACTGGCCAATCATTTTGGTGTACGACAATTAAATATTTTGTTCTCGAATCTGTAACTTTTGTTGAATTAAAAACCAAATTTTTTATAAAAAATAAATTTCAATATAAAATAGAATTTTCTACAAAATTCACTCATTTACGACAAATAGATATTTTTTTCTGCTGGATTTACGACAAATAGACGCCTTTGACTGTACTTCATTTATTTGTTAATAATAAAATTATACTTTATTAGTAAAACAACCACAACTTTTAATTAAACACATCTGAATAGAACAGTTCGACTAAAATACATTTTAAGTAAAGAACTTAAAATGAGATTCAGTCGATGATTCTTCTATTTCTTCTTGTTGTTGCTTTTGGGTTTCCCACTGTGTGTAAAAACGCTGTGGAATGTCCATCGGAAACACTGCAATTTACACTAAACAATCAAATTACTCAAACACCAAATAGATGTGAGAACACAGCTTTTACTCGACCTTCTGTCTTTTACACACTGAAGGGAAACGGTCTTGTGTATTACATCGACACATGCCAAACCACACAAGGTGAAACGGAAATCGAAGTGTTTGAGTCTTGCACATCGACGACATGTGAGCAGTTTGCAATGACTGAATGTGGGAATCAGCAATATGTAACATACCAAAGTGTTGTTGGTAAAGATGCGATCTTTAGGGTTTCCTGTTTGACTGCTTCTTGCAATGTAGTTCTCACTCTGCACACCAACAAAACGCAACGAAACGACTTTTGTGAAGACGCACTTCAAATTAAGGAAAATACAAACATAGAATTTATTACCGACACATTCATAGAATCAAAACATGGGTGCGATGGTACTCCATTTAATTCCAGAGGGAAATGGCTTGTATTTTCACCCGAAGAAGCGTCCTATACTATTCAAGCTGCGACTCACTCTCTTTCAAAAATCAGTCGAATAGAAGCCAAAAGTGGGTGTGCCAACTATTATTGTGACATTTCTCGATTGGGCGAGTTGACAATTTCTCCAAAGACAATGACTTATGTCTTTGTGGAGGGAAACCCAGAGGAGAAAACGTCTGTGAAAATTACTAAGGTAGCCCCACACGTAAACGAGGCGTGCGATTCCGCCCTAGAAATTGAAGTACCATTTTCTGGTGTATTTTCGAATACCTATCACTCCACACAACGTTCAACGTGTGGAAACAGTTCGCATGAGAATGTTTGGTTTACTTTTAATTCAGAATTATACAAAGATGTGACTATTTCAACGTGCTTTGAAGAGTTTGGGTATCAAAGTTATTTAGAATTTACAAGTGGAGAGTGCGGATCATTGCAATGTGTTTCCAACGCCTCTCCAAGCGCAAATTGTTTTGGAGGCTTTGAGGAAACAATCATTGTCGACGACAACAAAAAGTACTTGTTTTACATAGGAAGCGCATTAGAACAGGTGACCGGATACTTCCAAGTCACTGTGAGAACAAATTCTGTGCCGGAGTACTCAGTCCCAGAGAACGCGATAGTTATTTCGTCTCTTGCTCGAACGTTTAGTAAAACCATTGATTCCACAAAGTGTGTGAATTCTCTTTTAGTTGATACAGATGTTTCAAAAAGGACATTGAAAGGAGCTTTCTTTGTGTTACAAGAGAATCCAAATACTATTGTAGCAATCACTACATGTTCGTCTTCAACTCAAATTGAGAATGTCATCACAACAGCAAACGGAGCGTATAATGATGGCACTAAAAACAATATCGTCTTAAACGATTATTCGCTGTACACAGACCACAGATTAAGTCCTTGTGGGGTGAAAGGTACTGCTTTGGTGTTTAACAGCTCTTCAATCCAGACATATCCACTGCTTTTCTTTATTGGTGGCGTTGAAAACAGTGCCGGTCTTATTAAAGTCGATTTCGTTTTAGACTTCCCCGTCGAACCGACTTCTTCAGAGTCGAGTGAGAGTGGGTTCGACTTTTTGCCCGTTTATATCACACTTGGTGTCTTCGCTGGTATTGTATTACTTCTTATCTTTGTTGTCGGAAGTTACTTTACTTACTATATCATCATCAAGAAGAGAAATGAGAAGTACCAACTTTTTGAGACTTCAACTCCAACTAAGTGAGTGTGTTTTAGCTTTATTTCTAAAAAATTATTATATAATATATTAATTAAAGTGTATAGTATATTTTACTATTATATATAAAATTACAACAACTGTTGTAATTATAGTAAAATAATAATAAAATAAACTATACACATAAACAATTATACAGTATCAGTCTTCAGGCTTCTCCACCTTTTGACGCTTTACAAACCAATCCCGTTTCTTTCTTTTCGACTTTATATCACAGTTTGGACAAGTCTGTAATTGTTTGATCACTGATGAATTCTGATTCAAAGAAAGCCAGTCATAAAATTCCTTTGTCTCCTTTTCGTCCATCTCTCCTTTAATCTTCTCCTTCTCAGACTTCTTGACGAGTGCCAACATTTCTTTGATTGCCTTAAATTCGTTTCCCATGGCCTTCCGCAAATTCTTCTCTTCTTTTTTAACGATTTCGATTAACCGGAAAGTGGAAACAACGTCAGAAATCGTATTCGCTTCTTGTTGAGTAAATATCACTGTTCCGTTTTTCACCATCAAAACTACTTCTTTGATATAATCGATAAACTCCTTTGCAACATCTGAGTTCTCTTGAGTTGTAATTGCTAACTTACTTAAGTCACGCATCTCTCCCCCAACAACACGATGATGCTTTCTCTTGGGATCAACAGAAAGCACTGGGGATACTACTTTAGGTTCTGTTTTCATTTGTGTTCCACTGATTGCAAGTTCTTTCATCTCTTTCACAGCAACACCAGCAGCTCTCTGGAAACATTTTAATAGTGATGGAGTGGCTAAAAACGGTACAAAGAGAAATCGTAAGAAAATGAGTGTGGTCAAGACTTCTATAGCTTCTGCCTCCCCACGGACTTCACGCGTCTGCACATAGATTCGTTTTAATATCAATTTGTAATGTTGTGGGAATAAGGCTTCGTTCTGTCTCAGCATAGCAGTGTATGTCGAGAATATTTCGCGTTCAATGTTCTTTCTCGACTCGTCAATAACCGGGAGTTCTAAGTATTTCATATAATGAGCAACTTTAATAAAGCCAACAATCGTTTCTGAAGTCTCTTTTAACATTGCCGCACAATACGTATTTGCGTAGACACCATAGAACTTGGTAAAGACAGTGTTCCCTCTGAATAACTGATTTGAACAACAAGTGTTGTTGATCTCTTCCATTGCCAAAGCAGCGATCACATTATATAATTTGTCACGAGAAGAGTAATAAGAGAGTAAAACAGGGATGTAAGAGTCTTTGCTTGGCTCAAGTGCAATCTTCATGTGAATCGAATGATTTAAATACTTTAAAAGTGTATTTCTAATAACAAAGAAGTAATAGTAATAATATTATTATATCACTAATAACAAACGAGTTGTGAAAAGCCATTGAGTAGTGTTAACTTTGAAAGCATCAAATTGCGAACGATCTCCTCGGGTGTGATTTGCTTCGAGTTTGCTGGGGATACAAAAAAGCTGTTGTCGGTCGATGGAGAGGAGATTTCACTTGTTTGTTGAGATGATGACATATAAAACCGAGCATCAATGCTTTCATCAACACAATTGTTAAGAATGTCTACGCAGGTTCTTGTTTCTGCCATCGAATTAAGTCTGGTTTTGAATTTCGAGTACAGAAGAGTTTGAGCTAAAAAAGAAATGTGCCAATGAGAAGATATCATGACATGTTAGGCAAATCAGACTTCTTTGATAATACTTTTGTGTAAGATTTGAGTACATTGAACAGGTATTTTTATAACTCTCCGAATATTCTTGGCTTTCCTTTTTTTGTAATAACAGAGTAATTGTGATTTACTTTACATTCATTTCGTATTTTTGAGTCAAATAATCTTTTCTAAGTCTTGTATTGGCTCAAATTATTTAATAATACAAAATTTGATTGTATTTGAACGGGAAATGAAAAAAAAATGAAATTATGGATCTTAAATGGTAAAAATGGCGAATATAGTTATTGTTCCCGCGTTTTCGGATTATTAAGGACTATTATTTCGGTTTCATACAGTCGGATTTTTTCTACATATAATTATCACCACTCTGAGCAAAAACAGATCTAACTATCTTTGAGGTCATTTTTATTATTAATTTTTAACATTTATATTATTATCATTGATTTTGTTGACAATTCTTTTATTATTTTTAAAAAATTTTTCAATTCTTACCAGATCCATTTTTCAATAAATACAAAAAAATTAATTGAGTAAATAACCATTTATTTACTATATTTTATATTTTTGAAGATGGAGTTTTGTTTTATTTTTTTTTTAAATAGAACCAATCAACGAAAGTGGTTTTACAAAACATTTTTATTTTTTTATCGATATTATTCCCGTTGTATTGTTCTTTTTTTAACCTATTGTAAAATCGGTATCGAAATTTAAAATCACAAATTATGTACTATATTACTCTTCAGGCTTTCAAAAGTTGTCTTTCACAATAAACTAAATAAATCGATTATGAATAAATTTTAATGTGATGTGTTAATTTTTATTAAAAAAAATAATTATTTAAAAATAATAAAAATATTATACTTTTTATATAGAAAGACAAATTCCTTTTTGATTATTTTGGAGTAAAAGATTTATTTAAAAAAAATTACAAATGACATCGAGAATAACATCGAAGAGCCATAAAAAGTTTCCTTTGGTTAAAACCAAGCAAAAATCGGAATTACAAAATTCACCGGTGAAGCATGTTAATTAAAACTCAAATATATGATTTTAAAGATAAATACAAACCAATCATTCGTAATAATTATAATAATTTAATAATAAAAATATTAATAATTAATTAAAATACATTTCATGTTTCAACAAAATATATTTTTCAAAACAAAATAAAACTCATTTAAAAACACTTTTCCCATTTTTCTTAGTCGAAACCCCGGACCCCTTTTATGCTATTTCTATTTTTTATTTTTTTTAAATCATCATCATATTTCACAACAATCCATTTCAAACTATGAAAATAATATATTTATACTATATTTGAACCAAAAATAAAAACTATAAGAAATAGTAAATTACTTTATCCAAAACTAGTCATCAGTATCAAAATCTTCATTTGAAGGGACTTCGATTTCTTTGACTAACTCGATGACTTTCCCCACATCTGGTCTTTCGTCTTCGTCCTGCTTCCAACACATCCTGACTATTTGTTCCACGTTTTTGTTGAACCCCTCGTCGAAGTTTGGTCTCTTTCCTTTTGCGACCTTAACTGCTGCGTCCCACCCGTTTGCAAAAGGCTTATCTTTATATATTTCGTGCTGTTGGAAGACTTCAAGGAGGCACATTCCCATCGAGTAAATATCGCTCTTCTGTGTTGGGTCGTTTCCTTTCAGAACTTCGGGTGCCTTAAAAATAGCGATGTTGATCATTTCTTTGTCACTAATGACGTCCGAAGCTATTCCTGTGATCTCGCGAATGTTCCAGTAATCACTCAGTTTGCACAACACCCCATTTCCCTCCATACTAAAGACGATAATGTTCTGTGGCTTGATATCTCCGTGCACTCGCGCGTTTGTGTGTAAGTATTCCAATCCTTTTAACACATCTAAAAATGCTTGTTTCATCCACCACACATCAAGTTTCTTTCTCCCATAACACGTTGAGATGTTACCATACTGTCCGTATTCAATCAGAAAACTCTCATTCCCAGGAGACACAACAACTCCAAGGACTTTAACTAACTCGTCACACTTCTCTTCCGAAAGAGTGATTGCCGCTTTGGCAAGCAACTCTCGTGCGTCCTCATTCCAATCGATTTTGAAGTGTTTGACTATAAACATTCGAGTGTGGATTGCAGCAGAATATACAACAGAGGAAAGGGTGTTCTTAAGATGGTCGACAGGCTCTATTGTTGCGATATCATAGATCAATGGAGCTTCTGTAATAACACAGAAGTTGAGTTTGGTGGTATACATCGGATGGTCTTTATCAACGCCATCACCTTCACTGCAATGAAATAACACGGGGCTGAAATCATGAGAGCCACATATGAATTTAATGGAAAGTTGGAGAGTTATACCACCCTTCGGACATAAGACTGCCCGTGTGGGGTTAGCTTCGCCTATACATTGATTCGTTGGAAACACAATAAGAAAAGCATATTCGATATCCGTTGGATTATACACATATATCTCGTCGTGTAATTCGGTGAATATTGGAGCTATTAAGTCGGGTTTGTCAAAATTAATCATGTGTTTGCTCAGAGTAAGCGGAATATCATCATTGTGTGGCATGATCTCAATATAAAATTTATAGTTCGGATCGTTTGGAGGTTTTATTCAGTGTTATTAACGTTCTTTTTTAATTAACGTTGTATTCATTTTAACATGGTATTGTGTAATATTTTAATTAATTTAATGGTTAATAATATTAATAAAAATGGTTATTATTTTGGGTTTAAAAAAACTCATGTTAATATGGATAACAAATTATATATGTTATAGTAAATATATCAATCTATATTTATCAAATAATTTATTAAAAATTTAACTATAATTATAGTACAATAACTTAATTGATGAATGTTTGGATAAAACCATAAATACTAATAAAAAATATTATAGATAATTATATTGTTTTTGAATAAAAAGAACACAAAAAATATGAGAAAGAGAAGCATTCAAGACTGTATTAATTCGCCGGCTTATATGTCTCTCGAAACTACAGACGCTCGGTTGGAGTACCTGAGAAACAATGGATGCAGTGAAACAGAAATAAATTTCTGTGTTCCAGTGCCATCTCCGTTTGCTAGTATAAAGGACTATGAAACACACAAAAGGGAGACAAAAAATAAAATCGACTTCGTCATTAAACAAAAGGTGACAAGCAAAAATGTCCAAGTCACAAAAGAATTGTTGAGTTATATATGTTTTGTCAATAAGGTATCATTTGAAGACGTTGAAAAGCAATGCAAATTTGTTTCAATTAAAAGTAATTTGGTGTTACCAGATGGACCATTTTTATGTGATGATAACCCAAATAACAACACGCTTTATCTCGAGCAAATTGGCCCTCAGTTTGTATGTGGCGCTCAATTTGAAATTTTGCATTCCACTCAAAAGTTTACGCTTAACTCTGGTTCTATTCCTCCATTAGCTCTCATACTCTCACAAGGAGATTATAAAGTGATTGACAGTGTAGTGCTAGTAAAAGAACAAAACAACTTACTAATTTTTGATATTGATTTAGAAAAATGGTTGTTTGAGATATTAACTAATTACTTGAAAGATACAGACGAACCAACCACACTAGTTCTGCCACAGAGCCTATCTAAATTCATTCATTTTTCAATCCCGAAAATCACTTTCCATATTTTGACAAACGAATCAACTCATCTTTCTCAAGTTGTCAAAAACTCGGTTCTTGAAGTCAGACCGAAAAGTGTGACTTTCCAAATAGTTGACACTGTGTTAAAGCTGTGTTCAGAATACCTCTCTGTCGGAATGTGCAAAAATCTCGAAAGTGAAGACTTGACGCCCGAAGATTTGTTTATTCTATTTAAAGAACAATTATCAATTCCTCAACGCACTGTTCTTAATTATGCACTTTCCAAATCACCTAAATATCCCGAAAACTCACTGAAAATCTACCTCACTCCAATTCCAAAACCCAAACGCGATGAGATGAAAAAAATTTGCAAATCGCCCCAATTTGAAAACATGGAAAATGTGTTCAAAATGTTTTTCGTTCTCAAAAAGAAATTTCCTGAATTTGAAGACAAGGTAATACTCAACACCCTTTTCCACAAATACCCAAAGTCACTCCAAACCCAATTTCTTCCAATCTCAAAGTCATCTTGTCTTTTCGAAAGAGAACTCTTCACAAAAATCATCGAAGAACTCACAAATTCGTTAAAACAAGGACTTGTCGTGATACCAGAAAATGTTAGCGAGTTCACTCCTGAATCAATCGACTCTTTACTTTTTTATGAAGAGATGAAAAATTGCGTTTTCGAGGAAGGAAACGCGAAGAAGACAAGCGAAACGATTAGAGAGGTGGGACAGAGTAACTTGGAGTGGGTCGAGTTTGTCAAAGAAAAGTTAGTGGGTGTGGCTAAACAACGAGTGTTTGCGCTATGTAATTCTCGACAACTGTTTAACGCGTCGTTCCCATTTCAGTGTCTCAGAGAGAACAGTTGTGAACCAACCAATTTCTTACACTGCGACGATAAATACAACTCTTTGGTATTGACTAGTATGGACGGGAATGTGAATGTCTTTACTTATTATCCAAAAGTGTTTGACGCAAGTAAAGAGAAGTACTTTAATATGAGCAGGTGTGTGAACGATCAAAACATAAATTTTGTAGTATTACTTGGAGGGAAGAGAAATACTATAAGCACTTCAAAGTTGATGGCAATAACACAGATGGTGAGCACGTTGGCTGAGAATAAAGATGATAACGACAACAAAGCAATTCTATTTGTCGACGAAATATGGAAGAGCGTTATTAAAAAAGAGAAGTACAAAGAGACAAACAACGTTGAGATCATTTTCATTCCTCAAAATTTGGAGTTTTTCGCAAATCCAGCAACAACATTGATTGGCCAATTTCTCCATTTCGAGTTTTTCACTGAAAAGATTGGTACTGAAGAACTTATTATCAATGACACGTTGTTTCTTGACAAATTGGTTACATTCCTGACAACAAACAAAACGTGTGTGGTTGACTCTTTTGAGCAGTGCGGCTTTTGTAATATTGATAAAGTTGTTTTTGATGTCAAAAAGATTGAAAATCAAATTTCTCGTCTGTGTCAAACTAAACAACTGAATTTCAAAGAGGAGAGTGTGACAATTGACATTGAGAAAATTGAAATATTGTTTAAAGAAGCTGTTTTATCTGAAATTGAAAAATATGAACAGACAACAGAAGGCGAAAAAACAGTCAATTCTGAAAAATGGGTCGAGGCATTAGTAGCGAAATACCCCACTTTGGAATACTCAAATTTGCTCCAAATTGTTGAACAACAAACTGCGACAAAAGTCCCACAGAAAATAGAAGAAGATAGCATCAGCGATGTTGAAGAGCTTTCTGCTATTAATGTTGTTCCACAACCAAGCAACAGCACAATATGTGTGAACCGATACTCACACAGCGAAACAATTCAATACATCAAGCATGAACCAATTGTTCTCGATTACACTTTGTGTGTGTCAAGTTTATATTTTCAAGAATCTTTGAAAGAGTGGGATTGCCAAAATCAGTTTCTATAAGTAATGGACGTTATTTGTTATTACTCTGCGCCATTTGAAAGAACAGAACGAATGAATGAAGCAACAAATTAATTTGATGAGAGTGTCATTTGGTTAGTGTTTGGGTCAACCGAAAGTTTTAATTTTGAACTTTGAATAAAAGACGACATTTCTTGTGTAGGAGAGTTATGTATTTCTAGAGAGAGTAATTTCAATTTGGCTTGTGTCTGTCTGTTAATCTATAGTTTTTATACAAACTATATATATAGATTTTTTTATATAAAAACAAACTATATAAGATACCCATTGTTTTGCGGATTCTTCGTTATTGGTAATGAATTCTATGATACTTGGTTTGTTTTGATACAAATACTTCATCGCGAATTGCGTTTTTCGGGCTACAAATTAGTTTTGTCCAATAACACTTTTCCAATTTTTTGCTTTGCAAAAGTCAAAACATTGGATTTTTTGTGGAAACAAACTTTTGTGAAGAGCAATTGTTTCGATGTCAGAAATAAAAAAAATCTGCTTTTCTTCGTTTTGTCGGGGCTCAGACGAAAAAATGTTGTCGACAATTTGCCACTTTTGCGGGGTGCTGAAAGTGAACGAATTTGACGTGTTTCGGAACTGTAAAATCCCTTCCATTTCTTTTTCCAGTTTTTATTTTATTTTTCATTAATAAAAAATGTTTTAGAATACTAAATAATATAGTTAATTTTAACAAATGAAGAAATTATATTTAAATAACTATAAGTAACTAATACATTGATATAGTAATAAGAGTGCGACAACCATTCAATCATTTTCCTTTATTTGGGGGGTTAAATCTCCTCAAATCCTCAAAACTAAGCGAACTCAAAAAGTCGAAAAATGTTCTTTTTTGTTGGTGTGACCATTTCACTTGTCATCATAGTGTATTGTATATACATGTTCTGTCGTGGTGGCACTAACATCAACTACCCCGACTTAACAGGCAAAATTGTAGTGGTCACTGGGACTAACAGAGGGATTGGGTATGAGACTGTGAAGGAGTTGGCCAAACAAGGTGCGACTGTAGTTTGCTGTTGTAGACATGAAGAGGCACAAATCCGAGTGAACATGATCATTGGGAAGGAAACTGGCAATAAGAAGTTGGAATTTGTGAAGTGCGATTTGATGGACTTGGCTTGTGTTAAGAAGGCTGCGGAGTACATTAACACTAAATACCACAAAGTCGACATCTTGATCACAAACGCAGGGATCATGTGTTCTCCATTTGCTCTTTCCAAACAAAACGTCGAATCACAAATGGCAACGAATCACATTGGACACGCTGCTTTCATTCAAGCGTTATTGCCTTCATTATTAGCTTCCGACTCCCCAAGACTTGTAGCAGTATCTTCTGTTGCTCACAAGTTCATCTCACCAAAGACAATCAACTTAGTTGGCAAAAAGGAGAATTACAAACCAGCAATGAGATATTTCGAGTCTAAATTAGCTGTTGGAATGTTTATCAACGAATTCGCAAAAGAACACAAAGAGATCGTCGCTGTCCATGTCCACCCAGGAATCGTATATTCCAATTTGTGGAAGGACTGGCACCCATGGCTCTTGTGGGTGCTCTCACCTTCTTTCTACATCTTCTGGAAGAATCCAAAGGAGGCGTGCCAGACAACTTTGCACTGCGCTTTGGCAGATAAAAACGAAATTGTGTCGGGAGGATACTACGCAGATTGCAAATTGGCAAGTCACAACAAACTCATTGATGACACGGAGATGAGACAAAAGCTTTACAAAGACACTCTTGAGTTCATCAAGCAGAACGAGTAACTGACTTTTGAAACTATACTTCTTCTATCTGTTCTAGTATAAATTTTTAGTATAATTTTATAGTAAAAAAATAATAAAAAATAGTAAAAACTTCTATTGTTAGAATAGAGTAACAAGTTTCAAGACAACTTCAACACCCTTGTCAATCGCTTTGATTGGTACAAACTCTCTTCTCGAGTGAAAGTTCTTACCGCCAGCAAACATGTTGATACATGGAAGACCATGAGCAGATAAGTGTGAACAATCTGCACCCCCCCGCATGTAAATTTTGACGGGCTCAACACCAACGTGTTTCATCGCTTCAACCAACTTCTGGGACAACAAATCGCCCGGCAAATACCTCTTCATGTTTCTGTATTGTTCTCTAAACTCAATTGTAATTGTGGACTTCTTGTACCGTTGTCTTAAAACTTCGCATTGGTCTTTCATTAATTGAATGAACATCTCCATCTCTGCGACTTCAAATGATCTCACTATGAATCTTGCTTCACTATGCATCACAGCACCAGACATCGAAGTGCACAAAATGTACCCTTGATTCTCTCTTGTTGTCTCTGGTCTTCTCGACATAGGCAAACTCGTGTAAAATTGAGACAAAATGTAACCAGCGTCTTCCATTACACCAAACGCTTCTCCAGGGTGAACCTCATGGCCATCAATTTTGAGAGTCGCTTCAAATGCATTGAAGCCATCTTCACAATACGTTCCAAGCTCATCACCATCAATACAATACGCACAGTCCAGGTGTAAGTCGTCAACAACAACGTGGTCACAGCTCTCTCCTATTTCTTCGTCTGGGGTGAACACAAACAAGAGGCGCGGATGCGGGATGTTTTGTGTGACAATTGAATGAATCGTTCCCATCAAAATCGCAACACCACTTTTATCATCTGCGCCAAGTAAAGTGTCTCCAGATGATGTTATGATTTCGTCACCAGCGTATTTCTCAATGTCAGCCTTGTCAATCACCGTGTTGTTTTTGGGAAGAGTCAAATCAGAAGTGACTTGATTTGGAAGTCTGTGTATAATCGGCTCCACGTGTTCTCCCGAAGCCTCCGGAGATGTGTCGATGTGTGCAAAAAACCCAATAGATTTTGTCGATCCGTTTGTTGACGGCATGTCAACCTTTAAAATGCAGTTCTCTTTCTCGAAGACGTATGGTGTCTTGATCTCGTCCAGCTCTTTCATCAACTGTGTCTGCATGTCGTACTGGCACTTTGTTGATGGTGTTACATGTGTATTTTCATTGCTCTGTGAATTGATTTTGACGTAACCAAGAAACTTTTCGACTGCAACACTTCGACTCATTTGTAAATGATTTTTGAAGTTTCTCTTTTTTTGATTTTGAGTTTTGTCACTTGTTGTAAAAACCTCAATCTCAAAAATTAACAAATTTGAGATTGAATGAAAAAATGGAAACAACATAACAATCATTAACTTCAAAATCCTTGCAAAACGTGCTCCTTCTGGAATTGTTCGTGGAGGAGTATGACATCCTTTTTGGTCTGGGGCTTTCCAAATTTCTGGAAAGCTAACTCGAGCACATCCTCATTAATTTTGTCGACATTTTTGCGAAGACAATAGAGTGATGCTTCTCGACAAATTCCGGCTATTTCAGCACCGGAGTATCCGTCTAGTTTTTCGGCCCATACCTCACTATCGACATCTTTAGCATATATTTGCACAATTTGTTTTCGGGTGGAATTATCAGGAAGTCCGACATATAAAATTCGATCGAACCGTCCTGGTCTCAGAAGTGCTTGGTCAAGTAAGTCAGGCCTATTTGTAGCAGCCAACACAAGTATTTTAGTCTCTTTAAGGCCATCCATTTCAACCAAAAATTGTGAGAGAAGTCTATCCCCATACCCCACCTTTCCTCGTTCACTTGCGACGCCTAGCATACCATCAATCTCATCGAAGAAAATGACACATGGCGCATTCTGTCGTGCTTTGGTGAATATCTCTTTGATCTTTCCTTCGGTCTCTCCAACATATTTTGAAAGCATTTCAGGCCCTTTGACTGCTAAAAAGTTGCACTTTGCTTCTGTCGCAAGTGCTTTGGCTTGCATTGTCTTTGAATTTCCGGGTGGCCCATGTAAAAGTATTCCACGCGTAGCGCGGATTTTAAACAAATCGAGTTGGTCTTTATACTTTAACGGCCATTGCACAGCTTCTCTAAGTCTGTTTTTGACATCTTCGTTGCCACCAATTTGGTCCCACGAGACGTGTGGAACGTTCAAAGATATTTCTGACAACCCACTCGGCTTATGTTTTTTGATCAAACGTTTGAAAGTCTCTACATTTCCTTCAAACTCGGAAAACACTGTTGAGATGTCTCTGTGTGTATACCCACTCATCAGTTCATTCACCGCGTCTATCTCTTCTTTAGAGTTGTCTTTCATAAATTTAGAAATCAGAGTGACTCTTTCTGATGGGGAAGGAACAGACGTTTGAAGCGTCTTTTGAAAGGGGAAGTTGACTTTGGCTGTTGTCGTACAAATGAGAAGGACATCACTATTGTCGAGTTTGTGTAGAGCACTTAATGACGTTTCTGGTAGTAAGTTGACGTTGTCTATTATGACCACAGACTTTTCGTTGTACTTCAATGCGTTTTTAAATATCGAGTTCATTGCACTTGATATATCCCCATGTGGTGTGAAATAGAAAATAGCATCCCGCCTTGATCTCTCCGCCATTTGTTCACACAAAACACTTTTACCAGAGCCGGATGCTCCTGTGATAAGAAAAGAACGGAGAGCGAGTTGGTGCGGTGGAGTGTACTTTAACGCCGAAGTTAATGAATTGATTGCTTCTGTATAAAACACTGGAAACGGTGAATGAACAGGAGACAAAATTAAAGTATCTCTTGTGACCATAGAAGGATTTGTGATTGATATGTCTAATTCAATTGGGTTTCCGTTGATGAAAACAATTGGTTTTAAGTGTGGGTGGAGAGGGTTGTGGCCTGTACGTCAGTATAGTCCCTTTTAGTATTGACTATAGTTTTTGAACCACAAACTAAGTTGGTCGATTACAATTGGGAAATAAAGGGATGATATCGGTGTAGTGACCTGAAGTGTCTTCAGAACGGTTAAAGCCTTTCTAATCGGCACAATTGTGACTTTCGCGGATGACGCGAGATTGTGGAGTTCTGCGTGTTCTTTGTAAATGTAGGCCACTGTATGTGAATGGTTTATTTATAATTTGTAATAGTAAAAACAAACTAAATCGCATAGAGCCCGGCTGTGGGTGGATTTCAAAGACACCCATGATCTGTTGGTCCAAATGCAACTCTACATAGTCACCAACAGACAGTTTCATATCGGCCATGTGAACTGGATGTGTTTCTACAATAAATTTTGTGGAATCGTTTGCAAAGGGCTGTGTTGTATAAATCACACAAAAAGGTTTAGCCATGTCTGTGTTTTTTAGTTGAATAAACAATTAATCATACAAAACTATTACAATATTATTTATTTAATTATGAATAACATATACATAGTATTAATCATATCTCATGTATACTGTTGTATCGTTATAAAAAACTGTATTTCAACTCTTTGAAAAGATGTTTACAAACGAGTGGATATCACAAAATGTGATATTGAATTGTAATACCAGAGAAATTTAAAACAGGGAATCCGCATAATTTCGAACACAAACAAGGAACTTGAAAAAAAGGAACTTGAAAAGGGTAATGTTTTTGTTTGTCTTTCTTGTTCAAGTCTATTCGCAGCAATGTCTTGTCCGGCAGATGGATGGTGTCAAAAACTACTATGAGGTAGTTCAAGGCACCAATTTATGTCCCTGTGACGGGTGTTCCTATGAGATTGCTGATTGTCTTCAGGCTCCTTTAGACTTAACTCAGAATTTTGTGAACCTTGTAGCACACTGTCCACAAGTACCGAAGAAGATGTATCCACTTAATATCACGCAACAGAAGCCTCAACAAATCACAGCGACAAACACTTTTTTGACATTCAATTCACTTGATACGGTAGTGTCCAAATTGGTAGTAGAGGGTGATATTGCTATTGTTATGAAGAAGGGCAAATTCAACGTGTTTGAAGCGAACAAAGGAGAGACTAATGTCACTATACCAAAGTGTAAAACGAATTGTTCGATTCAAATGGACTCGGCAACGTTTAGTGCATTAAATGACTGGTTTATTGGAAGCCACAATTTGGTCGATATTAAAGCACTCACAATCAACTGCTCGAAGACATACCCGTCATCCATTCACATTGGCGTCAATTCTAAAATTCACGCACAGAAAGTTGTGATACAGGGGAATACAGTGATATTCACTGAAGGACACAAGATGAATAACATGTCAGGACCTCTTATCTTGTCAAACGAATTTGTGACGACACGACCCCTCTCGATTCAAGTCATTGACAAACTCCACCCACAACAATGCGTGTTGGTCTTACAATCAAATTCACTCAAGAAATTTCCAAAGACAATGCAATTCAAAATCGACCAAAATGCACTCAATTTTGCACAGTTTGCCGTCAAATTTGGTGAACTGAATGAATTGAGCGGAGAGGGAAAACACACGTACTACACTGTCAAGGGCAATAAAGTGCAACAGAAAGTACCCGAAGGGTACAAGATGAGTGTTGTCAAGACTAAATATGTGGTGATACCAAATCAAGTGGAGAGTGTCTACCCCGTCGACGATTTGGATCAAGACTACTTTGTCAACAAAACAATTCTTCAACCCGAAGAGAAGCAGAGTTTAAGTGAAATACTGTTAATCAAAATCGACTCACAGAAACACATTAAACTGTATTTCAAGAATTACAAGAAGTATGGCATTATGGGAAAAAAGTTTGGGAAGAAGGGGAAAATGACGTATCATCTGGACTTCGATGTCACTGCTATGAAAGTCGACAATGACACGTTGGTACTCACACAACAATTTAAAAAGAAGTCCGACATCGTCTTCCCAATCGAAGGCGATGAAGTCATGACGATACCAAGCCACTACTTCACAAAGAGAAATAAATATCCATTGAAGAACTATGAGGTATGGAAGATGGAAGACGACGAGTATTTGATTATGACAAAAAAGAGCGTTTTGAATATGTTCTCGTTTTACACCGACTCCGATTATAGACTTGCAAGAGTCGATGACCAACTCTTAATTTGTAACCCACGGATGGTACAAGCTAAACAAAATGCAACTGCTGTGAATGGTACCGGAGTCGAAGAGATTGACAAAAATGAGAACACTTTGAAAAAGATAGAAGAGTCTTTGAAAGTTGCCACAAGTGAAGAGGACAAGAAAGCGGAGAGCGAGAATAAGGAAAAGATTTCTATCGACATCATCAATAAAATCATTCAAGAAGTCAAGGAAAAGTCCGAACAGAACAAACAAAGTGGAGAGAACAAAGACACACAGACGGAAGACAAGAAGGAGGAATCAAAACCAGAATAATTGAAACACAATACGAATAGAGTTACTATTCTTTCTATACTTTTACTATAATTAAATAGTTAAAGTATTATATTATAAATTGAATTATTAATACTAGAATTAATTAATTTCACTAAAAAAAACACAGAGAGGTGCTATGAAGAGAATGTTTCCAGGGATCATCTCTTTACAGGGAAATGACGCACCACAAAAAATTGCGTTAAAAATAAGGAAGAGAGGGTTTGTGTCACAGAATGTGTACATTTTCCGCAAGATGACCGACCAACAAGGGATAGAAGTCAATTTAGATAAGGCAATCGACGTCACAAGACAAATGAAGGAGACGGCAAACATGACCGATTTATTTGATGATAGAAAACACAAAATTGAGGAGGAAAATCAAGACGGAACACAACCAATTTACTACGAATTTATCGAGGAAACAACAAACCTAAGAGACTTGTCGGAGTATAAAATGGTGATAATGGAAGATAAAGATTTACTCAATCAAAGTTCAGACTCATTCGACTCAGAAGACTCAAACGCGGAAAATAACCCAAATAATTCATATCCAGACACCCCAACTTCCGACTCTATCAGTAATGACAGTTACTCTGGAGACTACTATGGAGATTATTATAATGACGATAAAGAAAATGATGATGCGAGCAATGAGAGTGACAGCGAGGAAAGGGATACATACGATCAACAACCCGGAAGTAAGATGGAGGAAATCATTGGACCTTCACATGCAGAAGAATTTAATGCTCAAGACACATCACCAAAAATGGAGGAGGACTCGGATTCAGAAATTACGTTCAATAAAAAGGAATGATTGTAGCGATGTTAAGTAATTGACTGAGAATGATTTGAAATGGGTAATGAACCTTTTGTAACGGTAAAACATGTATATTTCAATTAAAAATTAAATTCCAGGCGTGGAAGTTGGTGATCTGCAATTTGATGACATTGTCTGTTTGTGTGGTGAAGTGTTCCAAATAAAAGAGACTTGGTTCTGTAGTTGAATCAATGATGGCTTTGTCCAAAATGATTTCAGACTCTTTGAAGTACAACACGCCGTTCACACTGATGTAATTGCCTTCACATTTTGTGAAGGCAAGTGAACCAGTCTTGAGATAGAAGGGGAAAAAGATTCCATTAAAAATGGAGAAGAAAAAGAGGTTTGAGAACATCCCAAACGTTTTGGACTCGGTTGTGTGAAATACGATCACAAGAGGTGCATAGTTGAAGTTTGCATTCATAATATCAGTGTTTATAACAGGTGATGTGTACAAATACTTAAAGGTGATGTTTTGGAAATAAAAAGTGTTAGTAAGAATTGTGTGAATACTTCTTGCAAAGTCATCTTCTTGTAGCAGTATCTGTGCTTGAGTCTGTTCTTTCATTTTTTCTTCGTCAAGCCTTTGAATTTCTTCTTTCAACTTCTCGATTTCGGACTCTTGTGTTGAGATCTTTTCTTCATTTTCTTTGATCTGTTTACTCAGTACCTTAACATTACTTATGTCGTTCATTACATCCGATAAATTGCAAATAGCTTCTTCTATCACTCCGTTCAATTTCCTTCTTTTACCAACAGCGTTCTTTATCTCAGTGGTAATGTCTTTCAATGTTTTTCCCATATATTTTTCTTGTTCTTAGTTCATTAAACAAATTGTATAAGTCATTGTTTATTACCTAATGAGGTACATTATAGTATTGATTCTAGTATAAAAATGTTATATATTTTTTGTAAAATCATTTAAATATCATATGTAATTAGAGCAAGATTTTTTTTCTTGAAGAAGAACACTCCAATAATAAATTTATTGTCTAATAAAAAGGGTGTGAAAATAGAAAACAATGACAATCTTAGGGAAATAGAGATAATTGTCCTTCAAAAACAAATATAATGACTAAGATATTCATTCACAAAAAATCAGTTAATTTCAGCCTGTGGTTTGGGGGATATGACGCCAATATCTGTAAAAGTTGGGATTGGCGATGGCGAGTCTCCTATTGTAACGATTGTCGAATTTCTCTTCTGACAATAAACAACAACAAGTGTAATGCCCTCACAGACAACCAATGTGGCTGCACCAATTGCAATGACATACCACTCACCAACTTTATACAACAACTGAAATATGGAGAGTAAAATAGTGGGTGTCACGAAGAGAGTCAGTAAGACTGGATGAAATGGCAAATAAAAGAGTGCCTCGACGTCACGCTTTTTCAAGTAAGCCTTCCATCTGATTGCGAGGTAAGCGACCATAATAAAAAGAGTTGAGACGGACAAGAACCACATTTGCACCGACACAATTTGATTGAATGTCACGAAAATTGAGATAAACCCTGCAAAGACAGTTTGAAACAAAATTGCGAAGTATGGAGTGTTCGTCCCCGCAAACGTTAATGAGAATACTCGAGGTAAAAAGTTGAATTGTGTTGCATGAGAAAGGGCTTGTGAGCTGGTTTGAAGGAACATAGAAGCAAGTCCAAAAACACCCAAAATTGTGGCGACGGTAATGACATAAGATAATGGTTTCCACAGCTTTTTTGCCATTGAAGAGTATAACGGTTCTAATGAAGAATATGGAGAGCCTGGTACGCTTGGCGGTTGCGTGAAATCTAAAGTGGTGACTAAGTCCATTGTTGGGACAGTGTATGTCAACACAACTAAGACCAACGCAACAACCATGGCAACCGGTACATCCCGTTTTGGCTTTTTTGCTTGCGACGAGACGTTCCCGACGAAGTCCCACCCCATCAAGTTAAACATGATGATAGAGACCAATTTAGGAAATGACGAATCTTCAGAAACGACTGTAAAATTGACTAATTGACTCAAATCCAAGTGCGGCGTTGCTATGAAAAAACACACGATGAATGGAAGGATCACACCGACTGTGAGGAAGATACCAACAGTCGATAACTGTTTTGCACCAATAACATTGACCGTGACTAACAAACACAAAAACATCACAATTGTTGGGATTTTGAGTAAGAAATAGGTCATCGAAACATCCTCGTAATCAAAAAAGAGTGTTTGATGGTATATCGAATTAATGTAGTCGTAATACAATGCGATGTACCCTGCATTACACGCAACGTTAAACACCGTTCGAACAATCGAGTGGAAGAGTCCAACATGAAACCCAAAAGCCTTGAACACCCACTCGTTATACCCTCCTTCATATCTCACTGATAATTCTGCCATTGTCATTGACTGTGGAAGAGCCCATAGTAATGCAACGACTAATAACGACCATAACGCCCACGCAGGGTTCGACACTAATATCGACTCCTCAAACCCAAAAGGACCGCCTCCTATTGAAAAATAGACAACCATCGCCAAATTGACCCAACTCATTGTCCCATGCGTTGAAATGGGTCTTGTTGGGTCTGATGGGACTATTTCACTGTCTACAATCACTGCCGTCGTCTCGCCTAAAATAGTGAGTAATTTTCACTCAAAAAGTGTCAAAGTTTTCCTCTAATTTTGTTCGGGGATTACGAGGGTAAAAAATTGGATCGGCGAGTTAACAAACTGGAGTGCGGTGGCGTGGAGGGCTTTGGAGAAGTTAGCGGAACAGATAAAGTCAATGGGATCGGGGAATGAGAAACTTCGCTCTCCTCCATATGTGTTTATCTTTTTCTCGAGTTTTTGTAATTTTGTTCTGCAACGACACCACTCCCCAAAAATTACATCGTTTTGGAAAGGAAAACGGTACATTTCTTAAATTACTATTTTACTATAAAATATGGTTCATTCAATAACTTTAGAAAGTTATTAATGAGGAAAAAATTCAACGTTTTTTGACAGTATGAATCAAAAAAATTATCATTTTTGTGGCTTTTCGAGTTCAGTCCATCAAGAAAAATGGTTATAACATATTAACATTTTATATATTTAAATATTATTATTATAATATTTAACACAATGTTATAATAAAATAATCATTAATTTTAATTATCATTCAATTTTCATATTAATAATATTATTAATACTATTTAACGATATTATAAATATCAATGATATTATACCATTATGACAGATAAATATAAATAATAAAACTATTATAAACAAATGCCAAATAACTATAATAAAATCATTATTTTATTTAACCCTTTTCAATAAATTTTAAGCATTTTTTAAAATGACCTCTGGTCCAAAACCACTGTTTTTGCGCAAGATAACTAAAAAATCGCAAGAATACCAAAACTATATTATAAAACAGCAAGTTTTTTAACTCAAATATTGAACTCATATTTGGTTGTTTTTAAAAGTTCATCAAAATGTTATCTAGATATGTTTATTATAAATTATAATATTTTTATTAATCAATAAAATAATAGAAATAAAATAAAAAGATCCGAGTAAAACAAGTGATGATACCCAATAATTACCCACAATCGATGGCAAACTGTCGCCGAACCACCACAAAAACATCGAAAACAAGTTTTTTGAGGATTATTAATCCCACTCATCGATCTAGTGTTACAAAAACGGTGCGTCAACCACTGGCAGCCTTAACGACATCAACGGTGCTTCAACCACATTCTACGCCAACGATACAGCCAACACAACTTCCAACATTTTTTGTGAGAGAACCATTTTCACAGATTCAACCACGCAACATACCAGTTGTGCCAACAAAAGAAGCAAAAAAAAGTGAAAACAGTTAGATTGCAAGCAGAACAAACAACAGCAATTGAGGAGTCGAGACAGGAAAGAAGAAGACAAACAACTCAACTTCAACGGATAAGATTGGAAGCTATGACTAACATTCGAGCTTCAACTGTAATCAAGAAAGTGTTGACATGTTCCTTTTGAGAATGGATAACGAAGAATTTGATCTCGAAGACGTTGCTACCCCAATTGCGACTATCACTACTCACAACAAAGAAACGTTGTGTTCCATTAACCTAACTACCAACGAAAGATGTGTAATGTTGACTGGACTTCAAAAAAAACATTTTGATGAATTATGCAAGTTGATGAAATACAAAAACGGATATTACAGTGTAAACAGAGAAAGTGAAGTTGAAAGAACTATTGGAAAGTTCACAGGCACAATACCAAATACTAAAGTAGTCACTCTTAACAAGAAAAACCAACTCACTTATGAAGATCTGCTACTATTGTTACTTACTCAATTACATGGTGATTACACGTATAAAGAATTGTTTGAATTCTTAAACATTGAAATCATTTCACCAGATAACAACGAAAATGAAGTGAACGAGATTAAAAACAGAAGAAGAAGAGAATCAAATATATCTAAGTGGCTTGATCTGGCACTCGACTTGTTTAGTGAAGCAATGAAAACAATATTTATCGACTCTGTGTTAAAATGTGCAGAATGTACACAAAGCTTCGATATTGGTAGATCAGCTGCTTTCGGAAAATATATACCAGAGTTAAAGCATGTGTTTTTTGCAGTTGACGGTAGAGATCAGGCAATCAACAATAAAAGAGTTGAACACGGAACGACAACTGTGTTGGATAAAAATTTTTTCAGTTTTAAACATAATCATTCAGGCTTGAAGTCGGAAGTTGTCATCAATTATTTCGGTATGGTGGTCAGTATCGTGACCGAAATCGAATGCAGTGTTCACGACAGTGTGTTATTTAAAGATTATTATTATGAAAAATGTGTCCCACGTAACATGTTGATATTGGCAGATGGTGGTTATTCTTCTTGCCCATCTTGTGTAATTCCATTTAAAATAACCAATGATCTGGAGTTAACTGAAATACAGAGGAGGCACATTAAAAACCGTAACAATTGTCATTCGTCTTGTCGAATTGAAGTCGAGAACTTATTTGGCTGGTTAGTAACAACTTTTAAAATGATGCGAAATGTGTGGAAATTACCATTGAACAAATACGGATCCTATTCAATTGTTGCACATGCAGTTCTCAACTTTATGATAACAAAAAATCCTATGCGAAATGTTCATTTTTATTTATTCAACTCGTATTTGAGAACTAGTCCCGAAAACAGAAACTTGTTTTTGGAACCGCTTCCACCCACTACAAGAAGATGGCTGACTGCATTTATAGAACAAAGAGACGTATCCGCAGTTGTTAATGGTAATGAAGAGTTTGTTGATGGACGTGGAACTGCTAATGTTGTTAATGAAGATTGATTTCAATTTATTGTTTCATACTTTTATAGTTTATTTATTATAATTTTGTAATTTGTGTTTTTTATTTGTTTTTGAGTTACTATAATTTAATAATAAAATAATGGATTAAATATCTTGCTTATGTTATTAGATGTTGCGCAAGTTTAACAAACTTGTCCATTTTTGTTGTTTTTGTCTAAAAAATCGAATTTGGACCAGATGTCATGAATGTGTAATATAATAAATGAGATTTTTATTAAAAATATCTAAATAAATATATTAAACATCAAATAACAAAAAAAACAATGAAAATAACATTTATATTATATAACGATAAATATTAAATCATTACTATTATCAAATGAAATGTTTTTTAAATGTTATTCAAAGAAATGAAATAACTAGAATATTCAATAATGGCAGATAACGTGGCAACCCTTCACAACATTCGACTTCAAATTGGAACCGTTCAACAAGTATTAGAAGTGATTACTCTTCGCACCGAAACTGCCCCAATCCCGATGTATGCCCCTATATCATCAGTTCCAGAAATCGAACCTGCTGCACTTATCCCCGTGACAGTACAGCCAACCGAGTTAAACAATTTATTGGTCCAATTGAGTGATGAGTATTTTGTTCAACTGACGGCAAAAGAGACTGAAGAGTTGTTAAATAAGAAAATAAAAACGTTACAACTGGAAGAAGAGAAGCTTGTAGCAAAGATGAAAGAAGACGCAAAAACAGCACTCGAGACAGTAAGTGGCGATGTCCGCAATATCAGTGAATTTATAACTGAGGACGAGTATCAAAAAATGAAACAAAATCGCCCCGTTGAGAAGACACCCAACATTGACTGGGCGAAGGAGAAAGCGAGATGGGACCAAGCAGTCTCTGTCGAGAAAGACTTAGAGTCGCAAGGAAAATTACAGTTCATCAACAAAATCCCCGAGGACATGACTATCAACGAAATTCGACCAGAAGAGCTTGAAACCCCTGCTGTCAAAAACACGATTGTCGAACATAAAAAGTCAAAACAGAGCCCAACACAACACGTTCAGAAAGTCGTTTCGCAACCAACAGAAATAGATAATGTGGATGGGATTGTCGTGAGAAAAAAAGGTACCAAAGATCACGACCAGACCAACCAAAAGCCAAAGAAAGTTTCATTGTTCAAACAACGACAAAATAAATGAATGTTATTTGATTGCATTAGATGTTACTTCAGTGCTCTTTTCAAGTTAATTAATAACAAAAATGATATTAATAAAAGTGACTTAGTCGACAAGTGTCAGATCAATCACTAAGATGCTTTTATTCTGTGAGTTGAACTTGAAGAAAGGTATAAAGACCCTGTTTTCTTTAAGAAGTTCTGGTTCGAGTGATATTGGATAGATAAGAGGGAACGTGAGTAACGTGTTGTACAAGTCTCTTCTTGTGTATTCCAATTGTAAGAGGACTTTATTTTTATCAGCAAGTTTATTTCGTTTCATTACAGCGGGGAAGACGTCTGAGATAGTGAATGTGAAATTATCTTTGAGTGTTTGCATGTTTGTCTGTGGTTTACATGCGACGTTTACAAAGGAGACATAGTAATGGGTAGAGTCTTCAACGAAATCTTCCATTTCATCCAACTTGCTTGGGTCTTTGGGAGTCTTTGAATCAGTTGGCAATTCTACTGTCCCAAAAATGTTGTCTGTTAAGTCGATTGCTGTGATGAAGTTGTTTCCCCATTTTACCCAATACATTGTATTGACCTTTGTATTCTTGTGTGTAAACCCAAAGACATGCTTTTCAAGGAGTACAACTGACTTCTTCATGCGAACTGTATTTGGGTCTTTAGCCACAATGGTTGGTTGTTGTGGAACTACGACTTGTGGGAAAAAAGGCAGCACTGGTTTTGAATACACAGGAGTGGACTGTGGGACGGTGAACGCAGACTTTGTTTCACTGAGTTGCGCTCGATCAGCTTTTCCAAAGAAGCACATGTTGGTTATTGGGATGAATCGCCCTTTGTGGTTTCGTCCAAGTGTCTTATCTTTTGAGACGTAGTATCTGTCCAAGAATGTCAAGAAGTTCCCAGTCAACAACTTCATGACAACGCCAGACGGGTGAACAGCTTGAGTAGCCTTTGGTTGAATCAAACAGTAAATGTCGTCCTTGAAAGTCATGTACCCCATAGTGTCTGATATTTCAACTTTTACAGTGTATCCCGGTATCTCAATGACATCTCCTGTCTTCGAGAATTCCGGTATAAAGACTTTGTCTTGTGTATCTCCAATACATTTTTCGACTCCCTTGAAAGCTTCTATAAAATTCACTTCGACGGTAACCTGTGGCTTTTGTTTGACCAGTACATATTCCCCTATCTTGTTCGATTCAGTTTGAGGAATCTTTTCAATAGGACTCGATGCGTGTTGTGATGGTGTGTTTGGATGATAATCCATTAACTTAAGAAGCTTTAACTTGTTATCGTTGCAGATATTAAGTAAGTTTTGTTGTTGTTCAGTAAAGAGAAGAGAGGGTGGCAAGTTCTCTCCAGGCTTGAATTGATTAATGAATGTGATGATTGGAGATAAATCTTCATTTTTTTGTGAAAGAATAAAAATGAGAAACTCTTTGACTACAACTTGCTTGTCCTCTGGTAATTTGCATAAGATATTTTGAAGAAGGTCTTGTTCCATTTGATTATTCAGTTTGCGCTACGACTATTTGAAGATTGGATAAAACCAAACCTCATCACTTATTAAAGGTGTTTTTTCATTCTATTACATTTAAATGTATTATGTATTATTATAATTTTATAATACATAAAACTGGTTTAAAATAGAAGTGACGTTTCTTTTGGTTTATGTTTGTCATTTCAATTATTGTTGTATTACAAAATAATAATTTAATTTATAATAATGTATAATACAAGTTGTTTTATTATTAATTTTATATATATTACAAAGTATAACTATAATAATAAAAAATAATTTATATTTATAACAATTTTTATTAAATAATTTAATTGCAAAAAAAAATGGTATAATTTACTATACATATATTATATATTATTATACATATACAATATAAAAAATAGTTATTGTTGAACTATAAAATTAATTTGTTTATGTCAAAGCCAGAAAACCCATTGAATGTTTTCTATCAACGCGTACGAGACTTTTCTAGGCTTGTTGACGTGCGTAACAACACGAAATCGTACAACTCATACGTCGAATTTATTTTGCAAAATTCAAAAGATTTTTTCGAGATAATATTTGCTTTTGCGTTACCATTGAAGCCCAACGCAAGGGAAGTGTTAAGCGACCTTGTTTGTGATATTCCATTAAAGAAATTGAAAAACCTCAATAGCTACACTTCGTCGCGCGTGGAGATCCAACAACACGCACAAGACATTTACCAAATATTGAAGAAGTACGAGGACGCACAAGTTGCTGATTGTTTGTACCACTTACTTCCAATGGTCGAACCACAATTGTCCCAACTTCCTCTCTTCCAACAAATACTCAAAAACGTGAAGTTGTGGTTCAAAAGTGTAGTCATTCCAGTTTATGTCAGAGAGTCTGGGATGGAAACACCACAATTTGAAATAACTGAAACATACGCATCTTTGCTTTGTCAGTTCGGATGGAAATCATTTGTCCCTCCATCAGAAAAAATCCAGCGACAGGACCATCCAATGTTATTAAATGTGTATCCTTCGCAAGAAACAATCACAAAATGTATCGACGATATTATAGAAAAACACCCCAATGCAGTGAAGGGAATCCAACGCCAACAACAAAGCAACCCCACCATCACACCTCCTCAAAGAGAAATCGCAACACAATCCGAGAGCGTTCAAGTACCTTCAAAAGTGGAGGTTCCTATTATTACAAAGGAAATTATAATTCCAAAGTTCAAAACTTTGGAATTTGAGTTTGAGGTACCCATTGCGGACACCGACGAAGTAGAAAACGTTGTCGACGAAATTAGAAGAAAGCTTTGTTGTGGGTTTGTATTTAAAGATACAGACAGAGCAATGGAAATGATCAAGGAGTTGGACAAACTGATTAACTGATTTATTGACTGTTTGTAACATAATTGGTCCTTCACGTTGTATGGTATGGGTAGTATATTATTAATATAATTATTGTAGTTTTTATTGAAGTAATTGTTAGTAGTAAATAAATGGTAAATGGATAATAAGAAAAACCAATAAAAACTACCCGAAGGTCCATTTCCACTCAGTTACGGAACTCCGAAAAACACAAAACGCCACTTTACATCAGTCATCATGTTGTTCGTCGTCTCCCATCTTCTCGGAGACTTTATCGTCACTCTCCCGTTTCTCAGGAGTTTGTTCCCCAAACTCACTTTTTGAGCGAATGCCAACGGATTGTCGAGCTGAGCCCATCCCACTTTTAGCATCGGTTTCGTTGTCAAAGTCTGTGTCCTTTGACATCTCAATACCAAAATCGTGTTCCTTTGGGTCTTGTCGTTTTGCTTGTCGACGTACGTTGATAACGTAACCTACGTGGTACACCTATGAGATGAGACGCACTGTGGTAAAATCAAATACTTCCAATTGGATGAAGAAAATGGTGAGAAAAACAAACGATTTCACAGAGGATTGTACAGAAGAGAACAATAATAATACCAATGTACACTGGCACATACAAATTGTCAAGAGCTGTTGCCATTGTACCAGCTATGAGCGGCAAAAAGGCCATACCAAGCTTGGCAGTGCCTTCAGAGATACCAACAAAGAATCCCTTCTTTTGCTCACTCGCACGCAGAGAGTAATAGGTGGACGTCTGATAGGCAAACCCTGCAACTAACCCACTCAAAAAACTTAAAGTGAGTAATAACCACACTTGGTCCGATATCGCAACGACAATAAACAACAACATGACAGTCGCTTGGCCTATCAAAAAGAGTGAACGGCGATACGTCCAAACTGTTGTGAGTGACATGACTATCATCGCAATGGTCTGTGCAAAGTAAAACACAAAGAAAAAGAGACCAAGGTACATATCATTTGGAGCAGCAAGAGGCAAGTTGACACGAATATCCTTCTCTTTGATGAGCTTGATGTATTGATTGGACAAGACGGACGCACTTCCGACAATTGAAAAGTTCAAGATGTAGCCAAGGTAGATATACGTCTTGTTCTTCAATTGGAATTGGTTCCACTTGTACTTAATCACCTTTGGATCGGCAACAACAACTTCATCCAAATCATGTCCTTCAACGTTTTCCGCTTTGGCCGCATTGATATCAACACCCGTCTGCTTCTCTAAATCGTCGACCATATCAAGAGGAATTTCAATGTCGTTCTCACTCCCCTTTTTCTCTTCCTTCTCGTCTTTTTCTTCTTTAACATCTTTCATTTCAGTGTCCTCCTTCTCTTCTCCCTTCTTTTCAGTGTGCATGACTGTCACTTTAATGTCTTCTAAGCGTTGCTCACTCTCTTTTTTCTTCTTGATCCGCTCACGGACTTCGGGCGGAAGACAATAGGGGTATATGATTAATAAAACACCACTACAAGCAATCGCGACCCATAGCGCATTGTCTCCTAACGCCTTCTTCAACAACCCACCAAACAAATACCCCAACGCCTTCCCAAAACTCCAAAAAACAGAGTAAAGAGAACTGTGCATGTTCTCTTTTCCAATTGGAGCTTCTTTCCCGACAGTCGAACCAACAACAGGCCAAAACAAACCAGAACCTACCGAGTAGAAACATACATCAATGTACAAATGCCACACTTGTGTATTTAATACCATCACAAGGACGACACATGTTATGAAAAACACATCGGCGATTCTAAATAACAAGTAAGGGTTGATCAAATCAGTCAACTTTCCAGCAAACGGAGAGAAAAAAGCACCTAACCCGTAAGAGACAGCTTGTATAATCGCTAATTCAAGTGAACTGGCACCCAAATCATTGGCACGTAAAGGTATCACGGTCCATAAGAAATAAGCGGAAAAGTTGAAAAGGAACGAAGAAATAAGAAGTCTGTAGAAGTTCGATAAGATGTAGCGGAGAATCACGTTCATTTGTCTGTTTTTTTCAGTTTCAAACTATTTCTATTGAACCGTTGGTTCTACATCCAACCAGAATAATTAATAGGATATATTAACTTTAATATTTCGTGGGTGTAATTTGTTTCTATTGGTTACTTTCCTCCACTTATTTATACATTTGAACCAATGATTTGCAACGCTGTATTTAACTATTTTATACTATTGATATTACAATTCTTACTGTATTAGTTTGTCTTAATTATTAAAAAATTAACAGGGTAATTGAACGAACTCTCTTCACCATTTTTTACTTCAAAGTTGTGGCGAAATAATCGTCTTGTTTCTTTTTAATTATTATTTTAATAATAACCATGAATATTAATATAATAGTATGGTATGAAAGAATTTGTCGAATAAAATAGAAAGGTGTGTTATTAATCAATATTAAATCTAAACTATTTTGAATAGAGAAGTGACTTTTTTTAGAGTTTTTTCCAAAAGTTGTTTGAATAAAAAAAAACAAAAAAGTTTATCATTGAGGTATTTTTAATTAAAACAGAAATTAGTAAAAATTATAATATAATTTGGTTAGTTTATAATTACCAAACTATATTTTAATTAGTAAATAACTTTGAATAAAACTTTTTATTATAAAAATTTTATTTATTTAAATTAAAAAAATTGGAAAGTTGAAAAATTTGTAGTTTTACAATACAAAACTAAAAATAAAATAACATTTTTTTATTTTACTAAATTAGGTTATAAAATTATAATTTGTTTTTAAATAATACAAATAATTAATCAAAATGAACAAATGAATTAAAATAATAAATAAACATTTTTTTAAATATAATAATAAAAACAACTATAGTTATCATATAAAATTTATTATTTATTAATTCAATTATTACAACTATTTTTATTAATAAATTTTTGTTTTCTGATTCAAATTACATGATACAGTAAAAATTCTATCGGTGTGTGAAGTCATGAAAATGGTTTTACCAAGGTGTGTAAATTTTTTTTTCTTTTCTTTTTAAATTTCTGGCAAAAAAACTAAAAAATAATGAAATTTGTAAAACTATCGACAATCAAGAAAAATGACACAATGTATTTTTTGTTTTTTTGAGAAAAAAAACGTAACACGTGTAAACATAAAATAATATTGTGTATTTTTAAATCGTTTAATTGCTTAGAAAAAGAACAACGCATTGTTTTTTTGTATAAACAAATGGACTTTTGGTGCGGATTGGTTCTTGTCAATTTACAACTCAAGTACGTCTTTGACATCAGCCTCGATTGCTACATTGTCTTCTGTTGATAACCTTGAAAAAATTTGCTTGTTTACCGTGTTATTACACGGTAGCATAAGGTGAGTGTCGATTTTTAGCCTCAAAAGTCATCATCTTGTCGTCCTTTGCCTTGAACTTCTTTGCGTCTGCAACCATCTTGTCCACTTGTGCCTTTGAGAATCTTCTTTCCTGTTGTCTCGTTTTCAGCCGACACATTTAATATCCCATTTGCATTTGTGTCAAATGTGACTTCAACTGTGAGACTCCATGTGGTGCTAATAAGATACCAAACAACCCAAACTTTCCAAGCAGGTTGCAGTGTGATGTCATAGATGCCTCGCCCTCAAAGACTTGGATGAGCACGCCAGGCTGGTTGTCTGCATGTGTCGTAAATATCTGTGACTTCCTTGCTGAAATTGTTAATTTTTAGGTATCAATTCTGTCCTCACACCAATCACAAGCGTGCTCTTGTGATTGGTGTGGAAGTCGGTGCATTTTTTATTATCATTTAAAGTTTAATATTTTTTGAAGAGCATTTTATGCTTTTCTTCTCTTATCTTTTTTGAATTTATTTTTGTTTGATAATTTTTCTCTTTTTAAGTTTTTATTACCAAGTCTTTACTCTTTTAAAATAAAAACAAATTTGCAATTGAAATTATTTTTGCGGGTTTTGGTCCCAAATATGTGGGAAATCATTATATTCTATCGGTGTGTAGGTCACTTTTGATTGGTCAAAACCACACACCGATAGAATTTCTACTGTAATTTAATTGACACAATCATCTCTTTAACAACAAAATCTTGGGCGAACTAAAGACGCGACCTTTTATTTTTTGGTTTGCATATGGTTGAATATTATTTAATAAAGTTTTACTGTTATTAATGATGTCTATAAAAGGAACTTATAATATAAAAATGAAAATTGAAATTCAGTCATTTGTGAATAACGGCATCGTCAATTTTTCAAATTCCTTAGCACCCGAAAAAACAGTAATTGACCCAGAAAACATACTTCCCAAAACCGAGTGTTCAAAAGCAACAAATATAACGACTGATCTCATCACTTTTGGAAAATCATTTGAGAACATTATGTCCAAAGAAATTTCAACGAATTTGCAACCGTCGAATTCTGTTCATTTAGTTGAAAATATGCAAACAATTGATTTCAATAAATTCAACAGATGGTCTTCTGTGTTTTATTCAAGAATGTCCGAAGAATCACCACTGTCAAGTTTGTACGACAACTTACAGAAGAAGTTTGAGTTCAAAACATGTCAAGTTGTGTTTGACTCAACGCGAACACCACTCTTCTCAAACATAATTTTTTCATTAGTCACTGGAAGAGAAAAAGTGTTGGTTGTTGCCTTCTCACAAAAAAATTGTATTGCGTTGTACCATCCACAACAAATCATTTCCGCGAATAATGCCGTGAACTCCGACTTCCGAATTGCTTTTGGCGATTCGACTTCGTTGTCAGAAAAGTTTGGTCCAAACTCAACTGCACTCAGAGATAATAAACTTGGTACAACGTGGTTCAACAACGGAAATATTCTCATTAAAATAGGCGACGTTTTTGAACTCACTGAGTCGAAAGGATGTCGTTTTACGTCGTTCAACGACTTGGTAGTTCCACAACAAAACATTGATTTTGCTTTTGCAGCTGATAAGATTGTAATTGTTCAGTGCTTAGATTATTTTGATTTAGTTCACTTGGTTATAAATTGTTCTATTCTCATTGAATTTATGTGGTAATTACAACACAAATTCAACACCACAAATAGTGTTTAATCAACCCCAAAAATAGCAGTAAAATCAATATAATATGATTATAATAGAACATAAAGTACTAATACAAATAATACTGAAGCAATGGTAGTTCCATCATTCATGACCCCAAGAGAAGAACTTTCATTGACTTCTTGTGCTTGTGATGAGTAGAGTTTGTCATTAGCAAATGTTTCAGGTGGTGTGACTATTGATGAATTGATGTACGTACCCACTCTTCCGTTACAGAAATCGACATCACTGTAATCAAACGCACACGGGTTCGACACCGTTTTACCACATTTACAAATTGATCCACCTTTGCACCTCCACCAACTTTCTACAAACTTATCAGACCCCGGACAATACAAGAAAATTGATTTGTCGTAACAATAATACCCTAATGTGAGATTATCACACGGTCCAATACTAAGTGCAGTGGCAATGAAAGTTAACACAACCAAGAACATGTGTGACTCTGAAGTTTTAACTTTGCTTTATATTCCAAACAATCCCTTTCTTCATCAATACATCTCTTTCTCTTTTCGACTTAATAATAACAATTAGTTTTACCATTTAATTTTAACTTTTGGGCTATTTTTAATAGATATGATAAATATCAACATATAATAAATAAATAATAGATGTACTATAATATAATAAAAAGAACAAATACAAATAACAAATTACTGTGCAGGTTACATTGGGTGGAACATATTCCAGTCAATATACAAGTTGTCCGGTCTGAAGTTCTTTTTAACAATCTCTTTGTACTTATCAGAGTCAAAGTACCCATTCATCTCTTTGCTAATCGGACTGATTTGCTCCATTTTGAGCCAGTCAAATTTCTCGCCACTGTCTCTTCGTTTCAGACACCTTGACGATATAGCCCAAACAACTTGGGAATAGCCCTTCGTTTGTATATCCTCTTTGACTGCTTCGTTAATACTTAAGAATATGCCCTCAAAGGCTGGATTCAAGAACTTGAATGGAGGATCCAGTTTCAAATATTGAAGCGCATTGTGCCATTGTTCTGGAGTATTTGAAACGCCATCCCTGTTGTACTGAGTGGCGTAGTGTTGGACTGTTCGGTGGACTTCACGTGTTAAACCAAGACCGTTGTGCAATTGTGATGGTAATAACATCTTTTCTTTATCATATGACGTGTAATCCTGGATTCTGAGCCATTCCACGGTAGTCACGCTTATCGTTGGATTCTTGAAATAGTTCTTTGTAACCTCGGCCCCCTCTTGGAGTGCGTTTTTGAAAATTGAATTAGAAAAGTCTCGACACGAATGGACTGACAACGAGTGCTCACACCTAATAAACAATTGTATAAGGAGGTGATGGACATCAACCTTGTGGTTGTAGACCTCGAGTCTGTGAACAAAGAAGTCTTCTGTGTCAAACACAATTTTAATTTCATTGAATCCTTTCTCTTTAAAAATTTCGTTGAATGTTTTCCCGTTGAATTGGGACTTCTCACCAAAGTCAAATTTTGTGTTCATCAACTCCTCTACTCGTTACAATATGCAATTTAAATAAATACTATTAGAAACTATTTTAAAACAAACTCCTGAGTGAATTCTCGTCAAACTCTCTGACAAATCCCTCTATTGAAACTGATGATGAACATATGTCTGTGATGTCTTCATCTTCAAAAAAGGTCGCGAGTTGTTTGTTGACAGTCTTCAGATGGTGTGATGGAAACAAAAAAAAGATTATATCCGCAAATAGAGTATAACATACATGAGAAAAACAGCCATCAGTTTGTTCTGGTTGCTTTGACAAGAATGATTGCGACATTGCCTTTTGCTTTTTGCTTTTTGAGTTTTTTATGTGGTTTTATATAAACGAAATTAATAATAATTGATAACAAGATTTAGTGGGGTACAAATTATTTTTTAATTAATTTAACATTTATTTATCAATTAATAATTAGTTTTATTTTTATTATAAAAGTTCCATATTTGAAAGTTATTTAATTGCAATATTTAATATTTATTTATAAATTAACAAACTGTATCCCAATTGTTTTCCAATGTATAATATATACTATTTTTAACATCCTTTTTCTTTATTTTAGTTTAAATTAGTAAACTTAAGAATTGCAAAATTGCTTTTTAGGTTATATTGTCATGCATTTTTACTGAAATTTGGTATAAAAAAATAAAATGTTATTTGACAGCAAATCAGGAGACAACAAAAAATTTTTAATTAAAAACAATCTTAAAATTGAAATCATAATTATAAAATAATAATATTAAAATTGTTATTTTTTCATTTTATTTAAAGTAATGTTGTTTATTTTATTGTAATAGCTAAAGACAGCGAAAAATAATGTGTCTCTTTGCTTGACGGCAAAATAATGATATTTGAACATATTGTATTGTTTTTATTCATATTTATTATTCGTGGTGACATTTATTCCGAATTTTAATCGTTTTTTGTATTGATAAATTAATAAGTATTTTTTGTTTCTCATTTCTTTTTTTTTGACAAAAAAAAAGAAATGAGAATTCAATAAACTTTAAAAAAGTTTCTTGAATCAAACAACCCGTCACTCCACGTCAAAATTATATTTTTTTTGTAATGTTATATAAAACATAATTTCAAATTCATTGAATGCTATTTTATACCCGTCACTATAATACGGATATGATTGTTAATTGTGTTCATTATTGGCTTTTTTATTATTTTGGGTTGTAAAACATTTTTTATTTTTACTTTACGTAAAATTATTGTTATAAATTATAATAAAAATAAATTAGAAATAACAATCAATTTGACACATAACAAAAGTTTAATTTACAATATAAACAAAAGAAAGTTAAGAATAAGAACTTATGTCTATCCATATTGTTAAAAAAACAAAAATAATCACAAGATTAAATTATTATTGTACTATTAATATACTAGTGATTAAATTTAAAGTTACAAAATTAAGAATATAAAAATAACACATATTTTTACTAACATGGTGTTGTTAATTTTACTGAAAAAAATTTTGTTCCATTGAACAACAAAACAATTAAAAACACAAAAAACAAAATATTTTCAATTGTTTTGTTTCTCGCTTTGCTATAACTTTTTTTACCCAAAAAATCCAAAATGTTGATCATTAGAATTGACCATAAACCCCGATATGATACGTTCAACACATATCAATACATAACATAAAATTCAATCAAATCAAATTTTCATTTTGTGAATAATAAACTTTGAAGCTCATTAGAATGTTTTTGCTCTGTGTTTCACTTATTAGCTGCGTTTCGTATTCACAAACAACCCACCCAAAAATTGTGTCTGTATATCCAGAAGCTGTCCCTTGTGTCGGTTCACACAAAGTTTCAATAACAACGGAAGACACAATCGACACATCAACTCAACTCTCGTGTTATTTCAACGAAAACGAAATGCCATTCATTTCAAGCGACGACACACATGGAACCTGTTATTCACCAGATTTTTCGGGGATGCTAGAACCCCCTGTTTTTGTGGAGTACCTTCTTATTGATTCGAAAGGTAAACCACCAAAGCAGAACATAACAAAGAAAATGACATTTTACAACGTGACACTCCGAAGTGGTGTCCAGTCGACATTTAAGAAAAACCAGGTCCTTTTTTTACAAGGCGAAGGATTTATAGAGGATAAAAACTCACAGTGTATACTCAAACAACATAACACGACATTTATGGTGAAGGGACTTTTTAGCACTCCAACAGTGTTCATCTGTTATATCGAAGACATTCTTGGAAAATTGGTTGGTCAAACTATGAACATCACCCTCAACTTAAATGGTCAAGACGAGTCGCTTTCTGTGTTAGAATATCAGTTCACGGAATTTTCAGAATCAACACACATCTTAGCGTTCATCGTCATTTCCTTATCGATATTATTTGTGGTTGTCCTTCTCACTCTTTTGGCCGTTTTCATTCTGAAGAACATCTTAAAAAAGAAGACGGATGTCTTGCAAGACCTTATCAATCCCGGAGAAGTGTTGTGTGAAGAAGTCATTGGCTCCGGTAGTTTCGGTGATGTCTGGCGAGCGAAATGGCGAGGTGAGAATATCGCAGTTAAGTTGATTCCAACACGCTCGATGGTCAAATCCGACGTTTTGGAATGTGTGAAAGAAATACAGTTGATGCGGCGTTTGACCCACCCAAATGTCCTTCAATTTTTTGGCTGTGGTACTGACGAGAACTACATATTAATAGCGATGGCACTGATGGAACGCGGTTCCGTCCATCAAATGTTGTCCGACAAAAGTTTTTATTTATCATGGCCTCGGCGCCTTCAAATGCTTCACGACGTTGCAATGGGGATGAATTACCTCCACACCCAAACTCCCCCGATTATCCACCGTGATTTGAAATCGCACAATTTGTTAGTTGATCAGAATTGGAGTGTTAAAGTGAGTGACTTTGGCTTATCCGTAACAACAGGAGAAATGATTAAAACCACGATATGCGGTACCTTAGCCTGGATCGCACCCGAGATATTGAGTGGTCAACCTTACAACACCAAAGTCGATGTATACAGCTTTGGTATTGTTATGTGGGAATTCTTAACTCGTGACGTTCCCTATAAAAATGTACCTCCCCAGAGTCTTCCCAATTACGTCACACAAGTTGGCTTACGTCCAAAACTGGCTGGAGAGGTCGACAACGATTATTTGGAATTGATGACGTTGTGTTGGAAAAAGCAGCCTGTTTTTCGCCCAGACTTTGCAGAAGTCTGCCAACTGCTTTCAGCTTTGATTGCAAAGAAAGTGGACATCACTCCTTTGAATTAATTTGTGTATTATTTTGCTTTCAACCCAAACAGAACATATCAAATCAGTAAATCAAAGTTCCTCATAGTTCCTCTTATTAAACCTCTTGATAGAAACAATACTAACTCCAAACAACGCCATCAGCACAGCGCAGAACCCAACCAAGCCAATGATGAGAGGTGGTTCGTATGAGATGATGTCATAACAAACTGCCTCTTTGATGTCCACAACTTTGTATGCAACGGCATTGCAGTTGATTTGAGGCACAATGTTAGTGTTGATTGATGTGATCAACTTCCCTATTTCTTGTATAGTGTATACAAGGGAATAAATCGTGCCCATGTACGATTTGTACTCATCCGGACATGTCTTGGAACACTCAGCGACAGTCTTGTTTGATGGCCAATCACAAATGACATTGGTCAACACAAATCCACTGGCTTCTGAACTGGTCTGCCATGTTGGGAACTCGCACCTCACTGGGTCGGTTAACGTTGTCGCAGCTGCAGACACAAAGTAGACTTTAAAATCCGACACACTAATATTTCCAAGAAGATACCCAACCCCCGCAATAGTTGTTATATTACCAGCTTCTGGACAATTGACAGGACTTTGGTTGACTGTGGTTGCTGTAATATTCACTGCTATAACACAAGCGCCATTATTACTTAGGCCTGTGCACTTGTTGTAATCTTCCGGATTGTACCTAAATACTTTGGTTTGATTTTCAATACCACCAACACAAACTTGGTCGTACATCTGCAACGCAGAATCAACCAATTGTGTCTCGACTTCAAAGTATTGATTCAACATGTCTTGTAATGGTGACGATGGACAGTCAGTAAACACAGAGAGTATTTTACCAATGTTTTGGTCGGTAGTGGTAGTGGTTGTGTAATTGTCGATCGCATAAACGCAGACATCTGCGACAATAGTGACGATCGGGTACTCGAAAGCGACCATCATTATCGCAAAGGACCCAAACACAAGTGCACAAGGGAATATTGGAATGACACACTTGTAGCACTTACAAAACGCACCAAACACGTATAACACAAACGCAATAATAGGCAGAAAGAAGACAAGGTCAACAAGAACCTCTCTGATGATATACACATAATCAACTCCAGTTTTCAAAGAATTCATGTAGGGGTCTATCGTGTTAATCGAAGTGTTCAAAGAGTTCACCATCGAAATGGCTTCTTGGAAGAGTGTTGGGTCGAAAGTACTCACATTTTGAAGTGGTGTCAGGTCGATGTTAATTATATCTGTCATTGTGGCACCAAAAGCCAAGGTGACATTATCGTATGTGTTGAAGAAGACGTTTCCAAATTTTTTGAATGCAGAGGTCATACTAGCATTTCCTACAACCCCAACTACCATGAAAGGAATAACGAGAAGTAATACGACTACACTGACAATGGTGCACGCCATGCACTCACAATTGCTGTAGTTCTTGCTTCCTTTAGGGCAGAGAAATCCAATTTTTGCTTTGCAACAAGGTCCACAACAGCAGTGGACACACCCACACATAATGAATACCACAACTACAATCAAGAAAACGATGATCATCAGCGCAGATGGAAGAATTAGTGACTCCAAATATGGATTCGTGAAACATGAACGAGTAATGTCCCTTGTGAGATTAAAGCCGTCTGGCTCGCCACAGAAGTTGAGAAACATGTCGTTCGTGTTGTTGTTCTCAGAGAACCAAACGGGGTGTCTGGCCCTATTTTGTGGAAGTGAGTCCTTGTCGTTTGGTGCAAAGGGGTCGATAGTTTCTTGGGCAAGTGTCGAATAAATCAAAAAAAGTGATAGATACACAAACATTGATTTTACTATTACTAGTTGTCATTATTTAAAAAAACTTTTTGGGGAAAGTATTTTTTTTTCTATGTTTTGTGTTTTGACGTTTTGGTTTTATAAAAAAGTTAAAATGTAAATTAAAATGATGAAATTTTTAACTTTCGAAAAAATGGAAATAATAACTATTTTCAAATTTGAGTATTATTAGAAAAGTAAATTATAATTGTAATTATAAATATAGTATATATACAACTATCAAAACAAAAATACAAAAAACACATTATTCCTTTCCCAAAAGTAAGTTTTTTTAATTTAAATTAAACAAAACAGAAAAAATCTATAAATTTTGAAAAATCTTTCATCGATTTTAAGTAAACACACCATTTTTGGGAAGTAGATGGTTTGAATGCTAGAAGGTGTAGATTTTTGTTATTAATCAGTGGAATTTCGTTTTGAAACGAGAATAAGACAAACTCCTGTGAAAGTATTGATGATAATTATTAGGAAGTAGTCCAAAACAACTCAATTTGTTATTTGCAAGATATTATAATTATTATAATAATTGTAATATCTTGCATCCAAATAAAGGAGTGTCGAAAACAACACAACAAAAGAGAATTAACAAAAAACAAGAGAATTAACAGGAGTATTGAGAACAGAGAACACAGTCATATTCCGCAGCAATGAAGGCCTGTCGTCTGCCATAATATCTTCAAAACAGTTGAATCGAGCACCACGATAGAGAGGCACTACCAAAGGCTCTGGTGATGATGTGTCAACTCTGTTTTTATTTCTTAAAGGTGTTTTAGTGTAGTGAGGGAGGGTCATTCTTTTTTGCTTCTGCTGCGACAAACAAAACGGTGGGGATTTGATGAGGCGTTGTTTCTTCTGTTTTTCAGTTTCTTTTGATTGGTATTGAGTTGCAATTAAATAACAAACAAATATCTTTATCTGTGAAGGTGTCGAGTCCCATAAATCAGTGATGAAATATTCTTTGTTGATCTCAAAGAGCATGTTCCGTGCTCTAAGTGTTTCCAATCGAATGTCTTCGGGTGTGTTTTTGATAAGATACCCCCATTGATGCTCACCACTTTGAAGACTCGTCTTAAATTGCCAGGTGGAGTCTTTGACATTGTCCATGAAAACTCCTCTTTGTCTACCAACACATATACTTTCTCTGTTGCCCCAGTTTTGTATTCGATGTTGAGCGTCACGTTGACCGTCATAGTGACACTCCAAGTTTCTTTTCTTTTAAATTGTGTTTTAAATTTTTTGCTTCGTTTTGGCTTTGTTGGTTTTTTATTTAACTTCAAAACTACTATCATTTTATTATTGCTTTTACTATACAAAATGGTTAACAATCTGGCTTGGAACCAAAACAGCACATTTTGGTGAGTGGTCTTATTTTAGGGGATAATAAATTTAAAAAACGGGAATATTATTGGAAAAAATGAATCTCGATTGAGTTTGGCAAGTCTTTTATCGATTAATCACCCAATTATGATGAGAAAAGTTGTAATTTGTTAAATCCAATTTTTTAAAATAGTTTCCAATATTTAATAAAAAAACTTATTGTGTCTAGTTATTCGTCATTACAATAATAATTATTTTTATTTTATAAAAAGAAAAACACAATCTTTGGAAATCATTTTTTATTTTTAAATCACTCTAATTATTATTATTGTATTTGATGATGTCAATATTATTAATTTATTATATGAATATTATTGTTGTTTAATTAAAAATAATTAACACCCCAAAACGACATTTATTTTATTATACATTGAACAAGAAAAAAGAACTTCCTAAAAACTTCCAATTACTATTATAAAAGAAGTAAATTAAATTTGAAATTAATAGGAAACTATAAAAGAAACACTTCAATCACATCAATGACTTCATAACTTCCTCTGAAACGACCTTGGAACATGTGCGACATTTCCCATCTTTACAATCATTGAGAAACGCAACATAAGGCCGCATACACAACACACAACGCTTTGCCTCTTTGTCTTCAACAACTCGCTGCGCCGTGGAAATCACTGCGTTTCCAGTTTGGTCGTAGTCCACCTCTAACTTCTTTACAAAGGTTTCGCATGCTCCAAAAATACCATCACTCGTTGCCACATCATTGTTTTCTAACATGTACTCAGCAACCTCGTCGTCTGTGAAGTCGACGGGACGAACAACAGCAAGGCCTCTATTCTTAAATTTCAATGCGTCTGAATCAAACAACAAACGGGAAGGTGTAGTGAAAATATCCAACAGAAGGGACGGTGACAACATCGCCACAAGACACTGCAGTGAGTACCCTTGCTGCTTTCGTTGATACACTTGCCGAATCCAAATACAACAAAGTCTTTCCGTTATGCTCTTTGGCGTTATTAATGATATATCTCTCGTACAAGTGGATAGGAATATTGTTCATTACTTCTTTCTTTAATACACATATCTCTATATCATAGTTTTTGATTTTGTGGTCTTTCTCTTCTTTGATAAACTGATCGAGCAATTTTGTTATATAGCGGGTGTTGATTGATGAGTCATCGACGATGTATACACACGTTGGTTCATTCTTTTTTAATGCAGCCTGGAAGAAGTACCGAAACCTTTTGAAATGCAATGACTCAAGGCACGGTCGGCATATAAAGCCCGTCCGGAACTTTTTAAGCTCTACCTCATGTTGCTTTTTATGACAATCTTTGCAGTCAACTATAATTATTGTACTCGCTTTAGCTTTGCCAAAGTCCATTACACTTTGCAGTTTCGTTTCAGGGTTTTCATTGCAAATTCTTCTGTGCTGAGTCTTTGATGGGAAGAAGTTTGAAGTCAATTGAATTGTTGTATTGAATAGTTTCATTGGTAATAAGTTATAGTTTTATGAATTTAACAAATTTTAAAAATATAATAAAATTATATTATAATTTCAATATAAATAATGTAATAAAAAAAATACAAGAAAAATAAAAATATTAATTTAATTAATTAAATAATACTTTTTATATTAATGTTTTAATATAAAGATGTTGCATCTTTATAACTTGTTGTTTGTATTAAAAATTTTCACATGATAAAGTTAGTGATTATTGAAAAACTTTAAAAAGTTGTCACTCTCTCATTTATTCGTTTGAAATCTTATTACGATAATAGGTACATTAAACCATACTTAATATATTCATTCTATCCTATTAAATAATAAAAAATGTTGAAGTTGATAATTTCTCAATTTTCCAAATACAATCCAAGTTTGAAATAAATTTGTAAACACTAAAAAAACACAGAAAAAAAATAGTAAAATAAAACAATAAAAAAACAATAAAAAACTATCTTTTGGTATAAACTCGTTTTCAAACTTGAAAAAGAAAAAAGGAACTCCAAAATTCAGATAAATGACGACACCAACACGGGTCCAAATCCAACAGATGCAAAAGGTTCCATGGAACGGTGAGTGCTACAAAGACTTTAAAACAGTTGAAAGCCTTGGAGAAGGATCTTATGGTTCAGTCTTTCATGCCATCCATGTACCAACTGGCACACACGCTGCAGTTAAGACCGTGAAAATAGATGGCGACACTACTGATATAGAGAAAGAAATTGAGTTGATGAAACAGTGCAACACGGATTATATCGTTCGATTTTTCGGACACTTTTTCCACGATAACAGTCTGTGGATTGTTATGGAAATCTGTGGAGCTGGAAGTGTCTCAGATATCATGCACATCTTAAATGCAACATTGGACGAAAGAGAAATTCAAATCATCTTAAAGGACGTTCTTCATGGACTTTCATATCTCCATCAGATGAAAATGATTCACAGAGACATTAAAGCAGCTAACATTTTGGTGTCCGACGACGGCGTGTCGAAGCTTGCGGACTTCGGTGTGTCAACAAAAATGGGCGCGACAAATAAGCTGCAAAAGACAATGATTGGTACACCGTACTGGATGCCCCCGGAAATTATTCTCGAAACTGGCCACAACCAACTTGCAGACATCTGGTCTGTCGGTATCACCGCTATTGAAATGTTCGACGGAAGACCTCCACACGCAGAGTTGCACGCGATGAGAGCCATTTTCATGATTCCAAACGCACCACCACCCAAGTTGATGACACCAGACGACGCTACACCCGCGTTTAACCAATTCATCGCGTTGTGCTGCATTAAGGACTACAAAAAAAGACCTCCAGCGTTGGAGATGTTGAAATGCGAGTTCATGAAGCCAAACGGAAATAGAAAGAGAATCACGGACTTGATTGAAAAGGAGATGGAAGGAATCAAAGAGGCCGGATCAAGAAAAGCCGCACTTGAGCCTGATGAGGAAGACGACGAGGAAGGAGATGAAGAGGAAAATGATGAGGAAGAGGACGAGGAGGATGAAGAAAGCGGAGACGAGGATGGAACTGATGAGTCTGACGATGACCAGACAATGGTGATCAAAAAATGAACAGTGTCTAAGACGATCTTAGTGATTTAAAAGTAATTTTTCCTTTCATTTTCTGGTTGTTTTCCAATTTGTAACGTTTGTGCATTACAAATATCGCTTTATGAAGTTCAAAATGAGATGGAACTTTACATAGAACTAATTCATTAACACTTTGAAAACTTGGTGTTAAAAACAAATTCTAAAATATAGTAAAATATATTTATTTTAATTAAAAATTATAAATAGAAAAACAATGATTTGATTTTTATTTACAAATTTTGAAATCAAAACGTAAAAACTAGAACCTCAAAGGAAATGTCTTTATCAACAGAAAAACTCGAACAATCGCTGTATGATTTATGCTTAAATTTCTACGAGACTGAAGTAGATGCCAAAGACATTGTGTTTTCAACGCACTCGATCTTTGTGGCGTTTCTGTTGTTGTATGTTGGTTCGATGGCAGAAACGAAGAAGCAGCTAGAGAAGGTGTTTGGCTTTGACAAATTGGACACCCCCGAATTGTATGAGTTGATTGCCTTGATTGCAGCACCTCCCAAGGAAAACAACACAACGAAGTATGAACTGTTCAACTCGATATGGGCAGAGCAAAGTGTTCAATTCAAAGATGCGTACATTGCTGCTGTGAAGAAGCTTGATGCTGTTGTTGACAAGGTTGATTTCTCAAATAGCCCAGAAAGTGCACGTGCACAAATCAACGCTGTGGTGATGGAAAAGACTGGTGGGTTGATAACAGAACTGTTGTCGTCTGGGTCTGTTACAAGCGACACAATTGCTGTTCTTGTCAACACAATTTATTTCAAAGGGGAGTGGACAACACCTTTCGAGACAGCTGAACTCAATTTCAAAGATGTTGGTGTTGTTGCTGCAATGGAAATCAACGACAAGTTTCAAGCTGTTTTCAATGAAGAATACACAGCAGTGAAAGTCCCATACAATGCTAACTTTTCGATGGTTGTGGTCATGCCAAAAAACATGGCCGCTTTCGAACAAGCAAAAGAGTACAAGAATGTCCACAACATTGTCAGCGACGTTTTCAATGCTCCGTCAAAGAAAAGATTGTTGAAAATGCCAAAGTATTCAATCGAGTGGGGCGGTTCTGTCAAGAAAGACTTGATCAATCTTGGCTTGACAATCCCATTCACACCACAGGCTGACTTCAAAGGCGTCACAGACACTGGAATTGCTGTCTCTGATGTAATTCACAAAGCAATCATAAAAGTCGACGAAAAGGGCACTGTGGCAACAGCGGCAACGGCTATTGTATGCGACTGTCTTTCTCTAGAAATTGAAATTCCAGAGGATGTGATCATCAACAAGCCGTTCTTCTTTGTGATTGTTGATCCACACTCACTCCCAATTTTCTTTGGAAAGTGCACAACACCAAAGTTCACTGAATAAAACAAATTTCTTTTGTTATTTGAGATTAGACTTTGGCCCACACATATTACAAAGAATATTAGTATCGGGAAATCCTAAAGAAACAGGTAACAAATTTTTTCTCGTTTTAATGGTATTTTTAATATTAATTTTTTAAAATAAAAATCGCATCTACAAAGTGTATATAAAATGTTGATTGTCGCACCATATTTACTTGTATAAAATAAAAGAAAGCAATGGATTTAACTATTAATTATATATAGATAATAAAAACATGTAGTTATTATTACATACATTCAGGCTTTTATTATAATTAAAAATATACTACAAATTGTAAGTATCAAATTTTTTATGAAACGATAAAGTGGAATTTGTATTTCGATCTTTTTAATAAAAATAATCATTTAAAAAATCAATTGGCTTGTTTTCCCGAAATGATACAACAAAATCCATATGTTTTATTGTTTATTTGAAATGTATGGAATAATCCTGCCTTTTATTTAATCATTCAAAAATCGAAAAGGGGATACTAGATGTTTTAACATCAACAACTATAGTTTATAATATAATTTACCCTAGCTATCAAACGAATAAAAAGAAGTCGGGAGAACGCCGCCCAAAACGCCTAAGATCCTTCGTCTGTGCTTCCCTCTTCTTTCCACTTTCTTCACGAAATCGAAAGAAAGCGAAGTTTCGAGGAGTAAAAAGGCATTTGAAACTGGAAAAGACTAAGTTGCGATGGCGTCGGTGTTAGTCACAGCGATTGTGATAGCGGGTATGCTTACCTTTGGTACCTGCACTGTTGTCTTCCAGAAGTTGATTTTCTCGATAGAGGGTGAAGGTCTTGCGGGTGATGTTCACGCCTTTGAGAAGCCATGGTTCCAGACTGAGATGATGTTTGTAGGGATGTTTGGGTGTTTGTTTGTGTTTGAAGGAAAACACTTGTTCATGCACTTCTGGAGAAAGAAACATCCAATCGTTGAAGACGCAAAAGAGAGTGCTGAGAGTGGAAAGCCAACTAACAAACAAAGTCCAATCTACACTTATTTGATTGTTGCAATTCCAGCATGTTGCGATTTGTTGGCAACTGCACTCAGTAACGTTGGATTGCTTTGGATTCCAGCTTCAATTTGGCAAATGTTGAGAGGGTCTATGACCATCTTCTCTGCCATCTTCACAAAAGTCTTCTTGAGAAGACAAGTACGTGCGTATCAGTGGGTTGGTGTTGCATTTGTCGCATTTGCACTTGTGGTTGTTGCATTCTCGTGCTTGATGGCGCCCGTCAAAGACCCAATTGTTGTAGAAGATGTGTATGGTGATGCCAGTGAAAAGGGATCTGTCGAGACATACTTGATGGTCATTGGTATTTGCCTTGTTATTGTCGCTCAAGTCATCCAAGCGTCACAAATTGTCATCGAAGAGTTCTTGTTGAAGAATGCTGCTGTTGATCCAATTCTTATTGTTGGGTTGGAAGGGATGTGGGGTGGACTCATCTGTTCAGGAATCTGCTTGATGCTTGTTCAATACGCAATCCCACCAAGTGCTGGGTCTGGTGTCTACGAGTCGACCACCGACACGTTCTACATGTTGGTGAAATCGCCACAGATTCTTGGGTTGTGCATAGTCTACTCAATTGTCATTTTGGCATACAACTTGTTTGGTATGTTTGTCACACTTGTCTCATCTGCTGTCATCCGTACTATTCTCGAGGGGTTGAGAACTGCTTGCATTTGGATTGTTCAGCTCATCATTGGCTGCTTTGTCGACGACACATCGCCTCTTGGAGAGTCATGGAACGACTGGTCTTACTTGCAATTGGCTGGGTTCTTCTTCTTGCTCGAAGGTCTCTTCTTATACAACGGCTACTTGCGTATCGCCGCTCCATTCTTCGATTATTCTAACCTTGACGCTGCTAAAACTCCAGCCACTCCAAAAGAGAAGGAGTCATTGCTCGACCACGATGAAGAATCTAAGAAATGATTGATTTGGTTCACTATTAAAATTCAGTTATTTTATTTTCATTTTGTTTTTTATCGTACTAGTTATATTAATAATATTACAATTTAATATTATAGAATTTGTTTTATTGAGTACAATGAAGTGAAACACCATTTGCTTAAAGCTCGTCTTTTTGTCTGCTGTGCTTTTTAACGTTCTTTCCTTCCTTGATATCTTTGACTTCCTTATAAAATGGCCCAATCAGTCCCATAAATGTCTCATCTTTCATTAACTTTTTAATCGACTTTTCATCATTTGGATTGAAGTCCTTTCCTAACTTAAATAACTTTTTCCAGTTTATTTCGTTCAACGTTTCCATGACAAATTTGTCCTTCAAAAGTTCTTTGACTTCTTCATAGGTAAGCACTACCTTTTCTTCATTATCACTTTCATTTTGTTCTTCTTCGTTGTCTTCTTCAAAGTCTTCGATGTCTTCTGCCTCTTCTAAGATTTTTGGCAATTGATCCTCTGGGATTTCTGGTAGTGGTTCAAACTCCCACTTCGTTTTCACTTCATCAACCAACTCATTCTGTGTGTATCTACCTTCATGCGTTAAAACAACTTCGCCATTCTCAAACAACAAAACGCTTGGAAGTGTCGTGAAATTGATTTCGACTGGAATGTCATCTTCTTCAGTGTCGATCCAAAAACTTTTAAAAGCAGTCACGTTGACTGTTCTGTTGACAAAGGCCGCACCCTCTCTTTGCAAAATTGATCTGATGAATTTTGTTGAATCGACGATGAACAACACGAGTTTTGAGTTGTTTTTCAACGTTTCAGTCCATTCATTTCTTGTTAACTTGGTAGCAGTTACACCACTAATTGTCTCGTTTTTGTTCGACGACCGCACTAAAGGCGTCAACTCATTTTTAAAGAACTTTTCAATGTCTTCTTCAATCGAAGTGATGTTTTCTCCACTTTTCAGTGGGTACATCGTTCTTCCATTTTGGTGCAAAATTGTCGCAGTTTTGGTTTTGTTTTGTCCATAAAGAGAGAGTTGCACGTCGTCTTTTCTGACATATAAGAAGAGCATTCGCATTCGGTATTTCTGTGCAAGGTTGACAAACACAGTCTTCTCTTCTTTTTTCATATGCTTTTTATCGGAGAAGAACCAGAAGACTGGAAGGTTGTGTGGGTAATCCAACAGATCAGCCATGTCATCATCGAGTCGGTCGAAGAGTGGGAAGACTACAACATTCATCCACCATGCCATGTCTTGTCCTTTCCACTCGACAAGTCCTTCATCATTGGAGTGATACAATTTGAACTCACCTTCTGAAGTGTAAAACACGTCTTCTGTGCTTAACTTCAATTCATCTGCAATTGCTGTGTATCTGTCGACGACGTCTTGTTGTGTTGAATTTGTGACTAAAATAAAAAACGACTTTGGCTTCGGATTTTTTTCTTTCTTCTTGCCTTTGCCCTTCTCTTGCTTTTCGGCAGGTTCTGCACGAAGAAGGTCCTCAACTTGTTTGGCTTCAATCTTAACAGTGACTGGCGTTGTGCCTTCTCTCAAAAATTCATATATTGTGCCCGCATTCCACTCGTCATAGTAAAACCGTTTTTGGTAGCCTGGGCGCTGTAAAATGAAAGACGGAGTCGATGTGATGCTGTACCCTTTTTCTATATCTCTCTCCAAATCTGCTTTAATAATACCAAAAGTAACTTCTTGGAAGTTCTTCGACATCTTTTCCATTCGCTTCTCTAACTCGCGTAGCTCCTTCTCACCTGAAAAACACAAAAATGTGAACTTTGTCGAATTTACAAACGAAGATATTTCTTCGGGACGGACCTGAGTGACTGCACCATGACATGCAATTAGAAAGAGAAACAGGAACATTGTTTTTTTACAGTTCAAAATTTCCTTCTAAAACTGCAATCTTTTTTGTTGGTGTTTTGTAGTTCTCATTTGGAATATTTCAGAACTTATGTGTAGACATTCTTGTGTTATGGTAAATGTGTTCTTTGTTTATAGTATTTAAATACTAATCGTTTAGGTGTTTTTGCAATACTTATGTTAATATGTTAGTTATAAGGTGTTTTGTCGTTTTTCAGTCTTCTGTTAGTCATTTTAATAAATATTTAGTTTATTTTTCATTTGAAATAGTTTAATAATCTATTTATAATGCATTATTATATTAATTTTTACAATTATATATTTTACTAGACAGTATTAACTATATATTATAGTATAATATAATATCTTTTAATCCAAAAAAGAATATTGTTTTAATAATTATAATAATAATTTAAAAAAAGAATTTAACAATAATAAATAAAAACTATACAATAATAATAAAATAACAATAAAAAAACCATATATTGTAAGATTATAAAACAATATGATTCAACTAAGTTGAAGATAACAAATTAATAATAATAAAACTAAAAACGGAGTCTAAAAAAAAGCAAAGAGGATTAAGAACTCAATAAATATGTCGTTTTTCCACAAGAAAACACCTCAAGAAATTGTCCGTGAACAAAAGCTGAATATAGGACGTTCAATTCGTGAAATCACAAGAGAGTCCAAACGACTCGAACGCGAAGAACTTAAGTTAACAAATGAAATCAAAAAACAGGCTCGTGCTGGACGCACTAACACTGTCAAGGTTATGGCTGCGGATTTAGTGAGAACAAAACAACAAATCGACAAACTGCAGACGGTAGTTGCCCAGCTCAACTCAACAAAAATGAAACTGACAGAAATGTCATCTATGGTAGCTGTCAACGACGCAATGTCTGGTGTTACCAATGCAATGAGAAAGGTTAACGAAGCCACTAAACTCCCAGCAATGCAAAAAGTCGTGAATGACTTTGGTTTGTTACTTTTACTATTTGTACTATAATGGTTAAATATAATTAATTATTCATTTAAGTCACACACAGAGAAACAAAACAATGAGTTAGGGATTAAGACTACAATGGTTGGCGAGATGGTCAATGACTCGTACCAAGGGGAGAACATTGAAGAACAAACCGAGTTGGAAGTCGACAAAGTCTTAACAGAGATTGGACTTGACGTTGAAAATGGTCTGAAACCCGTCCCAGAGAGAAGGGAGGCAACAAGAAAGGTGAGAGAAAAGAAAATCGTTCAAGTCGAAGGTGCTGATGATCAACCGGTCCAAGCTCCACAACCCGGATCTTCAAAACCAAAGGCTTTCGACGATGGTGACGACGATGATGATGACGATATCGTCAATAGAATTGCAAACCTTTAAGCAAATCAAATGAGTTTCATTCTTTTATTGGCGAAATTAACTATATTTTTAAATAATAAATATTTATTAACTATAGAAATGACATTAATTTAATAATTAACTAGGTGTAATAAAACATTATAATTAAATGATAACTTTGTTTTTACTTTATTACAATAGTAAATGAATTATAATTACTTTTTTAATGAAAAAACTTACTATAAAATAATGTATTGAATGGGATGTTTTTGGAATTGTCATTATTCACTCTTTTTCACGTTATGACATCTCCGATATGTCACTTTTTGCATTCTAAAATGAACCGAAATATCGTTTACTATTTACACGAAGAACAAATAATGTTTAATTCCTAAATCTTTGGTCAAAAATGATTGATTTTTCTAATTTGGAAATTAACAAAAGTTTTTGGTTTTATTCCCGAAAATTCAATAATATTTCCTTCCATAAACAAATCATTTTTTGGACCAAATTAAGTAATCAATATCTTTTATTGAAACAGCATATGGAATATGGATTAATAAATTAGATAAAAATATACCACCAAATCGGGTAATTAATCATAAAAAGGGATAGTAACTGGAAAAGATAAAATGAATTGTATCACTGGAACACTCCTTCTGATGCCGATCCGTGAATACCCCAAAGGGCTCTACGCGAACGTCTCTGGAACACTAAGCACACTTAAGGCTTTTATTTGGTCGACTTACGAATATCCACGCCGGACTCTTCATGATTTTTTGCACTCGCAACTGATGTGGGCGGTTACTGTGATGATCATCTGTGGGTATTGGAATAGCGTCTTTCAGATATACGCGGACTCCATTGCAGGGTTTTGGAAGTACAAACACCAACCGTTTGTGCTCATGGATATTGCGTTTGACGTTCTCCCACACATTGAGTCGGAACACATTTCGGATTACTATTTGAAGTGGTGTATCTACGCGACAGCAATTCGGTTCATGTTCACCCCCCTCCGTTTGGTTATTCTTAGAAGATACTGTTTTATGCAAGCAGTAATCTTCTTGTTGCGAGGATTCAGTGTGTTTGCGACATTACTCCCGTGTCCGATGACTGGGTGTGTTTCTACTGCGGTTGGAAATCCATTTGTGGAAGCACTTTACATCATGCTTGGATATCATAGAACATGCGCAGACTTACTCTTCTCTGGACATACGGCAAATCTTACGATGTGTGCTTTTATATGGGAATATTATTGCGAAAAAGTACCTTTTTTTAATCCAGTCTACGAAAGAGTTGCATCGTGGATTGCAGCAATGGTTGGGTTTGTGGTGTTTTTGTCCAATCATTTCCACTACTCATGCGACGTGTTTGTTGGGTTTGTGATGGCGGCTCTTGTGTTCAATATGTACCATTCATATGTACTTACCATTTCTACAAGAAACAACTTTTTCAATTCGTTTTTGAGGTGGTTTGAAGAGGACGCAGACGAAATCCCAAAGCTTGTGAGACTCGCATCGCGAAAAACTTTGACACATTAATCAACATTGTAATTTTTGTTAGTTGATACCAATTCAATGTTCATTATTTGTTTTGTTTGTCATTAAAAATAAACGATCAAAATCAGAAGACAATGAACAATAATATAAAAACCACTTGTTTAGACTTGAAAGACAGAAAACAAAAAACGGTAACAAATTTTAAAAATAGAAGTCGTTTTTATTATTAAAATAAATTTGTCATGTGCGAATGTGGTATTTTTAGTAAACCATTTTAAAAAAAAATATAATAACACAAAAGGTATGTCTTTATATTTAGAATAACAAAATGTTTGTTATTATAGTTGATTGAAATGAAAACACCGAGAAATTTATGATTTGTTTGCTTTTTTTTCTTACCTAATGCCAATAAAAAACATGTTTTTATTAAACTAGATCGTGTCCAAAAAGTTGTGTTTACTGTGCTGTTAAGTTTTTCATGGAGTCCGTGATATTTATTTAATTGTTGAATATTATTTCATTACTTTAAAAATATTTTTAGTTGTTTTTAAATACTAAGTCGTTGTAAAATATACGAAAGAAATTAACATCAAATGCACATATTTGTTACGACCATAATATAAATTCATTTATTTGAACTTTTAAAAAAATAAAATGGTTTTGGGGAAAGAAAAGTCCGCTTGTTAAGGCTTCAGAAGGTGATGAAGGGTAAATTAAAAAAATAAATTGGAGGTGATCAACCTTTAAACATCTCAACTGTAAAAATAACAAAAATAGCAACATCAACTACAACAATTTGAAACAATAACAATTTTATATAAACAAACTCAACATTAAAAATGTTTTGAACACGATTCATTCCAATTTAATAATATTTATTAATAATTATTATCAACAATTATACTTAAACAATGACAGTTAACACTTTTAATTTATCAATGTTCTAAATTAAAATGAATAAAAATATTTTCACAAACAAAACATTATATTTGTTTGACTTTTCTGATATCTTTATTGATCAGTTGTATTCATAATGACCAATTATTATATTATAATACTAAAAAGATGAGTTTTAATTGAACATAAATGATAAAATACAAAAACATTATCTATTATATAAAAAGAAATAATAAATAAAAACATACCTTTCTTATCAATTATAAAACTTATTTATAATTTTTTAGAAATAAATTATTATCCAAATATTTTCAATGTTCTTTTATGGAATTATTTTATATATTTATATTTTTATTTTTGGTAAAAAATTAATGTTTCGTATTTTCAAGGTTTTCTATTTAATTCTTATTATTTTCTGTGCATTATATTTATTTTGAAGTTAAAATATAACATTTTAAGATATATTATTGTTAAAACAAAAAAACTCTTTTAACTCAAATATTATTTTACAATGTCAAACACAAACGAAAAGACAAGTTTCAAATTAATACTTATCAATACAATACATATTCTATTGATATTCAACCAACAAAAAACTCTCCAAAACGAATGGAGGTGTTTGGTTAACATAATTTGTTCAAAAAACACGGTAAATCATCTATTGTTCTGATTAAAATAAAATGTCTAGAACAATTAATTAGATAATAAATCAAAAATCTTCCCCGACACCAATAATAGCAATTGTTTTTTATCTACTATTGAATAGTTTGTTGACTTTTTTCACCACAACAAATCTTAAACTAAATTATCATTTTGTCAAACTAAATATCTCTAAACAAATTCAACCAATGATTTTGATACTTCATAAAACAAATCTTTCGGTTTGTTGGCTTTTTGTAATGACACGGAAAACAAATATTATAACTGAAGTTTATTTTTATTAATGTTAGTAATTTGAGAATATTAAAAAAATTACTGTGTTTGTGATTACAAATAGAGCGAAAAATGAAGTCCACATTTTTGGTTTCGCTCTCAATTGAGTCAATATTTATTAATAAACTATAATAAATATAATTAATAAATTTAATTTTGTTTTTTGATAGTAGAAATCAAATAACAAAAGTCCAACAACATAAATACCATACATGCCGAATTTCCTTTGTTTTTTAAACGAATTTCTTGTCAAATGATAAAATCAAAAAGAACAAATGAGGTCGGTTAAGTCCCAAAACTATTTTAGCACCGAACCAATTATTGGAAAAAAGTCTTTCCCAAATGTTTTTTTTATTAATAAATATTAATAAAGAACCGAATTGAAATTAATAAAACTGTTCAGTTGTTCATTTATGGGAAGTATGAAAGTGGATTTTGGAGGGATTGATTACCAAAACGAAAGAAATAATAAAACAAACTATTGTGAATGTTGAATCAATGCATTTTCTAAACACCGGAGATGTAATTACATTAGTACACATTTCCGTAGTGAAAAGCAGTTATAACTTCCAAGGGTAGAAGAAAAGGAAAAGGTGCGACCCTCTTAAAAACGGTCGTAAGGCTCCCAAGAATGTCCACAAAAACCAAATGACTCACAAAACGAAAAGCTCACAACACGGAGATGTGGTGCCATCAAAAGTTCAAATAAAAACGACCTGAAAAAACGAAACTCACAACAATTCGATGTGCGAGTACACTTCTCCTTATGTGAAACAGAATGTTCTTCGTTCGTTCACTCTTCCTGCTGAGATTAAGTTAAATAACAACGAAGAGACTTCTCCAAGAAAGACTCCTCTGAACAAAAGACTCCCTGTTTTAAGAAAGTCCAGAGAAAATAGAAACAACTTCACTTTGCAACAAACATTGTGCGTCTGTCTCTTGAGTCCTTTCTGCAAAGTCTCCGTTCATAAACCAACTAGAAGATCTTCAGTCACAGAACAATTCTTTAGAATCTCATCTCTCCAATTCCCTGACGGTACTTCAATTGATGTCGCCTCGTTCTTGAAAGCACGATGTGACACCATGTACTACTCCGATTTAAAGTCTGGCGTCTCTGATAAAACCGCCACTAGAAGATATCAGAACAACAAGAAAATCGAAATGATCCACTTCTTGTCTGACTTGCTCTTCATGTGTGGCTATGAAGTCAACTCTTCGTGCAAAGGAGGTAAAATTGGGATGAATGTTCTTGAGGGAATTAACTCTGTCCAGTGGGGGCAATGTGTTATTGTGTATGATAATATCATTCCCAAACTTATTGAAGCTAACCATATGCTCCTCAAAAGTACCATTGACTCCGAGAACGACTACGTCGTCGACTCCACTGTGTTCAATGGAAACTTCTTCTATAAATGTTGATTCATGTTATTAGTTATATTTTAGTTACTAATAAATTTATTAGTTATAAGTTATTTGTAAAGTAGTACATTTATAGAATAATAACAAATTTTTAGTTATTTTAAGTTATTCAAAAACGTTATGAAAAAGAACAAAAAGTGAAACTATAAGTAATAGAAAACAAACCAGAATTACTACTCATTCAAAATCAGTTAAAATTTATTTTTTGATGGTTTTTCTTCCATTGAGTTTAATTGGCTTGTGTGTATCAGCCTTTCCTTTCTTCATGATAGCTTTGAAAGTCTCTGTAGTCTCGTGTTGTGACTTTTTATTTCCTCTTTTCATTGGGATGTATGCAAATGGTTGGACACCATTTTTCTCAATATCGCCGTGTGCTTTTCTTGCTTTGAATTTGGCGCCCGTCTTCTCTGAAATCCTTTGTTTTCTTTCGCTTTGTTCCATTCTCTTCAAATTGAGTTTTCTCTCGAATGTTCGTGTTTTTGGTACTTTCACGGTGGCCACCTTTTTTTCTTTATTATCCATTAAGTCGGCTATTTCGTTCTTCTCCGCTTTAGTTTTGACTTTCAAGTCTTCCTCATCTGAATCGCCGGCCTTCTCATTGTCTTCAGCGATGACAAGTCTTCCATCAGCGTCAACAGGGAAATTGGTCTCTCCAATTTTTCTCACCTTTTTCTGTTTAGTCTCCTCCTTGAATTTCATTTGAAGGAGTTCGACATCTTCATCTTCCTCTGCAATTCTTCTACGATTGATTTTATTCTTTTTCTCTTCTTCTTCGTCGTTTTCACTCTCGTATCCTTCAATAATATCCTCGTCGTCTTTCTCGCCAAGGTAGTTGTATTCATCACCATGTTCTTTCTCCGCCTTGGCTTTTCTTTGTGCTCTCTTCTTGTCTTTTCTGTACTTCTTTGCTCGAGCAACAAGTGGTTCTGAGAATCTGTCTTTGCATTCATCGACATAGTCTCCATATTTCCTCAAATAATATTCAATCAAATACTTTATCTGGACTCGGTAGAATGAAATGTCCTCTGGTTTGATTCTTCCCAAAATCGACAAGATCTGTGTTAAATACTTTTTGTTCTTTTCTGGATCACACACCGATATGATTTTCAGTGCACTTAACTCAAATTTCAGATTTTCTCTGTTGTATGCAAAGTCGTCGATCAAGAAGTGGAACATCCTCTCCTTTTCTTCTTCCTCCATTTTATCATACACAAAGAAGATGAAGTGCCCAAACAACTTTTTGCAAGCTCCTTTAGAGAAGTCATCAGATCCTTTAAAGTTCAAGATGGTCTCCATAACTTCTTTATAATCACAAAGTTCAAGTAACTTCTCCAAGTAATCAAGTGACATCTCTTCTGTATTTTTATTTGGCCGTCTCGACAAGATCATCAACATTTGCACAAACCGTGGAAGTCTTTGTTTAAAGCCTTCTTCGTTCATTCCTTTCATCACTTCCATAAATCGGAAAAACCCTAAAAGTAACCCTCTGTCAAACTTCTTTGTGTCGAAGGGGTTATTTGTAAACCACATATCCAAGTCAGGCAGATGATGCTCGACCATGTATTGTCCTTTACCTTTCATAACAGCGCACAAGGCTCTAACGCCAGACATCCCGACATTTTCTTTCTTTTCTGCAATCAATGGAACAACAATGGTCAGGAACGTCTCTAAATTCTCATTGCTCATTTTTGGTACAAAGAGGTTTCCAAGAGACACAAGTGCAACAACCCTGGACGCACCTTCTGTTGTGCCGATACTCTCCTTCTGTTTAATCAATTGGAGAATGACGTTTTTGAAAAGAAGATTTGTCAAGTTTTCATCAGTCACTTTGAGCACCGCTCCAATAGTCTCCAAAATTGGTTTTTGTTGTTCGACCTCAGTCTTATTTGCCAGAATGTTGAAGAGCGCCAAAATAAGTTTTTGTGACATAGTCTGAATAACTTCACCTTTGTCTTGATGAGTGGCAACAGCTTGGATAAGTACATTGCACGCAATTTTGCACGTCTCGTTGTCGTTCAACATCTCAACAATCATATCAACCATATTTGGGAAGAATTCAAAGTCTGGAGGATTCACAATAATTCTCTCGAAAAGTTGCACCATTTGTTTTTTGATTGTGCACAAATTCTTTGTGCGAATTGGAGTGTTGCCTGCTAACGACTTTGAAATCAGTTGGTTGATTTTTTGGATCTGCTCTTTGAGGAATTCAAAATAGAATGCCAACGAATCTTTGCAGTTTGCTTTTTGAGCCAATGGTAAGATGTATGTATGGTCTTCAAATTGGCTCTCCCCTTCCAATTCAGTTTTTAATGGAAGTGCCTCGAAGACATATTTCAAGCCGATCGTTTCAATGGCCGAATAATAGCATATCTCCACCTTAGAGCGAGTTAAAGTGTTGCAGTAGAATTGGTGGAGTGATTGAATCAATGGGACAAACAGCTCTGGTTTCAATTTTCCATTTTTCAAAACCTTTCTTATGATCTCAAAGATGGACTCGGGTGGCGTTTTCTTCGTCAACGGCAAAATAGTGTTGATTGTGTAGTCTATCGCAAATTTTATGTTTTCTTCGTTCTCTTTGAAAGGCGAAGAGAACATTTTACACACCAAAGTACGGTATTTGTCCATATAAGACTTGGGGTTCTTTGCTGATTTGAAGAACGTCTCGATGTTCTTCAAGCAAGCCTCATATGCTTTTCTGCCTTCTGCAACATCGCCTCTTCCGATCAAACTCGGGAGATATGTCAAAACATCACAATACCCGATACCAGTGACTTCATCAAAAGTGGGTGGCGGGTGGTTAATTAACAATGTAAAGATGGTATTTGCCATCTCTTTAGACACGCCATTTGTAAACAAGATGATGAATGTTTTGTAGACTGCAGTGAGTAAAGGTCCGTCCAGGGATGAAGAAATGATCTCTGAGAATTTGACTAACAATGGCTTCACGATCTTTTCAGAGAACAAGTGGAAAAGACGGGAGTAGAAATTGATGCATTTTGCAGCCTTTTCTCCAGAGATCATTTTGTTGAACGTCTTAGCAAAAAGGGAAGAGAACGTTTTTGCGAAAATTTCGTTGGAGAAATATCTGGTAAGGTCTTTCTTCACCTTTTTAAGATCGGTAAGTTTTCCAAGAGTTTCTGGAAGAACAAAAATGCACTTCACAGCGTCGTTCAATTCGAACCAGAACTGGGTTGGTATTTTGAAAAAGAAAACGTCAAACAAAGCAAACACTTTTGCGATGATGTTGGAGTTCCCTTCTGCCAAAGTCGCAGTGGTTTTAATAAGAAGAAGCTTGATCCGCTCCAAATCATTTTGAATGACGGATTCGGGAATTTTTTCCACAACGTGGAGAAGCATTCGCATTTCAATTTCAAACGGTTTGTTGGATTTTGCATTTGTAACTTTACCGATTAACTCGACCAAAATGCTATACAAAGTCATGTTGTTCACTTCAAGATTTTTGCTTTTGATCATCTCCTCGACTATCATTGCTGTTGGTTTCTCATATGGTCCAACAGTACGCGGAATGAATTTGTATATCTCTTCGTTGTCAACTTCTTCATCCATTTTGGAACCCTTTTCGTCTTGAGATTTTTGTTCAAGTGTTTTCGATGTTTGTTGATTGGGAGTTACCTCCTCCATCTTTGTTGACGCGGCGGATGATGAGTGCTCTTCTTCCATTGCTGTATTTTGGAATTACAGAAGGGTTTTTGGAGGGTTTTTTTATTTTATTAGAGGGTTTATCATCTATATTATTGTGGCTGTTTTTTCGGGTTATTAAGATATATGTGTTAACTAATTGTACTATATTAATAGTAATATAGTTCAATATTGATTTTTTGAACTTTATTATTAAATTTTCAAAATCTTTATTTTTAATACTGTATTTTTTCACAAGAAAATCAAATGTTATCTATCATTTGTTTTATTTGTTTGTGTGAATCAAGCTTTTGTGTTTCGATTGCTCAATTGAATATCAACAATCGTTGTATGAGTCTAAATTCTTTATTTTTTGAGCTCCTTGATAAAATGTGAATTATTATTTACAAAAAATAAAAAAATTAAAGACTTAACAAATATTTCAATGATTGAATATATTTTTTTTATTATTCAACTTAATAATTACTTATAATAATTTAATATTAATTAATTATTTAATCTATTTAACATAAAACGTCTATTATTCAATAAACACAAATGTTCTGAATTCAACATAAGTAGCAACCAATTAAATGAATGATTTTATTTAAAACCTAATAGTTTGAAGTTTATAAAATATTAATATAAAACAAAAATATATGTTACTAAATATTAAAAGTAATTTTTTACCAATGGTTTCTAATATTATTATACTATATTTTTTAATTTATATTTAATAAATTATACTAATTAAATATAAATGAGGAAGCATTTATATTAATGATTTAATTAAATTAAATTAATAAAAAATGTAAAAAGATAAAAACAAATAAATAAATATGGTTATTCAAATACAAAAATGCCACAATTTTTATACATATATATTCTGAAATTATCTTTATGTAATTTAAAATTCATGTTCTGTTAAATTTTCTTTTAAAATATAAATGTGACGTGGTTTCCAAAAACGTCATTAGTGTTATTTATCAGTTAAAAAAACGCATAACTCATCATCATTTTTCATTCTAAAAATGAAAAAAGAACCTTCTTTATTTCGATATAATAACTTTATTGTAATGTTATAGTAATTTGATAGAATATAATTATAAGAGAGCCAAAAAAGAAAGCCCTATCCGACAAGAACGATATAGTATAAGAATAGTAAAAGAACCAAATGAAACAACAGGATGAATTACAGATAAATAACTACTTACAGCTTGACAAGCCTGATCCATTTGCTTTCGAGCTCAACCTCTGGGGTTGTGCATGGTGAAGAAGACCCCGAGCTTGAGTTTGATGTTGAAACAGACTCGAGTTCGCCTGCGCAAAACCTGTCAAAGTCGAATTTTTTCCTCAAGTTTTCGCACCGTCGGTGCTTCTCGTGCTCGAAGTCTGTGGTCGTTTTAAAGAGGCTTGAGATATCCTCGGGTCGCCCGTAGAGCAACCGTTTTGTTGGTACATATGGCTTGACATTCAGTGCCAATTGGTGATTCATTGTTAAAAACGTCGAATGCTTTTCCAATTCCCGCTTCAATTAATAGTTCCTCCACGTTTTTGAGGTTGTTTTTTCTTTTGTTTTTTCTAATCGTATTTTCGCTTTGATTTTTGTGGATATTTTTGGATCTTGATTGAAGTTCCTTTCTAGTTGATCAATAGTTAATTGTTGACTTTTTATAGTTCTTTCTATTTGTGGTAATAGTGGGTTTGCATTGCGTAGTTTTCCCGAATTTTCCCATGTAAAATATTGAGTTTTAATCACACCCGAAACACATCTATTCTCAAACGATTGGCTGATATTAGAATGATTTGGTAATGATAAGACAACAGCCGTTGGTTAACAGTCTTTTTTTCGATGACAAACTGCATGTTATTGCTCGTTGGTAATTTTTAAAAAATATGATTATAAAATTAAAAATTAAAACTCGTTTTACAAACCCTTTTGTGAAGAAACTAATAATAATAATATTTTTACTTATATTTATTTAATATATGAAGGAACAAACTAACAGAAATCGATGGTTTAAATAATAGTAAAAATGCCATAAAGGGGTATAGTTTTACATGTTTGCTATAAATATATAATTATTAATGCTTTAATACTCCCGCTTTTTTCGTAACATTTGAACTAAACAAGCAGTTCCTCGAAACAGTTGACCAATTTGATTTTATTGTTTGTCGGTGATCTTTTTCTTATCTATTCTTGTCAAGGTCATAAGTTGAGACATCCCTTTGTTACCGGGATATCTGATATAAATTTAACATGAATCAATTCATTCATGAAACTATAATTTGATTAGACATGTTTAAAAAATCAAAATAAGAGTAAAATTATAATAAAGCAACAGTTTCTGATTCTTGAACTCAATACTCTTTTGAAGGCTCTTTGTGAGAGAAAATTCGTGCTCTTCCAAAAACAAGAGAGTACTCCATTAGGAAAAACCGTGGGATGACGAACTCGAACTCTATGACTAGTGTTGCGATAAGTGACACTCCAATATACCCACCCCATAACGCAAGTCCAAAAGAGGAGTGATACATTAAAACCACTCCAAAGCTCCACATGATACGAGCGACAGTTGTAGAGTGGATTCCAAAGTAGTCAACTTCTGTTCTCCTTTTTTTAAATATATGTAATTACTATAATAGTATAATAACAAACGATGGGTTTAATTCCATTCGAAACATATTTTCAAGTGATCCTGCTTTAATGAATTGATAAACGTAAAGTGAAACAGCGACAGAGAAGCAATATATAACAGTAATATGATCAGCAAAGTAATTATCAGCAAAAGAGTCAAGATATAAACTTAGAGACCACACCCATTTGCATGATAACCAAAATGCGACATCGAGGGAAAGTTGAATCAACAACACCACCCAAAACCAAAGCATTGATTTGTTTTATCAGTTTCAAAACTCTTCTCAGTTTGGAAAAAAACAAAACAAAAATCAATCATCGCTCTCGTCGTCTATTTTTTCATCTTCTTCCATTCGCATGTCATCCTCCTTTTTGATTGCCATCATTTCTTTCACAACGTCATCTTCAAGCTCATCCATTGGATGTTCGACATTGGCCATTCCAGTTTCGGGGTCACACCACTCCGCATCGATCATTAAAAAACCATCGTTGTCGATAGTCGGTTTAATGTACTTCATACTCTCCTCGGTATTAAAAAAAGACTTATCGAAACTTAACACAGATTGCGGAGATAATTTGTGCTTTCGGATGTAATTGATCAACTTGAAATAGTTGTACTGATTCCCGTCGCAGATTTGAAATAACGTCTGAAACCCTAATTGGTGCGCCGTTTGTAAGTGTTCCAACACTTTATCTAAGTCATTAAACTCTTTACAAAATAGACAAGGAGTGCGAAAAGATGTCTCGTCGTCTCCATTGTCCCAATCCCAGTCGTCGCTCATTTCTTTCTTGATTTCTAGTGTAGGTTTTAATTTAATAAAACCTTTTATATATTACTATATTGGTTAGAGTTAACCATTTGACTTTATATTTTTATTCTTTCTTATTTAATATGTTAATTAGTTGTATTGGTTTTGTATTATAAATATAATAAACTATAGTTTTATTCAATAAATCACGTTTAAATTCTTTTAAAAAAAAAGTATATTGAACCTATTAATTTACTATAATTAATACAATACAACTCCCAAGAGAATATCAACAACAATCATATCCATCTTGATGGTCTCCCCGACTCAAGTCGATTCCATCACAATTCACCTCCTTTGGACGCATAACGCAGGCCAACTCAATAAAAGACTTTTTGACATCTGTTAGTCAATTTTAATTTCTTAACAAATCAAAACCCAAGACACAAACTTTCACCACTCTTGGCAGAAGTCTCGAAGTATAAAGCATTTGTTATTTTCACTACGTTGTCGACATCATCTTTTTTTACTCTCCACTCACAGTCGTTTTTATTTGCAATGACCATCACTTTTGCATCGGGACACACACGCTTGAGTTGCTCACACCATACACGCACATTGCTCAAACTGTGAGGGTCTGTCACATCAAACACAACAACACCCCCAGATGCGCCTCGAAAATAATTCTCAACGACTGAATGATATTTCTCTTGTCCAGCTTTTTGTCACTACTTTTACTTCAAAATAATGAAACTATCAATTTAATAATAGCAACAAACCAGTGTCCCATAGATCTAATGAATATGACGCAATCTCCGTGTCTAAGATCATGTGATGAAATACAGCAGCAACAGTGGCACCCCCTGCGGAAAATTGATTGAACATTAAACGTGAAATAATCGACGTTTTACCAACATCTGAATATTAGACACACTCGACATTCTATAGCGAATTGAAAAGACAAACTCGAATCACCGATGATAACAACCTTCATGGATTCATTCTCCGCACTTATCATCGTCTGTTGAGCGAGTTTTGAAAAGGGTTTTTTCTTCCTCTTTTTTACTTACAAAAGCACTATTGGAAATAAAAAATGTCACTTTGTAATCGAACATTTTCGGGTATTTTGGGTTACTATTTCTTATTCGATACGAGGTATCGTAAACAGATAATATTAGAGTGTTTTGTTATTACTAATTTTAAACAAATATACTGGAATTTATTAATTACATTATAATATATATTTTATAATATAATAAATATAATTCGATTTTTTCATATTTCCAACAACAACGTTTATTGTGTATTTTGGATTGCAATGCCAATTGATGTTTCGGATGTATGCACCAATATAATTCCATTGAATTAACACCATTTTCAAATTATACTATTTATATTTTTTACTATATGTTATAGTTTTTTTTGATTAAACTATATTTTAAAATAAATTAATGAAAAATTTAATTGTAATGTGAAACTATCGTATTAATTTATTAATGGTAAATTAATGGTTAACAGTATTCTATAGTTTTAAATGTTATAACATAATACATTTTATTAAAAATTTATTATATAGACAACAATTAGTCAAAAAGAACTAAGAAATGATATGGCAAACAACTCACAGAAGAAAACAGTTCAAAACAACAAGCAGAAAATTGTGATTTCTCTCTGTTTCATTCTTCCAACAATCTTTTTCTTTGTGTTTTGGCGATTCCTTCGTGGGACATTGAACGGCACTGCTTATTTTGTGTTTGTTGTCAACACCCTATTTCAAACACTCCCATTTCTTTACACGTATATGATCAGTCGCCCAGTGTATTCTGAGGGCGAGTTACTTGACTGTGGTTCTGATTTATCACAAGAAGGGTTATTAGAGTTTGTCCATGACATCATTTACTTCACTTCGTTTATTCAATTGTTGTCGTCGTTTTCATTCTTTGCGATGTATCTCTATATTGTTGTTGTGGGATATTCTATTTATTTGTTATATAATATGACAAGTGCATTACCAGGTATGGCACAGCAACCTGCAGCACCACAACAAGAGCAAAAGAAACAGAAGATTAAGTACAAGACGTACCATTAATTGAGTGTTCCGTTGCTATGTTTCGAGACAATAAAGGCAAAACAATAAAAGGAATGAAACGTTATTTAAAGTTGAATACAAACAAATGCCTCTTCAAGCGACAGAAGAAATCAAATTTGACTTTGACTCCTTCCCAATAGTGGTAGTTCTTGAACCATGTCCCGGTATCACAATCGTCTCTTTCGGTAACGTGAAAAGTTTGTTAATGATTGAATCTTTCATAAGTCTTGCGTTGCCATCCCATAAATCAGTTCTCCCACAAGACCCTTCGAATAAAGTATCTCCAGTGACCAACAAATTCTGTTGGTGAAAATATAAACAAGAGGACCCTGGTGAGTGACCTGGCGTGTGAATCAAGACACCAACAATTCCATCGATATTTATGGAGTCACCTTCGTTCATCAAAAAGTCGATTTGTGGGGGTTGCTCGACTTCGGGAAGGGTAAAGGACTTTCTTTGCATCTCGACCTGGTTGTATAAATACTCGTCGTTTCTGTTGATGCAAAGTGGGGCGTTGGTCAGTTTTTTAATGTCATGGGCGCCGGCAATATGGTCGTAGTGGCCATGCGTAAAAAACACTGCAATACAATTCGTAAGACCAATTGCTTTTGCTCTTTTAATCACACACTCTGCATCACCACCAACATCACACAATATGTAATTACCGGTCTGCACATTTCCAATGATGGGAGTGTTTGTTTGAATGCACCCAGTTGGCATGAAGCAATATACCATCCCATTGTTTTGCACGGGTTTCATTCACAATGTGTTGAATTCGTGTTTTAAAGATCCAATTCGACACTTCAAATTTTGCGTTGTTTATTTATAATAGTAACCACAAAAGCTTTTTTTGCCAGTTGAATGGGAAATTTATAGGTTTTCTCGATAAATTGAGTGGTATTTCATCGCAACTTTCCAGGATATTGTCACTTTGAAAATATACCCAAATATCCCTGGTTTTAAACATTGATGCTTCAAAAATAAATACATTATTCTTCTCCAAATAACTCTGAGTGTAATTTTAGAAGTTTTGCCCAACCTTTTAGGCATATTCCTTATATTTATTTAACAAAAAAAGGAAAACTTTATTAATAGTGTTCTTAGGCATTTATTGTATTAAAGTAATCATAGACCAAAATAATAGTGTGAAAACATACTGCATTTCATTATGGTAATTATCAGTAAAATATGCTGAACAATAAAAGAAGTTAGAAATGGACTTTTTCAACAATAAAAAAAAATGTAAACAATCAACAGAAAAGAAATGAAATATTGTCAAAGAAATACTTTTGGGTTTTACCAATATCAGCATTAATGTATTTTTTTGAATAAAAAATTCACACACTTTTTAAAATTTTTGTACAAAATAACAAATGACTATTTACCGCAAAAATGGGAAATTTTTTATTTTGTTCTGAAAATTTTTTTTATAAATAGATAACTCCAATTAAAAATAAAAATACTTTCTGTTTGCGATAAATAAGTTTAGTTTTTCGGGTGTAATCCAACCAATAAAAACAAAATAAGTTATTAGTTTATAAATAGATAATATAATATAATTAATAGTACTTATTGTATTGTTATGTATTAATTCTTTTTATTAGAATGCTAATAATAAGAATTATACTTTTATATAATAAAGTTATTAATTTATTTGTACAGTCTGTCTTTTAACGTTATCTGGTATCTTTTGGAAAATCGGAAATCAAATATTTCGGGAAGTCTTCCCAAAAATCCATCCCAATTGTTTCGGTTTTTTTCACGTTTTGCCTAATGCCCGATGTTTAGACAAAATAAAGCTATTTTTTGTACATCAGATACAGTCTTATTTGGTTGTTTTTGTCTTTTAAATAGTTAAATTTTTCTGTTTTTTTCAATTTTTATCGATTTTAAATATATTTAATCCTAAAAATGCAATAATTATCTGGTAAAATAAAGGGATTTTTTTAATTAACGAAAATTGTCTTTTTATTTTTGAAAATTATCCAAAATATCATAAATTATCCCAATTCAATCCAATTATTTACAATTAATTGTAATTATCTAGACATAATAGATAATTATCTTAAATTATTAAATTTTATCAACAATATTATTCAACATTATCTTTATTAAAATGTAATTATCCACATTTTATTTAAATCAAAAATAAAAACAACAAAAATGTTTATTGATAACATTTTTTTATAATTTAAAAATTAATTATTTAGGTTGACAGGATATTTTCAATAATAAAAAAATATCATTCGAAATATCAAAAAGAAACCAACTTATAAATTATCTCGACTAAAAACTTTCTGCCATACTGTATTTCTGCAACGCTCTAACGAGGCTACAACATCTGGGGTTTCAATTGAAGTGAACGCATTACTAAGTTTTTCCAGTAAAGATTCAAGTGTTGTCCATGTACGTATTTCTCGTTCTGCTCTTCGTTTCCAAATTCCAAATATATTTTCTATGGGATTTAACTCTTGCGAGTATGCGGCGTTAAACACTACACAATGACGAGTGCCAATAACAAGTTCCTCGATGTCGTTGTGTATTCCACAGTTATCACACCAAAAAAAAACAACGCGAACGTTTCTCTGATCATAATATTGCATGAGTCTTTTAAAATACGTGTTGAATAAAGGCTTGTCGTTAATTCCATTAACAATATCACAATAACTCATTCCGTTTACATCTATTGCACATACACTTGTCAATCGAAGCCCCCTTTTACTTTTTGTTATAAAGCACTTCTTTCTACGTTCACTCCATCCGTACGCACTCGTCGTAGCTATTCTCCATAAAGTTTCGTCCAAACACACCCACGAGTATCCCTCGCACATTCTTGCGTACAATTTTTGAATAGCATTTATTCTTTTGTCTTTGTTTACTTCCGAGTTCGATTCAGCACCTCTTGTAGTCTCTCTTTTAAAACTCAATATCGGAAGTTCTCTGTCTTCATCAACACCAGTTTTTCCTCTCATAAAATTTGTAATAGACGTAATAGATGGAACGATCTTGTTTTTCTTTTCCATTTTTTTGTCTATTCCCACAATAATTTCCGGGTGCTCAACAATTTCTTTAAACGTTTCTTCTCGGATTTCTACAATGTCTTCGACATTTACAATGTCATCCATTACCATCATTCCCTTTATGTATTCTCTCATCTGATGCACCTTTGTCGTAGAGTCATTCTCCAAAAGTCTTCCTACCTATACTTGATATGGAGTCACACGACTTTTTTTATTATAATGGTTCTTTGGCAATATACTATCTCCCTTTCTTAACTTGGTCAACAATGACTTACAATTGTCGTTTGGAATCCCACATTTGGAGGCATATTCGCCTAGTTGCCATTCGTCTCCATTTTTTCTCCAAAATGCGATTAGCCTTTTTTCGCCTCTAATGTAATTCTGATATACGGTTTTCTAGGTTTGGTAATACTCGTTGACAATGGAGTGGGTCCCTCTCTGATCATTTTTGGTCTTCCTCGTTTTTTGGGGGCGGCATTGGTACAATAAATGGAACCGAGGTTGTACTTGTTGGAGGATTACCAGGAAGTGGTTCTGGTGCGCTATCTATAAATTGTTCTTTAACAACAGGTTCTCTTGCGTCTATGTAAACCATAGCCGAGTTACTCATTTTATTTTTAATAAATAGTTGGTTTTTTAAAAAAGAATGCTTTGTTTTTATTTTTGATTTAAATAAAATGTGGATAATTACATTTTAATAAAGATAATGTTGAATAATATTGTTGATAAAATTTAATAATTTAAGATAATTATCTATTATGTCTAGATAATTACAATTAATTGTAAATAATTGGATTGAATTGGGATAATTTATGATATTTTGGATAATTTTCAAAAATAAAAAGACAATTTTCGTTAATTAAAAAAATCCCTTTATTTTACCAGATAATTATTGCATTTTTAGGATTAAATATATTTAAAATCGATAAAAATTGAAAAAAACAGAAAAATTTAACTATTTAAAAGACAAAAACAACCAAATAAGACTGTAACGTTATAAGACAGACTCATGTGTTTATTTTATTGTTGAAATTATTCAAAATTATTATCATTTCATTCTAATAATTCTAATAATAAAATAATTAATTAATTAATTACAAAATCAAGAAGTTAAAAAGTTATCCAAAAAACAAAGACTTGATAATCAAACATTACGGATTAGATAACGAAAACTCCTCCGTTTTTCTTTCAGGGTTTTGTGTGGCAACCATTTCAACAAGTGTCTTAGGCAAAACGAACAAATCGGTCTCGGGTTTGAGTGCGCCAATGCAGAGATGGGTCAGCGAAATGTCCACATCTTTTTGTTAATCTCCATTAACCAAACAAAAAACAAACTTTGTCTCACAAGAAATAGAAACGCGTTGTAAAGAAACTGACAGTCGATGTTTTGCCCCACAAGGGACTCGTATTCAGGCATACTTGAAACAAAGAGAGACGAAAACGTCTCGGTTATGTTTTTTACAATTACACAAACTCCATCGCGAGATTTTGCCACCACGGACGCTGTTGGTAAAAGCGGCACCACCGTCTTTTCTCCGTCGATCCATTTTTGCTGTGTGAAGGGGACCTGCGAAGAGGAGTAACCGTAAGATAAAAATGGGTTTGGGATTTCATCCCAGAGGATTTTAGTTGGCACAGTGTCATACGTAATTGACTCTTCCAGCCTTCTTGTTGTCAGCTGCGTGTCTGCCGGTATCCCAAAGAGGGGCGCAAGTGCCCTGTTATCATATACATGCAGTCTGTGTTGTGGTCCTTCTTGATGATAAAAAGCTGCGTACGTCGCCAATAAGTGCTTTTTAGTCCCAAGTGTGGCGTACTGTTGGATCACACTAATCTCTTCTGGCGTGAACTGATAAGGCGCTCCCGCAACGTCTCCGATGACAACAACGTCGGAGTTCTGGAGCGTTGAAAGCGAGAACGTGCGACACACAGAGAGATTGAGTGGGACCTTTCCGTACTTCATCCAGTTCGTTCGCATGTGTTCCCAGACGTGAACACCGCCTGTGTGTGGGTGTAACACAGTCACCTTCATGTCTAAAATCTGACTAGTTTTCCTACTTTTTTCTCCCCTTCTGTTTAACCGTTCCGCTTTGGTAATCTCACTCAAGTTACAACATTTTTTTATCGGAATCTAATATGTCTATATACTATGTTTATAATGTTGGGTGCGAGATTACACTCCGATATTTAAAACTCAAAAGCAATACCATATGTTAGTTTTTCCCATTTTTTACTTCATTTTTTTTATTGTTGAACAAACTTTCACTTTTTGTTTATTAAAATGAGACTATTGTCTTCTTTCGTTTTTATGGTTTTGTAAACTAAATGTTTACTAAATTTTTGTTATAACAATTATTTCTTATTACTAGAAGAATACTATAATCAACCATATTTTTGAGGATAAGTGGTTGTTCAGTGGTAGATGTGAACTTTCACTTTTTATTAAAAAACCATTCACAAATTACTGCAAAATAGATTGTTTGTTTGCAATTAACAATTTAATTATAATCAATTAAAATTAATTAGTTTATAATTTAAGTGCAACTTTGATGTATTCGATTTTTGAGATCTTTGAAAACTGAGCACATAAACAATCAAACAATTCTTTTCACAAAATACTCCTCGAGGAAAGACACCAACGCGGTTTGAAATTCAACGTTACCCAAGATGCTATTATGATCGCAGCCATCAACTATAAAGAGCGAACCGTTCTCTTTATACTTCACGTCATCCCAGAGTCTGATTGCGTGCGACACATTAATGATTTCATCGTTATTCCCATGTGCTATGAACAAAGGCATTCGAAGTGGCGCGACCGAGTTTTCGTTGTCGAACATATCGGTGAATGGAATGTAACTCAACCGTCTATCCACTACAGCACAACATGAAGTAAATCCACTCACGGACACAACAGCACCAACAACCCCAGGCAACCCTTTCTTCGCCATTTTCCCGTTCTGTATTTCTCTTGCGAGCCAAAGTGTTGGACCGCACCCGATAGAGTGACCCATAAGGATTATGTTTTGTATTGGGATTTGCATCTCGTTGATGACCATAGTGAAAATAGCAAGAAGGTCTTGTTTACAGTCTGCTTCGGTTGGTTCGCCAGCATTGGTTCCGTAGCCTCTGTAATCATATCCGATGATATTGGCCGATATAATATTTGAAAATATCTTGAGGTGGTGATAGGATATTGATATATCCTCTGCATTGCCATGGGAAAAGATGACCCAAGCCCGCGTAGGGGTTGTTGCTTGAATTGTGTAATAAGGAACGTGCCGATTGTTAATTCGGCACATTGGAAAGTCCTCGAGTGTGTATGTGTTTTTGGGAGGATAAAACGCGTATTTGCGCGTGATTGACTGTCCCATTGGAAATGGTTTGTAATAATAAGTTGAAGTTTCTTTTTGTGAAAAGAAGAAACTGTTTTCGTTTTCACTTGGGTATATCTTCGGTGGTATTTGATTGACCATTTTTTGCTTCTTGTTACCATTTGAATTGATAAATGTGTTTTGAATTACCACTAATTCAAAATTGCCTTGACTTGAATCGTCACATCATTAATTTAATTTTATTTCAAATTTCTTTAAAAGCTCTTGTTATGTTAATTGTTTTGTGGAAAAGAATATGGTTTTTTTCGATAATTAAAAAACAACTACTATCCTTGTATTTTAGTGTTAATTATGTTACGTCTATTCTTTAATTGTATTCTGATGTAAAAACAAATATTTTATGAAAAAGCACCGGGTTTGTATTAACTGTGTTAATAATAACCAGCGTTGTGTAACTTTAATTTTGAAAAACAGTAGTTGTTAAAACAACAACTAAAATCAGTATAAAATCATAATAATGAGTTTGTTCTAGTTTATTCATTAATTTATTTATAGTTAATTTAATACAATTCAAAACTAGTTTTAAACTATGTTTATTAAAAATAATATTATTTTAATTATTTATTGTATAAATTATAGTTTACTTTAACTTAACTAATTATGAATAAAACTATTTTGAAATTATTAACAAACTATAATATACACATGAAAAAACGCATTTGAAAAATTCCATGTTGTGTTTATTGAACAAATACAAAAAAAATAAAACATTTGAAATCAAAATAATGGTATATCAAACCCTCTTAAAAAACAAATTTTTTTAAACAGAAAAAACAGTATCACTCTATGGCCGATCTCACCGCGATTTTACAGGCTTCAATGAGCCCTGACAATGAAACACGAAAAAAGGCGGATGTCTTAGTGGAACAACTTAAACAAAATCCAAGCGTGTTTCTACCACAAGTTCTCACTTATTCAAATGCTGAATCTAAGAATCCCCCAAACGTTTGTTTTTGATTTGATATTGACTGAAATACCTTACCCCGTAGTTGCGAGTTATAGCTCTCACAATAGTCAACAACATGTTGGTCAAAATTCCACAATTGCGCGCAGTAATTCCTGACCAATTACTTCTTGAGATGTGCAACGCAATAGCAATCAATTGTAAAGTCGAGAACGACCTTCATTTAGTCCCACTTCTTTCAACAGTCGTGACCACTTTTGCATTGGCAATTCAACAAGAAAATTTACCATGGCCAAATTATATCCAATTCCTCTTTGCATTGACTCAAGAACAAAATATAATCCAACAGTGTATTGCTCTCGATGCGTTAGGAAAGTCTACCATCCATCCGGAATCACAACTCATTTTGTCACACGTCTCCGAACTCAAAACATACTTGGCAAGATGTCTATCAATTGATTCCCTCCCATTAAGACTGAAAGCTATCACCTTTATTTCAAACACTGCAGTCTTCCTCGAGAAGACCGCTGAAGGCAAAAAGTTTTACGAGTTATATCCCCTGATAGCGCAGACGATGCAATCATTGTTAGCTAATAATAATTTTGAAGAAGTGAATAACATATTGGAAGACTTACAGGAACTTACACAATTTTCACAATTCTTTTTCAAACCAATACTGCCAGCTGTCTCCGAAAATTTGCTTCAAATCTGTACATCCAACTATGATGGAATGGTCAAGTCAGGAGCTATGGAAGTTATTTTAGTCTTGATAGAGGCTTATCCAGCAAGTTTTAAGAAGACTGACTATTTACAAAAGGTCTTAGTCATTCTTTTGAATTGGTTGGCTTCAGTGACAGATGCGGATGTACAAGACTGGTTGGACGAAGACACTGGGGATACCTTATTTGAATATGCACAAGACGCTATTGAAACATTGACAGGAACGGTTGGTGGAAAACCACTGAGAGACACATTGTTTGCGCAATGTCTTGAGTTCATAAAAAGGAATGACTGGCCTCATAGATTTGCAGCACTCAGTGCATTTTCACAAGTCGTTCCAAGAGGGAAGTTTGTGATCAAAAGTAACATCACGGAATTATTACAACTTGGATTTGCAGCAACACAAGACGATCAGCCGTTAGTGGTGTACGCGTTTTTAGATCTCATTGAAGAACTTTTGGATACGTTCCCCCATATCATGATTCGAATGCACTTTGATGTAATAGTGAAAGCACTCACGTTGTGTGTGAAGTCGAAGTATAAAAGAGTTCAAGAACGGGCGTGTTTCTCATTACAATCACTGTTGGAGAATTTGGAAGATTCGAAACAAAAGATCATCCCGGCACTCCCAACACTAGTAGAATCAATGCTTGTGCTCTTGGGCTCAAATTCGGACTTTTCATTGAAATCATCTGCATTGACTTCATTGGTCTTTATCACATTGTTGGCTACTCCACAAATGGCAACGTATTACCAATCGTTCCAAACAGTGTTTGCTGCCATTCTACCAACTTGTAAAGATTACCACTCATCGGAAACTAAAGGAAAGATCATCGAAATGATGTCGATATTTAACTCGAAATTGAACCCACAGTTTTTCCCAAACATCCAAGACATATTGTACACGACGTTGTTGGAGTTGTTCAAACAACCAATTGGAATTGAAGACCCATTACTTCCATATGCAATGTCGGCGTTGTGTCGATTGGTCGACTCTCCAACTAAAGCGATACATCCAAATCTTGAGAAATTCATGACCATCGTCTTTGAGAGAATTGCGCTGCCAATCACTCTCGACAATAAAGATCAAACAAATGTTATCAACGTCACGAACGTCATTACCTCAGAGAAAAAGTTCTTGTTGCTTTCAGTGAAAAAGATAGCAGACTATCTTAAAGGCAGTTACGCAGTGTTTGCTGAAAAGACGTTTGCGATAGTGTCTCCCTTCTTGCAGTCGAATAACAGTGTTATAAAAATCACTGCTTGTGAAGTCTTACCTGTTGTTGTATCTTCATTAGTCGCTGCAATGGGAAAGACCGACCAAGTCAAGCAATTATACTATCGAGTAGTTAATATCTTGTGTCAAGTTCTTGTTGCAGAAAGAATATCAGATAATATCGAAGTAGTCTTGGATTGCTTAAATTATGTGATTAGCGCTGTTGGCGAGAATAGTTTGGACGCGCAGATGATTGGTATTCTCTTTGAGTCGTTTGACAAACTCTTATTTGGCTGTTTAGAAGGGAACACAGAAGTCCAGCAAATATCAGAAAAAATGAATAAAGATGAAGATGAATTGGACGATGAAGAAGCGGAGATGTTGAATGACCAAGCAAACTTCGACACGTGGCTCCAAAAGATGTTACAAGTCCTTGGAACTGTATGTGAGAATCACGTTCAAACGTTCTTTGCTGCGTTTAACATGAAGTTGTTCCCACGTATTATGATCTATTTCAACCAAGAAGACAACGAAATGAGATGTTCATTTGCTGTTTCAGCAATGGGGACGGTCATTTCAAAAGGAAAGTTGTACCACTATATCCCACATGTCGGAGATAAATTTGTGGAGTACATGAAATCAAGTATGAGTGACGTGGCATTCAATGCCATTCTCTTTGTGGGAGTCTTTGCGGAATTGGAGATCCCCGAGTTCCAAAATTTGGTTCCAAAAGTGTTAAATGTTATCAGCGAGTTAGTCAGTCGTAAAAAGAATAAAGCATACTTCGAACTTCATTCACAAATAGTGACCACGTTAGGGTTGATCGTTTTGCACAACAAAACACTTCCAAATCGTGACGCACTTGTGAAAAGTTTCATTGGCCTTTTCCCGGTCAGTGAAGGGTATTCAAAGTTGGTGGAAGTCATCTTCGATATGCAAAACCAAAATTTGATCACTTCGAACAACGAAAACGAGACTGCTGAAATCATCTATCGACTTGTGTCGTTTTGTGCTGGTGCTGTTGAAGAGGAGGTTTGCAGCAAAGACACCAAAAAGAAGATTTTACTGCTTCTTAAAAAGTGGACGACTGAAGTCCCTCAGAACATTATTCAAGCAGTTTGGAACAAACTCACTGTCGAGCAAAAAGGGGAGTTGAGTGACTTGCAGAATGAACAGCTTTGAACTGAAAATATTATTACTTCTGTTTTTACCTTTCAATATAGTAATAGAAAATTATTAATTCAAAGGAGAACAATATAGTAATTATATTAAAATGGGAAGTAATTCGTTGTACTTCTCGTTATATACTAACCCACCCATTAATAGAAGCTGAGCGATGTGGTATGTCGTTATTATAATAATAGCAGTAAGGTTCGACTTTTTGACAAAGACGTTGTAAGCTAAGACCGCGTCACTAATATCAAAAAACAAATACCCGACAGCAGTCATCACAGAAGATACTCCATTCCAATTTACACCAACTGTACTGCTCAGTGTCGACAACGCAAAAAATGATCCTCCGGTTAAACCACATGAATAGACATGAACGGGAAGCGTAAACAATTTTTGTGTCTTGGACTTTGAACCTTGCATTAAAGGAACAGATGTGATTGTCCCAATTAAGAGGACAAATAAGGAAGGTATAAAAATACCTATTTGAAGAGTTTGGGAATACCCGATGATGTTGCAGATGTGGCTAACTAAAAAGGACACAAGACCACATGCAAACCATTCCAACCCTTCTTTGATCAAAAACAAATCACCAATAAAAGAACTGAAAAGCCCGGCACAAAAGAAAAGAACGTATGGCTTAGGCTCGACACTGAGTAAAACAAAAGCAATTAAGAGTAAACAAAAAAGTGGTTTACTCACTAACTTTACAGAATCTAACTTCTTAAGGTACGACGTCCAACATACCACAACATCAATGAGAATGAAAAAGAAGAGTACCCATTCAAACATCGTGTTTTAAATTTGATTATAACAGTTCGTTGTTTGTATGAAAGTGTTTTATAAATATAAATTGTATTATTATTATTTATAAATTTGGGGTTGAATGATTAAATTTGAAATCATCAGTTTTCGATTGTTTTTTTAATCATTTACTATAGTTTAATTAAATGGGTTAACTTAATATAAGTTAATTGAGTTATAATTTTTTATAATAAAAACAAGAAATGTTTTTAAATATTATTCTTGTATTTGATCTTATTGTAAAACAAGAATCGACCAATAGTTATAATAATAAACAATCACATTTTTCATAAATTAAACAATCATATTAAACAAAAGGTATTTTAATATTAATATGAAATTAAGTTATAACAAATGCAAGTAAGAAATAAAAATAATCTTCACTTTGGTGGAGATAAATAAAACTCCATAACTCATGGCATATTCAATTACATATGTAGTGCACTTTCATAAAGTGGTGTTGTCGTTGAACATTTGTCCCGACGATTTTTCAAAGAACTCGTGGGTAGGTATTTTTGTGATCAATAGGGAAAAGTCGGAGAATTATGTTCGTGAGAAACGAGTCAAAACAGTCAAAGACGAAATAGTGTTTGAGAACCTAGTTAGTGGGATGTATGAGATTCGATACTTCTACGACAACAAAAGCTGCCTGTTGAACTACACAAAAACACTTTTAATTGGAGAAGAAATTGTGCCCGAGTCTGTCGAAGAAGTGTCGAGTGTCAACTGCAGATACTTGGTCGTGAAGTTTCCGCCACTACTCAAACAAAACGATTGGTTTGCACTCTTCAAAGCGGGTGAGAAAAGTCAGAAGAAGTTTTTAAGGAAGTGGATTGTGCACAATACAACGCAATTGGTATATAATATCGAAGTTGGTGATTTGAACTTGGAACCAAAGTATATTGACGACCTCTTTGGTGTGAAAACTACTGACTACGAAATCAGATACTTTAAAGCAAGAAGTAAAGTGATTGATCCTAAGCTTGTGACGTATTCCTTTCCACCGTCGGGTATCTATAAAATAGCTTTGAAAGACTCTGAGAAGGACACAATTCAGTTTGTCGGGTGGCGATCATTAAATCAGTTGTGTATCAATTACTCAACATATCTCAAGAACTTCGAAGTGATTGTCAGAAACGACCAACAAGTCGTCTCGACATTCAGAAATGAACTCCCACTCTTTTTTGGAACAGTCACATTTTCATTGCCACAAATGATATACAATTTCTCTATCGACTTTGTATCTCCAACAACACATCACATCATTCAAACCAAAAATCTTCATCCTATCGTTTAGTATTTATTATTGTGTCATTTGTTTTAAGGTTTTTCTTTCTATTTATATCCATTAGATACTAATTCCATATCCACTTTTCAATTGGTCATTATTCCATTGGCTCAACAGCATTTACGACGTTAATACCTCTGATGTGGCTTCTTATATATAAATCTAGAGCTGTATTATATAAATATTATAAATTACTAATAAATGTGGAAATACAATATAAAAACACATCAAGTGAACGAAAGAATGAAAATGCCACAAAAAAAACAGTTACAGTCAAACCCTACTTTTAAGATCAAATAACTTAAAAAAAAACATGTTGACACAAACAGACTTCTGGAAACTCGAGTCGGAAGACTCTTTGTTAAAACTGAACGATGACTTTTTGCAAGAGGGCAACACATCACAAGTTGAAGAGCTTCTTTTGCGTGGGGAGCGATGGTATGAAAATGTGATGAAACATTCAGAAAATATTCCAGTGAAGGAATATCAACCAGAACACATCGAGAACGTCCCTGAAGGTATTCGGAGAATCATCGAACTCGACGTGTTAAGAACATTGAAGTCGGAAGAATACAAGGCACCACTTCGTGTACTCTTGACACAGTTGTGGAAAGACTTTGGAGACTACGCACAAGCAATGTGTCTTGTTGCTGCTTTTCTTCGACTTGTACTGAGTGAGAATAAAGTCTACAAAATCATGACCGTCTTGAATCATAGCAATTTTTATATTCCGGGCTATTGGAAAGCTGAAGCAGTTGGATACGCGTCAGACACATACTCTGCAATTGCAATTGCTCGTGAGATCTCCCCAGAAGTTGTCAATAAAATCACTCGAACACAGCCATACCCCGAAACATTCTGTCAGAAGTTTTTCAATGCGATTGGGATCCATGTCTTCCCCTTTGAAATTGAATTTGATATCATGGAACAATTCCTTACAGGCGGACGTGTATTTTTGTTCCAATTGATCACTTCAGTGATGGACGTACAGAAGGAACAATTCTTAAATAACAACGAGGTGAACATCATGTTCAATTTGCTCGGGCTTGAGAAGGAAGTTACATCACGTGAAACACTTCGAAGGATCTGTGACGAGGCAAAGAACTACGACAAAGTATTGGAGCACGACATTGTCGCGATGAGGAACGAGATGTACGAAAAACATTTGAGAGCAAAACTTGAAAAACAAAAAAGAGCAAAGGAAGAAGAAGACTCAGACGACATAATAGACTGCCCATCCACCGACGACGAGGACGAATAATTCTTTGATTTTTATTATGGACAAATTTTAAATTTTACTCAATGTTATAATATTAGTATAATATACTATGATATTATACAAATATAAGTTAAGATACTATAAATGGATGATGTGTAGTATGTTTTTGTGAAATAAAATCTTAAAGAAAAATGTTGGAATGAAAGAAGAAAAAGGTCTCAATTTTTGAAATCAAATGCGCATTAAAGAACGAAATTTAATTTATATGAAGGTATATTTATAGTAAAATATAGATGAGCAAAAATCAACGAACTTGAAAACATATTATAATGTTGTTAGCAGTTTTATTAATTGCATCAGCGTTGGCGCTGACGCAGGACCAAGAAAAAAAGATTAACGACATGATATCGAATGTCGGAAAGAAGTTGACTGAAGTTGGGGACTCGATTAAGAACCACAGCGAAGAAATCAACACGATCATGGAGGAAGTGAAGAAGTCGTCATCGTTTGAAGGTTCTCAAGTCAAGTTAGAAGAACTTGAGGCGAAAATAATGAAGGTGGTAAGAGGACCCGAACCATTCAGTGAACCACCGAAGGGTGACAAACTTATTGACTTGAAACAAATGTATGAGCAGACTGAAAAGAGATTTAAAGAGAATGTCAACAAAATTCAGAAGGAGAAAGACTCGAAAAAGGTCAAAGAAGCAAAGAAGGAAGTGAAAGAAGCGGTAAAGAAAGTCGAGAAGAAAGACGACAAAAAGGAGGAATTCAAATTGAAGGATGACATCGAACCACCAAAGGTACACACTGCTAAACCATTGGGAACCCCAGGAAAGGTTGTACCACCGAAGAAAGAAGAAGTCAAAAAAGAGGTGAAAAAAACAGCGAAAAAAGAAGTAAAAAAAGAAGCGAAAAAGGAGGTAAAAAAGGCGATCAAGAAAGAAACTAAAAAGATTGTCAAGAAGGCAATTGTCGCTGACACGGACGCAAAGGCTCTCGACATGATCAAAACGGATATCTTGCCACCAACATTAGGGGTTAGACCTTACGTGCCAATGATAAACGTCTATAACCCAATGATGTATATGGGTCGTCCATTCATGGCACAGAGCCCTTACATGATGGCAATGAGAAGACCAATTTACCCAAGTATGGGCTACACATACACATATCCCCCAGTCAATTACCTTGGAATGAAGTATCCAACTCTGTGTCACCAAGGATATGGTATCCCAACTCACAGATTCTATGGACCTTACCGAAGACCTTACTACAACCGCTTTAATACGCACGCATATTCAAACGAATATATGCTCAGACCAGAGTACTACGAAACATTCAACAATAAAGACCCATACATGGCAAAAGACATCCCAAGAACAGTCTTTTAAGTGTTAAAAGAGTGGTTGATATTTTGTTTCTGTTGTGTTGTGTATTTTATTTTTTGAGTTGTTGTCTTGTGTTTCTGTTCTGTATGAAGTTGCTTCTTGTTTAAACCAACAAACGTTGTTTAATTATTTCTTAAAGCATTTTAAAGTGGAGTTATATATTTAGATGGACTTTTGGGATATTCCATTTTATAGCGTTTTTTGTGGCAAATGTATAGTTTTTTTCTAATTGTTTTATAATTTAGTTGTGGTTAAAAGATAACAAAATATGATGGAAATAGTAAAATAGTTTTTAAAAGAAAACTAGAAAACAGATGGAGGCGCATGACTACAAAGGAGTGTATATCCACAATGTGGGGACTATCAATTTGTATAATAACAACGGTACGGGACAAGGTTCTACAACTCTTCAAACCGGACAACGTGAAGGAAAAGAAGAAAAGAAAGAGTTGTGTGAAAAGAAGTGGGCGGAGAAGCACTTTGCGCTTGTTCGGGAAAGTATCAAAAACATCGAGAACTCGATGAAGGAATTTCGTGGGGTGATGAACAAACGGTGGGGATATGTTAACCAACAGATTGAGATGGCGAAGGAAAAACGTGACATCGATTTGTTCAACGAAACGCAGGCGAAGTCACCATTTCACGACATTCAAAGTGATGTTGTGCAATTGAAGAAGACTGTCACCACTCTTCAAAAGAAAAGCGAAACGGAAAAGTTTAGGGTTTTGAGTTATTCGAATGTTGATTTAATGGGATACATCAAAGAATGGACAGGAAAGAATACATTCAAAGTCGTCTTTGACACGGAACGCGATGAGTTTTCTGTTCGTGAAGTCAGTGGGAGAACTCGACTTATAAAGAATGTTTTGTTTTTGGTCGAGACTGCAAGTGGGTGTGTGTTTGGCTCATATGTCACTACAAAAATTCCACCCGTACGAGCAGAGGCATATAATACCTTTTTTGGAAAAGATGAGGGTTACTTTGTCTTCACAATGAAAAATCCACACAATATCCTCCCCACTAAATTCGACAAGAAAGACAACACAAAGACAATGATGTTCTGGAAAGAACCCAACGAACTTGAGGCAGTGCTCTCTGCTATTCTGTGTTTCAGAATCAGCGCAGATGGGAAAGGAATGATCATGAATCAATTCAAGGATTTCTATAATGAACCGACGGGATTTGGAGATGACGTGTTCACTGGAACACATGAGCCTAATGTATTCGACGTTGCGAGAATCCTTATTGTCAAGTGTGAGTGATCTGTTTATTAGGAGTTGTGTCTTTTTGTGTTTAATGAATTCTATTGCTTAGTATATTATTTGAACAAAGTTTGTCATTGTTATAAAAAGACAACAAATTATTTTTTTTGTGTAAAAAATGTTTTTGAAAAATCGACTCAAATAATAAATTATACCTACCTGTATTCTATAATTTATTATTGTTTATTTGTGTAACAAATCTGTTTTTTATTATTTTAATTTTTTTTAAAGTTAATTATAGTAAATTATTATTATTTAACGATATATTATTTACGAATTGTATATTATTAAAATCACCAAAAATTGAGTTGATTAAAAAAATAAAAAATGTTAAATAAATGTATCATTTTTAGATTGTTTTGTTGTAAAAAAAAAGAAAATCGTTCCAAAAAATAATAAAATAATAAAATAATAATAAAACTGGTTCATATTAACAATCATTACATATAAAAAAAGTATCCCACGCAGTTTTGGGAGTTAAAATAAAGTTGGGGATTGTCAAAATTAATATGACAAAAAAACAGACGCTTCAAAAAATTTTACAAAAAAGATAAAATGGTGCTGCATTGTGGTGCTGTTGTTTTGAATGTATGCCGTTTTATTATGAAAAATAAGACTAAATTATACTAAAGCAAGCCATTATGTTCTAAACTTTTAATAGTCTAAGTGTGATGTTGTTCAAAAATGAAGTTAGACCAAACAAATTTTTAAAACAATTTTGTTTTTTATAAGCCTTAGTTGGTGGTTCATGTGTAATTTTGTGTTTTGAATAGTAGTGTTTGTATTATAAAGTATGGTACATTTTTTATCAAAATATTAAAGTGGGAGATTCAGATTGCAAAAGTTTTCGATTTGAGATTCGTGAAGGGAAATTGTCAAAGAAAAATACCCGAAATACAAGCAACGATTACCGTTATGAAAAAACACAAGCAAATGAATTATTTGTTGTTTAGAAAAGTGGTTGAAAAAATCTCAAGTAAAAGTTGAGAAGAAATATTTAATTATTTGTGTAAAATTTTAATAGTAAAAAATGTTAATTGCCAGATAAACGAAAAGTGGAGAAAAAACAAAAAGAGAATCAAAAAGAATATTAAAAAAAAACGGTGAAAACCTGTACACTCTCGGGCAAATTGGTGTCAAATAACTTACAAATGAATGCAAAAGAAGCTAAAAAAGGACTTTCTAATAATAATCATAAGAGGGCCTTTGTTTTTGATTTTATTTTTTTTTTGACGTTATTTTGCATAAGAAAAAAAAAGAAAAACAATCCCGTTTATTTCCTCCAACATCGAGAAAATAATGTAATAAAATATGCAAAAAATAAAAAAACGAAGGGTTCTGGAATTACCCCTTGACAAAAACAAGCAATTAAAGGGCAAAAGAACTTTAAAAAGTATTATTAAAATGGCAATGGAACATTCATGCGCAACACCACTTTTTAACGAAATCGACTCAACACCAATTCCCCAAGAACTTAAAGAGAACGAGGAGTACCATTTAAGGTTATGTCTATGCCCCCTCTGCAAACATGGGATGGAAGTCTTCGGCGCTAAGAGACCAGTCTCTTGGATATTGATATGTCGGGTCATCATCTACTCATTGATGGAACTTCACAAGGGCACCATTTACTTCTCACTGAAAGACGACATCCATGGCTTTGTTGCAGAACATTGGCATATCTTCGGACAACTCGACCAATTCAAAACAACACCAACAAGATGGAAAAAAGCCTTTCTCGATGGGTTGTCTCACAGTCCATACTTCCAGAGTGGAACATTGACACTGAAAAAACCCAACTTCTGGAAGTTAAGACGTAAAGATTGCCCATGGACAAAACAGAAAAAATGTAATATAATCGAAGACGACGATGAGCAGAACCAGACGTTTTTACCTCAAACATCAGAGAGCTCACCTATGCCCGACTTGGGCGGAGCGCCAACAAGAGACAATGCCAAAGAGTTTCTCAAAATCTCGCTTGAGTTCACAAAACAACAACTTGAGAAGTGTGGTACGGTGTGTGGTAACTTATCGTCTGATCCGACACTCTCTCAAAACATGAAAACGCTGATTGAACAATTCAATTGGATTAAAAGCACGATAGGTGTTGTTTCTGCGAATGTTGAAGTCTCATTATGATGTGTTACTTTAGTTAAATAGATTTTATTTATTCTTCATTTCATTTTGTTGTTTACTTTACCACTTCATTGGATCGATGTTGGTTTACTTATCACTGATAATTATATTGGACTCTAGATACTGTTTCCCATTATTGTTATGTAACCATTTGTAATAGTTTTGTATGTTGTAGTATAGTTAATATCTTTAGACAAGTCCCACTTCTGGGAAAAGAATTACTACGAAATTTAAAACATAAAAAGTATAAGCTTGGAACACCGCAAAAGACGGGAATAATAGGGGAAAGGGTGTTTGAGGAAACTAAAAATACGACAGAGCAAACCCTTAAATAAATTAAAAAGCAGATACCCTTCTATGTCGCAACGAGGAGTTACAATAACAAGCACCGTGTTGAAAGGGCATGAAGGCCCAATTACTAAGCTGGAACTCACCCGTGAGGGAGATTATTTTGTGTCGTGTTCGAATGATAAAACAGCGATGCTTTGGAAAGTCGACCCGCTGACCTCCATGGGTGTATACACATGTGACGGTGCAGTCTCTGATTGCACGATATCTGCGGATGGGATGCGCCTCTATTTAGCGAGTAGAGATGGGTCGGTCTTCTGCTTTGAGTTGGAGACTGGGAAGAAGTTGTTGACAAAGTTGATGGCGAAGGGAAACTACTCGCCAGTTAGGGTTGTCGAGCTTTCACCAAACAACGAAAAACTGATGGTAGTCACTGCGAGTTTCAAGTCGTTTGTGTCTTCTGTGTATGTTGTTGACCCACAAATTGAATCGCCCACCGCTGTTTACTCTCAGGAGCGCCCCCCATTGACTAAGGCGAAGTGGATCACCAATGATACGATTATAGTTGGCGATGAGTTAGGACATTTGGTGGTGAAAGACACCCGTACGAATGGACAGGGCGTTCGATTTGAGTCACACAAAAACGAGATCACAGATATCGAGAGTGATAGCTATGATATATTGTTGGGGACGACTGGAAAAGATGGGAAGTCGTTTGTGCATGATATTAGAAAGCCAGAAGATGTTATTTCCGTCTTTGAGTCTGGATACCCACTCCAATCTATTGGGTTTGCGCCATTCACAGATTATTACGCTGTTGGAGGAGGTCAGGACAAAGCAATGATGACTATGACACAGAGAGATATGTCTATGTTGATGACCACTTTTGTCAACGCTATTGATGGTCAAGAGATTGTTCGACTTCCAGGACACTTTGGTACTATCAACACAATCGTCTTTGCTCAAGACGGAAAATCAGTCTTCACTGGGTCTGATGACGGGTGTATTAGAGTCTCTCCGCTTAGTAACGATGTGTTTGCTTCGGAGTAATCCATTGATTTGTTATGCATTAGTTGGGTTTAAAAACATAAGAAGAACTTGAAAAGAAAGAGCGGTCTGATGGGAAAGAAGATCACATCAACACTGTTCAAATTTGTGTATAACTACGACGACGATTTCACAGTCGAGTCGACAGAACAGGGACTTAACGAACAATATAAATTTACAAATGGATCTTCTCAATTCTTCTTACAGGCAAGAAACCTCGAGAAAACAGTGACCATCGAAAAGGGAGTGTTGGCGGAGTTGCAAACGATGGGTCTTGTTGGGCCAAATGACACCGTCTCTTCGTCGTGCAAAATCAAAACGGTTGGAAAACTCCAAACCCGTGTCTTTTTCTTTACTAAACAAAACGAGACGGCGAAAATAGCAATGGTTTGTCGTTCATTTGAAATCCAGTAAAGTAACTGAAAGGCCTTATTTGAGAAGAATGGCGTATTTTTCCAAATGTTATCTACAGCTTCAGCAGAACAAGAAGACGTCGAGACTTTGTTGGAAGGATTTGACTTGTCTGAGGTGAAACAGTCCCACCGCGTTGAGAAAAGTGGATGTAAAACAAACCTTTTGGAGATTGAAGACTTCAGTGTCATGATTCCTGACTTTTTTAAAGAAGAGTGTGGCATATACACGGGTAGGTTTCGGGTCTATGACGACGAGGAAGATACACGCATTAATGTCAGTTTTGGTGTTGATGACGTGAAGAGTGAAAAGGCGTTCAAAAGTCGATTTGAACAAATGTGGGGGGTGGTTGATGCCACTGTTGTTGAGTTGAATATCAAAAACAAGAAATGGAAGGTGATGACGTTCACAACAAAAGAGAATGTCTATGATGTGAAGTATCATTTCTTTGCATATTTAGAACAAACCCATAAGTATTATAGTGTCTGGATGGGGTTTGAAAAACAGAGAAGTAACTTGATGTGCTTACTTTCACTTATTCTAAGCACTTTTAATGTGAAAGACCAAAAGAGGAATAGATGTACTGATGTTGTCGTTTTTTATCATTTCAATCCTATGTATTCATTGTTGTGTCCAACAAAGTGCAGCGATATACACAGTGCGGAGGAACATGGTCTTATTAGTGATATACTCCCTTCTATGTTTGTTGACACAAATACAAACTTTAGATTCTTCTGTAGTGTTATGCCATTGGAAGGAGTCAGCCAAGACACTGCAAAGGAGATCATCAAAATGGAAGTTGAGCAAATGAAAGCAGAAAAGAAGACCGTTTTGATTTCATCCACATCAGAGAAGTTCAACGGGTTTGAAAGTTGGTGCCAAATTTGTACGACAACAATCAAAGACATCCAAGTGATGTGCTTGGTCCGATATGTGTACTTCAGAAACCCAGATGTTTATGTCAGGTTTAGTTATTCTGCTCCTCCTGAATATTTCACTGAGTATTTCGTCAAGTATAATGTCGTAGATTTAATGCAAAGTATCGATTTATCATTATTGAATTGCTAGTGTTTTCTATATTTATTTATGAAGTGTAAAGAACTATTAAGATAATTAAAATGGAATAAAAATAATTTAAAGAGTCTCAATTAAATTGCAACAGTCAATTCAATAAACTCGGAAACAGAAGAACACGAAGAACATGCTGCTGGGTTTATTGTGCAACATTGTAATGATCCACAGTTTTTGCAAGCCCAAAACTTTTCAGGGGTTCTGTCACATACATTTCCTTCAGATAGCAATTGAACTATTTTTTCTTGTCGCTGTCTGATTAAAACTTCTTCAATTTGAAACGTTTGGAGTTTTCCAGCTTCAGCATAATAGTGTTCAAGTTCAGCTTCTTTAATGAAGGCTGGGTACATGATAGAATACTCATACATTTGACTCGCAATGGATGCCTTCAAATTGTTGCATACAGAACCAAAGTCAGTCTGTTGCTCATTATCCATTTTCATGTCCAAAGATGGCTTCTCTTCCCAAAACGACTTGATCATTGTCAAGAGCATTTGGCAGTGGTCTTCTTGTATTTTGGCAATCTCACCATAGAGCTTCGATATTTCATCAAACCCATCTTTCTGTGCTTTGTTTGAAAAGTAACGGTTGCGATTCTTCGAGTGGTATTCTACGTTGAAAGCTTTATAAAGGTTGGAGAGCGTGGTCATGATCTTCTTTGTAAAAACAAGTTCTCCAGTCATTATATAGCTCGTCACAAACAACAACTTTGGTCAACATCAAAACAAATTTTATTTATATTAAATAGTTACTATGTTCTTACTATTTATAAAATAGTTTTTGGTTGTGTGAACAAATTTCCTCTCAAGGAGATTTGAGGAAATTATTTGGCGAGGACATTATTTCTGTGAGTTTTTTTGGAGATACGGTCGGATATTAGTGATCACGTTTTTAAAAAAGCAAACAATAAGTAACAAAATCAGTCATGTCACAAGACAATTGGAGAGTCTCCAACAAAATTGGTCGGCTGCTCGATAGATGGTTTAGGAAGTGGTATTGTCTTCACGGGAATTTTGCTGCCCTCGGCAGAGTTGTCTATGACACGCGCTAATCTCCACAACAATTTTGTTGTATCATTGATGCACTTGATTTGGTCGTCGTGAATACAAATGACACCAACATCATCCTTTGCTTCTTTCTCTTTTGCTTCTCGGGCTTTTCTCTTCACAGATCTGCACTTGGCAGTGATGGGTACAACACCTTGATATTTCCACCCAAATTCCTCCGCAAAAGAAAATGGTTGGTGAATGTAGTTAGCGACATTTCCAATCGAAATTCCTTCGGACTCCGCAGCATCTTTTATCAAGTTGTACAAATTAGTCGAGTATTTGATAAACCCTTCTCTCTTGTAACACGTCAAAGTCTCGGAATCGTCCAACTCATCCAGACAAACTACAAGTGTCTTCTCTGGTTTTAAACGTTCGTCTTTGGAATGTGCTCTGATGAAAGCCCTTATTCCACTATGGCGCTCGTTATAATTTGTTGTGACTAAAAATCCAACGTTTGTTGAGTCAAGGAGTGACACGCTGCTTTCTTTGACTTGTTGCGCAAGTTGGGTGAGACAGACGGCGGTCGCAAGGCCAGACACTCTGTTCTTCTTTCCTGTGAAATACAAAGTCATCACAAAGAAAAGGACAACCGTCGAAGCAATCGAAACGGCGGGTAGAACAATGTAGTTGTTTGTAAATAGTCCGACAATGTATCCAACAAAGACGACAAGAGCAAAGAAGTATACAGCGAAGTGCATTATCTTTGCCGTTAAGTGATACAACACACCGGAGTCTTTTCTCATATCATTGATGTGTCCGACAAAAAGGAGAGTTTTTTCAGTAGCAGTGTGCTCAAGGTCAGTGCAGTTGATCATTGAGAATAAATTGAGTGTGGACGTGCCTGGAAGGATTCTGTCGATGAAATTGAATTGAATGTCATAGATCACCCAATATATTAACACCCCTAGCAAAGCTATTATCATCATCCCAAGTGGTGTAAATATACCTGACACCATTAAACCAATGAAATAAATACTCACGAAATACCATTTGAATGGCGTCAAGTAAGACGGGTACTTGTATTGCTCCTCCTCAACGGTGTCACAAACTTTCTGGAACTCTCCACGAAGTTGCGCGATGGTCAGCGATTCATTAACTGATCCAGGCGGTCGTGTGGAGTACTGTGTCAAAATGTAGTTCAACAATTTACTTGCGGAAGAAGGCGTTTGGTCTGGAGGAATGGGTTGCGTCTGGGGAGGGGTGTTACTTTCCATGTTTTCCATTTATGTTCTGAGACGTCCTTTCTCTTTGCTTTTAAACCATTTCATTGTCCTTGAGATTGAGATTATGATTATTGACAAACAAAAACGAAACAAAATCTGAACAAAAACGATTTTTTTGATTTTAGAGTTATTTCTTTTATTTTTTAATTTAAAATGAAAAAGAAACAAATCTTTTGGTTTGACAACACATGATTAAAGTTATTACAAATATAATTTACTGATAATATAATGGTAAGTTAATCATTATTAATAAAATATTATAAATTTGTAAGAAAATTTTTTAATCGAAAAAATTTTACTATTAAAAATAGAACTAAACCAAAAATTATCTAATTATCTAAATAAAAGAAAATGAGTCGAAGCAAAACATAAAAAGAAATTTTTTAGATGACATTTTCGACTTTAATTGCTATAAAATGGTGAATAAAAATGCCATTTTTTCATTTGCATATCACCAGTAATTATTTACATCGTTTTTGCCGCTTTTTCTTCTTTTTTTGTTTGAGTTTTTGTGTATTTTGAAAAAAAACGACAAAAAATACAAACAAAAACTCCTATTTACCAAGGAGGTACTCAAATGAATTCGCACCGAATCACTATTGCAGACCCAAGTTTGGTTCGCTCGGCACAACACCGAAGCGCTTCGTCGAACTCGACCCGCCCTCCAATCTTCACAACGTCACAGAAAAAGCGTGCAGTATTTGGGAAGTCAATGTCTCCGTTACTAGAAGCTTCTCCACACTGTGAAGAGGAATCATTTTCCCAAGACGACTGCTCTTCACAGCAATCTGAACCGATCGCTCAAAGAAGACAACTGGGTGAATGGTCAAAAGAGGTTTTTCAAAGGAAGAAAAAGAGTTCGCCGGTCCAAGAAGAGCGAAAATTTTTGGGAAGAAAGCAAATCATTCCACAAGCTGACGCAAATAGGGAAGGACATTTAACGTCACTCCAAGTTGTTCATCCGTCGTTTAAAAGACACGCAAGACAAATTCGGTACGACGATTTGCAGCAAATTGAAGATCTGAACACAAGAAGAAAAACGGAAATGACGCTGTCGTATAGCCTCGACTTACCACAAGAGGCCGTTTCACCACAACTTGGTGACGATAATGAATATTCGAGAATGGAACAGTTAAAACGATTCTCAATTCGAACGCCCGTGGCAAATACATTCAATCCACGCGCACCAACATCGTGGATACTCGATGGGAATGAACCGTCGAGAGAGTACTTAGCGGAGAACTACCCCCTCTTTTGCGATATCATTTCATTTGACACAAACCCCGTCAACTGGAAACGTGAAAATAAGTTGGAACAATTGCCGTTTTATGCGAAGGCAAGACGTGTGAAGGTGTTGATGTGTACGTGGAATGTGAATCAAGGAGTATTCAGTCGGGAGGAGATTGATAAATGGACGCAAGACGTCGAGAGCTCTCCGGACATTGTGTGTTGTGGGTTAGAAGAATTAGAGATGAGCTTTGATGCGATTATTACGGGAAAGAAATTTAGTGAAAAGTCCGTACTTTGGGACAATTTGATATTTGAATCGATCAATCGCTTTGAAAAGAAGTACTTTCGATTGGGGTATTACCAATTGTGTGGTGTGGTGTTATATGTGTTTTTCCATGAACGGATGGAAAATCATATTGAAGAAGTTGGGTTTGCGGATTGTCGAGTTGGTGCGATGAGTGGGAAGTTGGCGAATAAAGGGGGTGTTGCGTATCGCATGAAAGTTTATGATTCAACCATCAGCTTTGTGGGGAGTCACTTAGCCGCACATCAACAATTTTGGGAAAAGAGAAATTCCGATTGGGCTGAAATTGCGAAGATGAAAATCCCATACTTCAATGGGAAAAGTTTGAAGATCGAAAAGATCGGCGTGTTGGACAATGACGTTGTTGTCTGGATGGGAGACTTGAATTACAGAATTGAAATGACCGACTTCGATGTGCGGAAAAACTTGAAAAGCAAAAACTTAGAAAAGTTGAGGAAACATGACCAACTCCTGACAACGATAAAAGAGGGGAAAGCGTTTAAACATTTTGAGGAGGGATTAATCGAGTTTATGCCGACATTCAAAATTTGCATAGGAGAGGGAACTTATAAAGGAAATCGGATTCCATCGTGGTGCGACCGAGTCCTGTGGAAAATTGAGAACAGACACAACGTTGAGTGCGTCAAATACACAAGCCACGAGTTGTACCCAAGTGACCACAAACCAGTCACTTGTTTGCTTGACATTGATGTTCAAGAAGTTGATGATGCCAAACAGAAGGAAGTTGAGTTTTATTTAAACAAAGTCGAGCAAAAGTATCGAGACATATTGATCCCAAACGTCAGCATAACGCCACAAACAATTTCTGTGCAATACGTCGAGTTGTTCAAAAAATTTAAGACGCAAATTGAGTTGAAGAATAAAGGTAAAATTAAAACGAAATACAAAGTCGAGGGGAGTGTTAATGGGATCTTCAGTGAAGATTGGTTAACCCTCAAAAATTGTGAAGGTACCCTTAACATATTTGAAGGACTCGGCAATATCAAAATGGAGATTGAAGTTTGCATCAGTCAAGAAAATGCGTGGATGTACCAGGACAGGAATATGTTACTCAAGAAAATAACAATTGTGTTTGGAACAAACGAGAAGGTAAGTCAGAGTTTCACAGTACAAGTCAAAACGCCGCCCTCTGTTATTGGAATGCGCCTTGAATCACTCAATCGAATGCCACGACCGATGTGTGGTCCATTCAAGAAGACTATCATCTACACGGAAGCACCCTTTTTAATACCAAAGGAAATATTCAGAACTGTGGATCATATTGTGAAGCACTACACGGTTGGCTGTTTCACAAAGAGCGAAAAAGTCCAAGAGGATGATATATATAATGTAATCACAAAGTTAAATAAAGAGGAAGAATTTGATGTGTGGCCCCTTGAGGTTTTTTGTGAGAGTTTGTTGTTACTTCTGTCAGCATTAAGCAAGCCCGTTGGATACTTTGGGTACACCGAAAATGAAATTTTGTCGGATTCAGTTCTTCTTCAACAAATTCGATTCATGATACCCGATGAATACAGAAGGCTCTTCACGTATATCGTCGCCTTTTTGAAGGACTTGGTTTCAAAGGGGGAAGATGAGAATAACCTCATCAATAGATTTGCACCACACCTCTTCAGGTGTTATAATAAGGAAAAGGTTCCACCTTTTGTTCACTTCCTGAAGATCTTTTTTAAAGAGTCTGTCCACGTCTCTATTTAACAATTTGATTCATATAATTTAATTTACTATATTGTATATCATTTGTCTGTTAGTTTTGGTTATTAGTAACTACATAGTAAATTACAGTACATGAAATTACTTTTATTTAAAAAGAGAAAAATCTATACTGATAGTTATAAAAAGAGAAAAAAATTGGGGTTTTTCAAAGGTTTTAGGTGGGAATACAGAGACTACAAAATTTGTTCATTAAAAACAAAATTAATTTCAATCAAATGAATTCTGTAAAAAAATGTGTAAATAAAAAATGTGATCAATAACTTTGTTTAACAAAACCAATAAGTTATATAAAAAGATAATTTTCGTTTATCCATAATGCGATTTGACAAAAAGGAAACCCCGAAAAATAAAGCTGATTCTCATTTAAACTATATAATAATAGTAAAAATGTCAATGCTGATTAGTTAAATATTTTCTCTTTTTTTGAACCCTTTTTTGTTTTGATAAAAAAAGCATCAATTTGAGTGAGAGTATAAAAAGGGGATTGAGAGAACTCAAAGCAGATTGTATTTATTAATACATGGCAAGAACAAAAGGAAGAATCGAAAGAACAACAAGCGCTAAGGCCGCAACTAAGGCTGTCAAGAACGTCAATGTAGCGTTCAAAGCTGCGAAAAAAATGTTAAGCAAGGACGCAACAAAGAAGAAGAGAGCACACCCAGGGGCAGTTGCTTTAACAGAGATTAAGGTGTTGCAAAGATCAACTGAATTGTTGTTGAGAAAGGCCCCATTCCAACATTTGGTCAGAGATATCGCACAAAATAACAAGTCCGACTTGAGGTTCCAAAGCGCCGCTATTAGCGCTTTGCAAGAAGCATCAGAGGCCTATCTTGTTGGGCTTTTTGAAGATACCAATTTGTGTGCTATTCATGCTAAGAGAGTCACCATTATGCCAAAAGACATGCAATTAGCAAGAAGAATCAGAGGTGAGAGAACATAATTAACTTCTGTTTTGTTTATCGATGTGTTATGTCTTAATAACATTTGAAAGAACATTTTGTTTTTTGTTATTAATAGTGAGAAAGAATTATACAAAGTAATAAACTGAATTGGTCGACAAAAACAGTAAGACAGGGGTTTATTTGTAAAAAACATCAAAAATAGTTTCATTGGTTAATATAATAACCATTAATGAACTATATCAAGTGGAAGTTGGAAGAGAAAAGCAATTGCAGCGATAAAAAAAACTCAGGAAAAAAGTGAACTGTATAAATAAGAAAGGAAGGTATTTGGGATGACGGAACAAAGAAAACACACAAAGAAACACAACCGATCGGACGAAACAAGTACTAGTGCGGTGCAAGAACCATTCAGTTTACCACAACACTTTGAAGTCTTTCAGGCGTGCGAAAAATGCAACAAAGTGATTGACAATAACATCCTTTTTTTTCAGGCAAAGTCAAGTGACTATGTTGATTTTGGACTGGAAGGACCACCAAAAGTGATGGAGGATATTGTTCTCTTTGATACTAGAAAGGGAGAAGCAGACGATATGTTTGACGAAAGAATTGCGGTCATGTATCAACAACAAAAGGAAGAGGCAATAGTGAGGAATGACAACGTTCGAACGATCACACCAGATATCAGAGACAAGGCAGTCGAAATGATCTCCAGGTTTTGCGATGTGGAACACACATTTGTACTTCCACAAGCAGTTGCACTATTTGATAGGTTTGCACTCACCCATCCAACGTTTTCACTCTCAAATGTCATGCAATTGGCACAGACGGTGTTCGCACTTGTCGTGAAAATGGACCACAACTGTGAACCATATTACATCGAGTTCAGAACAACTTACACAAAGAAGGAGATCGAGATGTTTGAGAACAACTTTCTGAAGGAAGTCAGGTTCAAAGTGGCATATATCACCTGCCACGAGTTTGTGATGGAATTTATGAAAATTTTCCCTATAACAACCCTCGACTATGGGAAGATTATTACACAAATACACTTTTATATGCGATGCGTGTGTTGTTGCTACCGATTCATGTATGTTGTGCCATCCGTCATGGCAAAGGCTCTCATCATCGCTTTTTTTACGCTCAGAGAATCAAAGAGTAACCTCATTCTTATCGTTGATGGAATTTCAGCACTTGGAGATCAAACAGAGAAACACGACGTTCTTGCACTTGTCAAGATTATGCTTAACATGTTTCCACAGTGGGCTAAGCTCGACCAAACTTCCATTTTTATTGTTTGAATTGTTCATTTCTTCTGGTTTATTGTTTCCTGAATTTTTTAGAGAAAGAAGTCGACACATTACTACTCCATTGAATAAGATATTTACAATAAAAAGAAGTAGAATTAAATAAAAATACAATTAGATAATGCAACAACATAGGCTCGGCCAAAGTTTAGTTGGTTGATGCAATTGGCAAAGAATTGGTACGCGTTTTGATCATCTTCTGTTGGTTTGGGAAGCACTGCAAGGAGATTGACTGTGTTAACCATTTGAAGTTGAAGCTCCGTCAAAGAATCGAGGAGCGAAATGCTAACCGTCTGTGGGTTCTGTTGGACAACTTCAGTCGAGGCAGACTCGATAGAATTTGAGGTTTGAGCCTCAACAGTATCTTTAAGACGGTAGAATCCTCTGTTGTGACAAGCCTCTTTCCCAGACTCGACATGTGATGAGTGATTCAGCGCGTCAAGGAGAGACTTCCTCCACTTTCCGGTCTTGAAGATTTTCAAATTGGCAAGCAGGGTCATATGCTGAGTAACAAATGGGATGATGTCCTTAATGAGAGAGAAAAAAACAACATCCGGTTTCAACTGCTTGAGCGCCTGGAGAATCATGATAACAAGTCGAGTTGTCTTCACCTTTGGGAAAGGTGTCATAAAGAATGTGCGCTTCTGGCATAAACAACACTTGCATTCAATAGACTGTGGCTCCATGGTTGAGATCTCTGAAAGGGTTGCTTAAGTAAGGAATGGATGCTTCTTTCGAAATCGCACTCAATTAAACGCCTTTTATTGCCCGATTTCAAAGAAATACCGATGGCTGTTCTTCCTTGAAAACATGTTTTAAAAATAGTTTGCCCTATGTATAGAACTTCAATTTGATTGGTTATAATTATTTGATGGCAAAAAATACCCAACATTTCTATTAGCTGTTTTGTATCTCAATTGAACTGTTCAATCGGAATAAAAACGGCATTTTTATTCAGTGATTTCAGCGTTTTACCAGAAAATATGCTTTTGCTCAACTTTTTTGATTCTTTTTTTGATTTTGGCGTTTTTTGGAAACTTCATTTTTTTTTCAATAAATTTTTTGTTTTTTTTTTGTTTTGTTGAAATCCGATGACATTTTCAAAACAAAACTAATGATAAACTAGTATCTTTATCTAATGACATAAATAATGATCGAAAAAAGATAGAATTGTTCCTATGATAAATAACTCCATTAGTTCACCAATTTGCATGTTTTGAGTCTTATTCAAGTATATGTTTTACCAAAATGATGCCCTTTGAACTATTTATTATAATAATTGTATTAAAAACTTATTATGAAAAGTAGACTTATTTTCTCACTTATTATTTCTGTTGTGAAATTTTGGCTAAAAAAAGAAGTTAAAAATTAATCAATTTCGAGCACTTGGTCGCCTTCTTTAGGGAGTTCATATTTCCGTTTTTTTGGCTGTTCTGTCTCTGTTTGTGAGGGTTTTGTGATTTGAAGCGTTTTGACAAAGTCTTTAATGGACTTATTAGAAGGGACAGTAAATGGCGCGTGGAGCACTTTCCACAAGGAGTCGACCTTCTTTGGGCCAAGCTTCTTACACTTCTTTAACTCCTCTTTGTCAGCTCCACCAATTCTTTTAAGTGTCTGTACGTCAGTTTAAAAGACATCAAAGGATCAATTGCAAACTATAAACCGTTCGAGTAAAGTAGTCACGTCATTCACATTAAGCATTGTAGTCATTGCTAGTGCGTTGATCACTTTTGTTCGATCATTCAACTCAATACTCTTGCGTTGTGAGGTGTTTTTGACACAGGAATACTCTTCGACATATCGCGCCGCCTCTGCGTAACTCTGCGATATAACTAAAACTCCGTTTGTGGGGAAAATAGCCAAGTTGATTTCACAGATAACGTTTTGGTCGTAGTTTTCTTCATCAAGAACAAATAACACAACACGCTGTTGATACTTTGGCACTGTTTTCATCTTTTCAATGATAACACCCAAGTATGGCTTGTTTGTAATGTAATATTTGTACGATAGAAAAAATAAAACGACACGGTTTCCTCCAACAAAATCACCAGGAGCAACTGTCTTATCGTATATTATTTTCCTTTTAATTGAATCCACAAGGACATGATTGTTCTTTTGAATCGGATTTGCTCGAATCAAATAGATGTTTTGGGACATCCCATGTTTCATTATAATAATAATTGTGTTATTGAGTTTTTTATATTGAATATTTACTATATTAATCTATACAAATGAGTTCTTTTATATAGTTTTTTAAATACTAAATACCCATATTTTATTTATAAAAAACTTTTGGGACGTTCTATTTTTCATTTTAAATGAAATTATTTTTATTTTGTAGTTATTTAAAACAAATTACTAGCGAAAATTAACTTTGATTTTAAATGGAAATTAAATCAATAAAAAAAAAGTAAAGTGTTGAAGTAAAAAAGTGTAGAATTTGAAGTATAAAATTGAACTAATAAGTTCACAAAAGAGAAATGAAGTTAATGGTCCAATTTGGAACAAAGAAGATGAAGATGGATATCGAGGAAGGGATGACATTGGGTATATTTAAGTATCTGCTTTCAGAACAATTTGGAATTGAGCAAGACCTAATCGTTTGTTTGTCCCTCCAATGTTATTACGCTTAAAGTTACACCCATTTTGCCGACATTGAATAACAACAAAGTGAGTGTTTTGAACAAACACATCAACGCGTTTGATGACGAAACTGTCGAGTCTGTTGGTATCAAAAACATGACAATGGTGAGAGTGCTTTTGTTAAACGACTTGGAAAAGTCTGTGAAACAAGGGACTGGACACGACGGATATATCCCTCTTATCGACAAAACTAAATTTGTGACTGTCCGCCGACCTATGCCGGGTGACAACTCATGTTTGTTCCACTGTTTGGAGTATTTGTTCTACAATAAAAGTACGCAAGACCCTTCTCACATCAGAAAAGAAGTGGCCGAGATCGTCAAGTTGTATCCACAGAAATTCACCACAGACTACTTGGGACAACCAAACAGTCTCTACTGCCTCAACATCGTCGAGCCTAACACATGGGGAAGCAATGTGGAGATTTCGATTTATTCGTTTTTGAAAGAGTGCCAAATTATTGTGTTTGATTTGGAAAACAACTTGGATGTAACGTATGGAGAAAAGTCGCTAAATAGGTGTGCATTTATCATATTCACTGGAAATCACTTTGATGTTCTTTGTTTGACACAATCACTTACATCGCCACCCTCAGAGGACAAAGTGCTTTTCAATAACACAGACAAAAGCGTAAAGGACAAAATGAAATCTTACATTCAGTCGGAACACCCCAACTTCAGATTCACATTCTAATTCATTGTTGGGGATTTTAGTTGTTGATATGTTATTTTACAAAACAAAAACACCATTTTTTGTTGTTTTAACTCCAAAATATCGAACTCAAAACACAAACCTCAACGGATGGAGTATGAGCCTATCGGTCTAGTTAACGGAGGAAACCTGTGCTACTTGAACAGCGCACTCCAGGTTTTGTACTCGATAGAACCGCTCAGAAAATACTTACTTAATGGGGCATACAAAGATGCAATCAACAAAACAAACAAGATGGGGACGCAAGGAAAAATGATCGAGACCATCGCAAACTTCTTTAACATGTACAAAAATAACAAAGTCGACTTGAATGACATTTTAAAAATGACACAAAACATGTTCCCGCTTGGCGATCAACAGGACTCACATGAAGTGTTGATGTACCTGATCGATGGGATACACGAGGACATCAACACCAATGGCAGTTTTGTGTCAGGGTTGTTTTATGGAAAAATTCAAGGGAGTATCACATGCCTGAGTTGTGGTGAAAAGAGCACAACAACTTCACAAATTGGAGGGTTGAGTCTTGACATCCCAAAGTGGTCCGAAATTGTGTGCGATGTCAACAAGATGAGTCTGATGAAAAACGTGTTGGTTGGGGTCAAGGGAATTTGCGACGGGAGGACACACGGGTCTGAGGTCTTCGTCTCGATGAATCATGTGATGAAGAAAGACGAAATTGTGCAAAAGCTCTCAGAGCAACTCAAGATTGATGTTTCAAACATCAAAACAATTTATGTGACAAACAACTCCCTTCGAAGGCAAGTATTCGACGGCGAAATCGTCAGATTTCAAAACGCGACAATTGAAGTTGTGGGAGATATCGAGCAAATGAAAATATTTTCGGACAAAACAAAAAGTGTGACAGATGCACTTAAACAGTACTTTACAGGCGAACAGATGGACGAGTGGAAATGCGAAAAGTGTGGGAAAAGAGGTGGGACAAAAACAGCTGAAATGGTTCAACTCCCACAATACCTCATTTTGAATATTAAACTGTTCGAACAAACATATTATGGATACTCCAAAAAGTCCGATAATCTGTCGTTTCCAGAAGAATTCGAGTGGGGGTCTATTGTCGGGTCGACAACGACCTGCACATACAAAGCTGTTGCAACAATTAACCACGTGGGATACACGTTCTTTGGGCATTATTACAGTCTCGTCAGAGTGAGTAATCAGTGGTATTGCTGCAACGATACGTCAATATCCAAAATGAACAATGGCGATATCCACCGCAAAGATGTGTATGTCGTCGTGTATCAAAAATGCGAAAATTGACATTACAAACAATTATTCAAATTTACGCCGATGTTTTGGTTTTGTGTCGTCAATTCCTATCCCTTTTTCTCGTAAAAAAGAAGATAAATTGAGTCCGATATCCCACATAAAGCTGATTTGGAAACTTTCTCGTCGTCACAACAAAACCACTGCCCAAACACTTTGTTGTACGATATGTAGTGTCCCCGAGAAAGGTTCCCTGTGTGCGTCTGAAAGTTATTTATTTATATGAAATGTGTACTCTGTGACACAGGCAAATAACAAACAATATAGGAGTACAAGTCGTAGAAGTCAAAGTTGTTGTTATTCTCTTTTTGAATTGTCAAGTCTTCCTGCGGAAAGACAACCTTCAGTTTGTCAGCCTTTGTTGGGTAGTCTTTAATGAGTTGAATTATTAATACATTCGGTGTTGTGTGGAGTGACGTTGACAATTTCGCTTGGCACATTTGACCACAATGATCACACTTCCACCCGTCGACAAACTCGTCTTGGAAAAAGAGTTCTATGCACTTTTGGAGCGAGGTGAGTCCGAACGAAATAGATGTCCGCTTTAATGGGATGGAGAGGCAATAAAAGCTCTCGGTCTGCTCACTGACAAAATGGCACCCCATGCACTCAGTCTTTCTTTTCAACTTTCCTTCAAAATTGTCTGAAATGACATTCCCTGTTTGTGATTTTTCGGTTTCGTTGTCAGAGACTTTTCCACTCTCTGAAGAACTTGAAGAGGCTGTTGGTGTTTCTCCAAGTGAGAGTGGTTTCAGGTTTCTTGTGAGCCTTAGAACGATTGGAGAAACAATCGTTGGTGAAAATGATAATGACATTTCCGTGTCTTTCTTTTTCAACTCGTCATCGAGCATTTCCAAAAGAATCAGAAGAAATTCGTGTGCGTCGTTTTGGTCACTTTTTCCAAACTGAGCATGGTTTTCCGAAACAATGTCTTTGATGGCAAGTGGGGTTACAAAAGAGTATTCTCCAGACCACAATGCATTGACGATTGAAGTAAACGCCCTGACCAACGACCCTCTGTAAATTGTTTTGTCACCTGCTTTCCCTTGAGTTGGCTTTGCATGATGAAAACTGTAACTTCTTAGCTGTTGGGTGTTGGAGAGGGATTGTATGACCGAGTTCATATAACATGTGTTCCCCAAGTTTCTCATCCCGCTCAGCGGATTGTCCGACCAATATTTCTTGAAGTGATCGTCTCGAGGAGAAAAGATACGTTCAACGTACCGACTCATAGTGCAAAATATTATTATCGGTTCCTCTTTTTTTCATGTCAGAAACGCTCTTTCGTTCCGTTGCCTTTGACTTTATCTTTCATTTTGAAATCTTTTCACTTCACATCTCTATTAAATTTTTTTAATTATATTATTAGTAATTATTAATCATAAAATGAATTATTTATATTAGTTACAATAACAAATAATGAATTTTTATATGGTTTTGTTTCTAACTAAAAAATTAGTAAAATAAATTATACGAAATTTCCCATAAAAATAAAACATCTCGAATCGACAGAACGATGAAGGAGTGGACATACATCAAAGTGTCAGTCGTCATTTCCATGAGCGTTTTTTCCCTTGCGACGCACTACAAAGAAGTGTTTCGGGCCTTTCCCCCGACACTGTATGTCGGGTTTTACGCACTGACACTTTTTCTTTCAATTCTTTCACACTTCTCGTTGAAAAGTGAGTTTTTCAAACAATACAAGTTCGTATCTTATACCATTTTAGCAACACGTCTCACAACTTTAAATCACATTTTAGGTGCTACGACAATGACACAACAGTTATAGAACTCCATTGTTTATTGGTGAATTGTAGTATGGTGGTGATGAGCTACCAATCGACGACTGTTCAAACCCTCCACTTACTTGCACTGATCTTTTCATTCATAAATTCACTCTTCATTTTGTCGAATTGTCGAGTGACAAGATATCATGTTCCTTTTACATATTGCGAATTTTGGACTCATGTTGCGGTGTTGGTGTTCTTGTATTTAACACCAACTGTCCACTCCCCAAATTTCTCAATACCATATTACGTCAACTTTGTTGTGAAACACCCCGACGTTATTTTAACATGGTCATTTTTGATGGTGATGATGACTATTATATCTTTGATTCCACGACAAAACATTTATGTGAGTGTACAGCGAAAATCATTTCACTTTGTGGCTGGCGTCATTTTCACTGTTGGAATCAAGACTGATGTATTGGTACTGCAACAACTCTGCTCGTTCTTTTTAATTGGATTTTTAATTGTCGACTTTGCGCGAGCGAAGTTCTTCCCAAGAAGTGCACTGAGCACGTTGTTTGAAAAGTTTGGAGACTCTCACCAAGACCCAAAGCTGTCAGCTGGGTTTCCTGCATTTCTTCTCTTGTACGTCAACACCATTCCGCTATTCTTTTACCACACACGGTTCCACCAAATTATCGCCGCGTCGATTATTACAGTCGACGTCGGTGATGCCTTTGCCGCTATTTTTGGGAGTTATTTTGGAAGAAAATTCCCAATAAAACGATGTGGCAACAAAACCCTCATTGGGACCGTTGCGTTTGTGTTCACCGCATTCTGCTGTGCTAAGTTTACAAATTGGTATCTGAGACTTCTTGTGCCACAATGGAGACTCTTCCTCTTCAGTGCGGCTTCAGGGCTAATGGAACTCACATGCGAGAACGACAACCTCATCCTCCCGTTCTTTGGACTGTTGTTTGTGTGATTACATATTTGTGCTGTTATGTAAAACGTACGTTATAAATTACTTGCAGTGATTGGTTTTTTAATATTTTGTCTCAAGTATTTTTTTCTTTTTTGCACATTGGTAGTCTTAAAGGTATAGTAAAATTATATATTAATGTAACTATCCCAAACCGACCCTTTTTGTAATGTGGTTTTGTGATTTGTTAATTTTCCTGTTTTTTTGCGAGATACATTCCGTGAGAAAAACTGAATGTCGTTTTTGGGATGTTTAATTTGCCCTAAGGTCAAAAAATAGAATAGAATTTAATAGTATACCAAACCATATTATATTAGATCTTATTTTAACATTGATAATGAACATAATCTTTTCGATCAGTTTAGTGAATCTTTTCGGGAATGATGAGAGAAGTATTTAGTTATTAAGTAGATCCATAACTATCACCACATGAGAGGGTGTTTTCCCGTCTTTTTTATTATAAAAGATTGGAAACTGACAAAGTAAAAAAATCACGAACAAAAGAGAAGTCGTTTTTTTTCACAAAAAATACGCAAAAGGAAATGACTAGTAAAAAGAGTAGTAAAAACAACTATAATTGGTCCCCAAAAATCAAAGGCTGTCGTCCAAAAGCGGAGCAAAACCCTCTAAATAGAAAAGGGAAATGGCAACTCGATAATTTAGTCTTCTCAGATTCTTTCTGCAGAGAACTACTCAAACTTCGTGCACTCGGTTAAAAATAAAGAATCCAAATTACTCTATTCGAAAAAGTGTATAGTACCGGATATAATGGTCTTTATGGCCATTCTACTCATACTTCCCACCGCTTCCGCCTCAGACTGCTTCACGTGTCAGGCCGACTACTTCAAATGTCGCTCTGAAGCTGCGAAGAACCACGCAGACAAACTGTCCCAATGCTCATGCGTTACAACTCTTAGTGACTGTTTTGCTACTTCCCAATGCGATGACGACTCTCAACTTGTAAAAGTCGATGGTACTTACCTCGGCTGTGCTCAACCTTCTCCTTCACAAAAAGAAAAAGAGGCGTCCTTGGTAACTACTCCTATTGCCATCGTTTGTGTGGTCGGATCACTTGCTTTCTGGGTCATTTGCTGCTCTGTCATCTTAATCATCAACAAATTCCGAAACCCTACAAGGGTCGAGTCTTTTCCAGAGAAGCTTGTTATCGTGCCATCAGACCCACAAGACACAGACAATGGATGCACTGACGATTCCAAAGTCTGCCGAATATGCCTCGAGAACCAAAAGAATACCGTCTTCATTCCGTGTGGGCATATTTGCAGTTGCTCAGAATGTGCTTCTAAGCTTGACAAGTGCCCGATATGCAGAGCTCCTATCACCTCAATAGTAAAGACTTTTGACGTCTAACTGTTTTTCTTATTATTTTGTTTCTTTGTTTTCTTCACTACTTTAATAGCAATCAAGTGATACACACGTGATCCTCATTTTGAATATCAACACCAGAATAACTCATATTTCTTAGAACTATAAAAGAAAATGGATCCACAATTGTGGGTGAACGAGGACGTCGATAAGTATGTGCGCTTTTCTATTAACAATAAAATTATTGAAGTGCCCGAGATATACACATCTAATGACCGAGCGGACTGCACTATAATGAAAATGATCACTGCACGATTTCAGGACCAAATTAAGAACAACCAAGTCATTGAACTGCGTGGAGGAAAACGAGAGGAAAAGAGTTTTCGAGTGTATTTGAACTTTTTGGAAGGAAAGAGGGTTGTTGAAGAACAACTGAGTGTACGACAGATGGCAAAGAAAGTTGCAACGTTGTTACAATTTGGTGTGAGTATCCAGTCCTCGTTGAAAATGATTGGATTACAAGTCAAAGAGGATATCGATGTCGTCATTGGGACTTTTTTGATTATGATGAATGAACGGACTTTAGATCTT